TTTTATTTTAATAAGACATTTCGATAAGAATTTAAACTTTTTACATAAAAAAGAGTATGTCTATTTTTTCACTCCGTCTATAAAAAGGACTTGCTTAAACATAAATATATTTATCAAACGGTACATTTTTTTCACAGAGTCAATTGAATTTGTATTATTTTACTAATTTTTAAGTTTAAAAAAAGTAAGAAAAAATATGAAAAAGTTTTTTTTCCAAAAAAAAATTTCAATAAACACATGTACATTTATACAAACGAAAAAAAACTTACTTGATTTTTGTAATCTTGAAATTTTTTAAAAAATTTTAAGCGAGGTTCTGGTTTTGGTATAATGAGTGATATTGTATCATTGTCCAGTAAGTAAAACGATTCTTCATCAATTTCACCTTCTAAACAAAGCAAAATTGTTTTGAGGTTATAAACACGTTCACACTTCAGTCTTCGCTAATTCAATCAAAATAATAAACCTTCCTCCAAAAGATGTAATCAAAGATTTCATATTCCACGACATTAATAAATTTTTAACAAACTCGTCCATTTTTTTATTCACAACTTTTTTCACTATATATAAACACGTGCGTGAAAACACAAGGACCGCAATTGAATAGGCGAAGTATACACCACAATCAGCGCATGCGCTCACATTTAATTTTTACAATATTTGATAGTAGTGACTACAATCCAAAAGCTAACATATTTTACGTCTTTGGGTAACATCTTGGATAGTAAGATGTTGATAGTAGATTCTTGTTAGTAACACAATGATAGTACCTTGTACAATCTTTCTTTTTACTATCAAATTCTTACTATCCATTTCTCTCAGTGTATATATTTATATTATATTATATATTTATTATAAAATTTTAATAAAAAAAAAATTAAAGAAACAAATTTTTTTTTTTACATCGATGAATACATATTTAAAAAAAATTTTCATATTTCTCACAATATGTAGAATAAAATTGTGTATAGTTGTTACGTTGACCTTTAAACGGGTCAATTGATTCATTTCGTTGTAACAGGAGCTATAAATTTTATACTTTTAATGTAGCAATCGATTTATAGTAATTGACCTGAGTACCATATATACTTGATGATTGAAAAGATTCAGATTTTTTTTTTAATGTTTCTACTATAGCCACGAGAGACAAAATTTTTGCAAGCTTTGAAATTAAAAATTTTTTTTTTGCAAACCAATCGTTGATTGATTGATTGATTAATTTCAATCATCAAATTATTGGTTTATTGATTAATTCAATTTACGTATTCAATGATTAATTGATTGATTGATTGATATATTCAATGTTTTATTGATTATTGATATATTCAATGATTGATTGATCAATAAAATCAATAAATTGATTAAAATATTGAATAATATATCATATTAAATAAAAATTTTAAATTTTATTTCTTGAAATAAATGAAAAAAGAAAACTTCTTATTATTTTAAAGTTTGAAACAACTGCGTATAATATTGAATATTGTTAATTTAAAAAAAAAAACGAAAAAAAATAAAAAAAAAAAAGGCGAAACTTATGTTTTGAAAAGAAATTGAAAGACATAATTTTTGTCGAGCTAGCGCGAGAGAGAGAGAAAAAGAGAGTTTTGTGGGGTAAATGGTAGCTGGGTAACAATGTAAAAAGGGGGTTGGAGAGTGACTAAAAAATACACGCAAAGCAAATTGCCTGGGGTTATTGAGAAAATCGAAACTGACTTTACCTTTAAGACGGAATTTTCATCCAATTTTTTTTCTTTTTTTTTCTTTTTTCCTCCCCTTTTTGTACGAGAAACAGTTTATAGAGCACAAAAACAAAGTATAAAGTTATGTATATAAAGTTTGTTATGATGAACCATGTTTTTGATATTTTCTAAAACTTACATTACTTTTCTCATTATTTATTATTATTATTACATTATTATTATTATTATTTATTATTATTTTTACTGTCAATATTTTTTTTGTAAGAATTTTTTTTTTGACATATAAATTATATTTTAATTTTAATATAAAATACAAAACTATATGAAATGGTTTTCATTTTTGTTTTAATATATTTACAATTTAATTTCAAATATCAGTTTTGCAATATAACCGTGTCTAGTGTTTGAATTTAATCTCTTCCTCTCTCTCTGTGGAGCTGGATAATAGATTATTTTACTTAGAAAATTTTATCGTACTTTGGTTGAAATTGAAAAACAAAGAAAAAAAAACTTTTTGAACTCTATGGGAATTGAAAGTTTTTTTATAGAAAAGAAAAATGGTACTTTGTGTTTATAAGAAAAAAAAACACAATTTTTTTTCTGTAAAATTCAATCTAAAATTTAATTTATGTTTTGACTGAATTTTTGAGGTTATGCTCTCTTTATTCTCTTTTTTGCAAAATTATGTTTGCTATTCTTGAAATTTCGTTTTTTTTTTATTTTTAATCATTGAGATTATAATTTAGAGGTTATGTTATGGTTTCTTCTTAATTTTGAGGTTATGTTCACCTCTCTCTTGTTCTGGTTTAAATTTTAACATTTTGTTTTCGATCCACCACACCTTTGAAATTACGTTTGCCTATTGATATTCAATTTTTGAGGTTATGTTCACCGTCCATAACCTAAATAATATATAAAATTATACTGTTTAATTGAATTATTTAAAAATGAGAAAAAAGTATATTATTTAAATCAATATTTTTAATTAATTTTATTTTATTTTAATTTATATTATTTTAATTAATTTAATTTAATTTTTATTTTAATTTAATTTAATTTAATTTAATTTTAATTTCATTTAATTTTATTGAATTTAAATTTATATTTAATTTTATCGAATTTTATTTAATTGAAAATTTAATACCTTAATTAAGCTGATGAAATTAATAAAAAAAAATCACAAAATCAAACGCCAAACAAATATAATACGCTTATCTTTTAGAGGGTAAATAATAAAAATATATAAATAAGCATTGGATTTTATATTAACGGTATTTAAAAAGTCATTAGTGGTGCGATTCTTTTTTTTTCTTTTACTAATTTACTTTTTCCGTATTCATATATATGTTTTATATATTTTTATTTTTTTTTTTTTTGCATTAAAACCCCTTTTTGCCTTGACGAATATAAGAGGCGACCGGCCTCGTTAATAATTACAGTATTTCGACATTAAATTATTTCACGCACACGAGGGGATGAGAGAAACAGAGAAATAGAGAAAGAGAGAGAGAGAAAATTTATAAAATTTACGTGATTGCATTTCAACCTACTTGCGGTATTTTCTTTATATTTTTTCATCTTTTTCAAATATATTGAATTTCTTTTTTTCAACATCTTTTAAATAATTAAAAATATTGACACAATTAAAATCTTTTCATTTGTTGTGAAAAGAAAACATTTTTTCAACTCTTTTTAATTTCATTACAATTTAATTATTAATATTTTCTAATTTATTAATTAGTCAGTAATTTCTTTAATAACAATTTCGTAAAAGTAATAACGAAAGTAAGGTTATGGACTAAATATTAAGGTTAGAGAGATTATTATTATTATTATTAATATTATTAATGTTGTTATTTTTAATGTTATTAACAATTTTTGTTTTGTTTGATTTCAGAAAAAGAAGGAAGAAGAATGTAACGAACAAGGGAATCAAAAAAAACGAAGAAAACAAAAAAAAATTGTCGGTTTGACATTTTTTTTTTGCTATAGATATATATTTGAAATAACTAAAATTTTCATTGGAAGCCATGAAACTAATGGAATTAAAGGGATTTAATGGATCAGGAAGTCACTGTAACTGTGACGTCATCATTCCTTGAGAAAGAATGATGCCAATTAAACGACAGAGATGATCACTTGTTTAACTTGTTACAAGAGTGACACAATGCATTATAATTGGATAACTTAATGGAAAAGTCACTCTCGTTGAAAGGATCCCCTTAATACCATATTATATATATAGAGAGAGAGAAAGATATAAATTATTATTATTATGATAAAATAGCTCCACTTTCAAACAAAAAAAAACAAAAACACAACAAAAAGAAGAATACAACGATAAAAAAAATCCTTTCTCTATTGATAAAAATTTCCAATTGTTGATATAAACTAAATATTTACAAAAAAAAGAAAGAAAAAGTATGATACAAAAATACACAAATACAATCAATAAAAGTAAACAAAAATTAAAGGGGAAAAAATTTATTAATTGTTGAAACAACTATTAAAGTATTTTTTTTAATTAATTCATAATTTATGAGATTAAAACTAAAAATCAAATTTTTTTTCTGTGATTTGATATAATTAATTTTATTGTTAATTAAAAAAAAAAAAATAATTTTAAATAATCGGTAATTATAATTATTAATTAAATAAAAATTATACGCAAATAATTATTGAAAAATTGAATGAATTATATAATTATATAATTAGAAATTAATAATTAATAACTAATAATTACGATTTAATTCTTATCAATGAATTTAGAAAAGTGAAATAACAAAATTTGATTCGATAATTAATTTTGATAAAAAAAAATAGACGATATTAAGAACGAGTAAATTTTTACTTTTCTGAAACGGGTTAGAGAATAAATTTATACTCTGCTCAAAAAAAAAAAAAAAAAATTATAAGCGAAGACAATCCAAAGGAAAATAAAAACGAGTTACCTAATCATTAATTATATTCTAATTATATAAGGAAATTCTATAATATATTGTAGACGATAGTTATTTATGAAAAAAATATATATATTACTATTTAAATGTCTTAATGTTAAAATATTGTTCGTTAATGATGATGATGATGATGAAGATAATGATACAAGAAATTAATTAATTAAAAGAGAATTAATTAATTCGAAAATAATCAATTAAAAAAAAATTAAGAAGAATTAATTCGAAAATAATCAATTAAAAAAAATTAAGAAGAATTAATTCGAAAAGAATTAATTAAAAGAGATTTAATTATTAAAGAAATTTAAATTAATTAATAAGAAAAATAGAAAATTACATATTAAAAAAAAGAAAATATTTAAAATAAATTGTTGACCAGAAATAAAAGAAAGATTCTATAAAGAAAAATAAATTCTAAAATAAATCGATATTAGCAATTAAGAAAGATAATTAATATTATTATTATGAATGTATTTAATTAAGTGGAATTAATTGCGGTGAAACAATTAATAAATAATAAACAAAAACAATCGAATTAATCGACTCGAGTCGTGTAAACAAAAAAAGAAACAAAGAATCAAATGGAATTGACGAGGATCAAATAAAAAAAAAATTTTTTTGAGGAGAAAAAAGAAAAAGAAGAAGAAAAGAATTTAGAATATTTTTTACATTGAGAAAAAAGAGGCAAAAAAGGAGTTAATTGTAAAAAAAGGTGTGTGATATTGTGTGTGAAAAAGAGAGAAAGCCAAAAGAGAACAGAGAAAAGAGAAATAAAAGAGAAAGAGAGGAAAAGAGAGAAAAAATTCATGGAAATTAGTTAAAAATTAGTGGAGGAAACAAAGAACAGAGAAAAGAAAAAAAGGGAAGGGAGTAAAGGAAAAAAGAGAAAAAGGGAGTACAGGAACATAAATTTAGAAAAATTAAAATTTAGTTGAAAAAAGTTAATGGAGGAACAACGAGAACAAAGGAGACGAAAAATATTGAAACAAAAACGAATTAACAAATAAAAAAATAAAAAATTTCCAACTAAAAGAAATAAAAAGAAAAGAAGAAAACTAAAAAAACACAACAGAGAGAAGGAAAAGAAAGAATAGAATAGTGCTGGAGGAGAAGAGGAAAAACAGATAAAAATAGGGATAAGAACGGAGGAAAAAGAAGAAAAGAGAAGGGAAAAGTGAAATAGAGATAGAAAAAAGGATTAAAACGGAATAAAAAAAAGAACAGTAGTGGAGGAGAAGAGGAAAATAGATAAAAAAAAGGGATAAGAACTGAGGAAAGAAGAGAAAAGATTAATAAATAGGGGATAAGAAAGGGAAAAAAATTTGATAATAGAATAAAACAACGGAGGAAGAAATAAAAAATAAGGAAAAGAAGTGGTAAAAAGGGGTCAAAGAGTAGGAAAAAGGGATAAAAAAAGGTTCAAACAGTAGAAAAAGGGGGTAAAAAAGGGTTAAAGAGTAATAAAAAGGAGGTAAAAATGATTAAAGAGTAATAAAAAGGGGGTAATATGGTTTAAAGAGTAGAAAAAATTGGGAAAAGATTTGCTAAAAAGGTTCAAACAGTAGGAAAAGGGGTAAAAAGGGTTTAAGAGTATTAAAGAGAGGGAAGAAAAGGTTAAAGAGAAGGAAAAAGAGGTAAAGAAGGGTTAAAAAGTTGTAAAAAGGGTTAAAGAGTAGAAAAGAGGAGGTTAAAATGGTTAAAGAGTAGTAAAAAGAAAAAAAAAGGGAAAAGATTGCTAAAAAGGGTCAAACAGTAGGAAAAGGGGTAAGAAAGGGTTAAAGAGTATTAAAGTGAGGGTAGAAAGGGTTAAAGAGCAGAAAAAAGGGGTAAAGAAGGGTTAAAAAAGTGTTAAAAAGTGGGTAAAAAGGGTTAAAGAGTAGAAAAAAGGGTAAAAAAGGAAAAAAAAAGTGTAATCTACGGAAGGAAAAAAACGAAGTTATAAAAGAGAATTAAAAGCAAAAAAAGAGAGTATTAAAAGAGGAGTAAGGGAGAAAATAAGAGTAACAGAGTTTACAAATAAGGGTAAATGGACAGTAATTAGAAGCAACAAAAAGAGAAAGGAAAAAAGATTAAGAGCAATAGAAAAGACAGAGAAAGAAACAAAACAAAGAAAGAGTGAATGAGAATTAGAGGATTAAAAAAAATCAGAAGAGGAAAAGAGAAAAAAATTTTGTAACAATATAGAGTGGAGACGAAGGAAAAAAAAGGGGGGAAAGAAAATTAGTGAGGGAAGAAAGAAAGAAGAAAAAAGAAGAGGATTGTAGAGGAGAAGAAAGAAAGAGAAAAAAAAGTGTTATCAGTAGTTTATAGAAAAGAGAAGAATGAATCTCGAGGTAGAATTGATAGCCGGAGTGGTAAAGGGTGGACCTCCCCCTGCCCACTTGCCAGCACCACGTCTCATCAAGATATTCATTGCTGGTGAAAGAGACGGTGAGTTGTATTCCTGAAATTACTTCCTCTTTCTCTCTCTTTCTCTCTCTTTTTCTCTCTTTTTCTCTCTTTTTCTCTCTTTATAAATATATATATATGGCTATAGTAAGAGCGTTTACTTTCAATTATATAATCCTTGGAATAGAGAGAGAGAGAGAGAAAGAGAGAGGAAGGTAGAAAATATATAAGAAAGAGAGCAACAGAGAGAGAGAGAGAGAGAGAGAGAGAGAGAGATTCAACTTTTTAGTTTATACTGCTCAGCCACAAGCTAACAAAGGATATTAAAGAAGCCTAGGCAGATGCTCAGATTGAGAAAAGTAACGTTATATGTACTTTACCCCCTCATTCAAAAGATAATGAAATTGCTTCATGTTCAAGCGGAGATTTATCATGAAAGAACCAAATTTCTTCTTCTTTTTTTTTTTTTTTACTTTCTTTACTTTCTCTCTTTAATTACTTTTTTCCCTCGGCGAGTTTGTTGCTTTAATGTTTATTACCTTCTCTTTCACCATTCTGGTTGGCAAGTATTAATTTTTCAGAAAAGTTTATTATGAAAAACTGTCGTGTAACGGTAACGCTTGGGATTATATTAAAAAAAAAAAAAAAATTGGAAGCAATAAATTTCTAAGACTATTTTTCGAAAAAAAAATTTGCATCACTGAAACTCAAATGGTAACGATAATAATTCAAAATGGTAACGGTAATGGTATAAAAAAAACTCAGTAACACTAAAAATAAGGGTAATACTGTTGGTAACGATTATAATTACGTTAATAGTAACAGTAACGATAATACCGGTAATGGTAGTAATCACAGTAACATATTGGTCATTGTAACAGTAACGGTAACTAAAAAAATTAATTTAACGTTATTAATATTTTTTTGAAATTTCTTCCTTTTTTCTTTCTTTTTTCTGTATTGTTTGTTTTTTATTGTAATGTTTGTCTCAATTTCAACTGGTCCATTGAATAGAATCGAAAGTTCAAACCTATCTCGAAGGCAATGGGAAATCCTGTGTCGTCCTGTAAATTTCAATCTCCGTTTATTTAGACATATATATATATATATAGAATGAAATCAATTTATTGAGGTCACGCAAGTGAATAGAAAAAAAAGCTCAAATTTCACACGCATCAGAAAATAATTGATCACATATATCAAAGAGAAGATACGATCATCTTCATACATATATATATATATAGATATTTAATCCCCTTTTCACATTATATATATCCGCCCTCCTATTTTTCTGATCGAAATTTAGAAATTTAGATATCAGAAATAAATGTATAGAATTTCAATCCTGTTTATATAATACAATACGGATGTTTTTTTTTACTTTTTTTTTTCGTTCTTGACTTTTTGACGTATTACATTTCAGAATTTCTTGAGGAGAGAAAACAACTTTTGGAAATTGTTGGTCCAGAATTGCAATCAATCTACGATGGAATGGGAATTGAAGTAAGTGGTGACGTGTATTGAATATTATGTATATTGTTAAAATTTTATTTATTTATTTTTTGATATTTTGAAAATTTATTATTATTATTATTATATTGTATTATATTATATTATAAAATATATTAATATTAATATATAAATATATTATATAATGTATTATATTATAAAAAATTTTTAATTAAAAAAAAAATTTTTTCAAACTAGGTTTTATTGGTTGATATGCAATATGGGACAATACGAAATCCAGATGCTGATCCAAGATTGGCTGAATTATTTTTGGATGAGATAAATGCATCTCATCGACATTCGAGAGGTTGTTTTCTCCTGGTAAGAATCCGAGGTTTTTTTTTCTTCCGATTTTATTATCACCAGGGAATACATTTCAAATCCTGTAAAGCATCTTATTTTTCTTTTTTTTTCTTCTTTAGTTCTTTACTTTCTTTTTCTTTTTTTCTTCATCCTTTTACCCTCGTTTCTTTTGCTTTTTCTTTCTTTTTTTTATTCTATTTTTCTGTATTCATTTTTCTTCCATTTCTTTTAATCCCATATCCTAGTGGAGTATTATTTTTTTTGTTCATTACTTATTTTAAAATTTTTTTTTATTTTAAGCTACTTTTAAAATTTATTTTATCAAGTTCCTATTTTTAAGTGTATTTTTTTTTCTTAAATTTATTAAAAAATTTTTTTGAATTTGTTATTTAAAATTTTTCTTCCAAATTTCTTATTTTACTCTTTTTTCAAAAATTTGTTATTTAAAAAAAAATTTTTTTTTCTTCCCAAAATTCTTCTCTTTCCATTTATCAATTCAACAATACAAGTTTCAGTGCGTATAATATTATTGCTCAAACGTAAATTGCACTATAGCGGAAAAGGGCAACATAAATCTTTTGTAATGAACGGTGAAAGTAAAAAAATAAAAAAAAAAAAAAAAAAAAGAGGAACTGAAAGAAAAATGGTGAAAAATGCACACACAGCAATTACGAAAAAAAAATAAAAAAAAAGACTTTGATTTCTCGTTTTGCTTTGCAGCTTTTAGTTGGGTCGGATTACAGTTCAGGATGGGTGCCAACTGTACTGAAAAAGGAAACTTTTCAGTCTTTGATTGCCCATAACGACCATCTGGGGGAATATTACGAGCTCAATGGTCATAATTACAATTTAAAGGCCACCAGGTGATAAGAATCAAAGTAGAAACATAGAAAAAGAAAAATTTAACATTTTTTTTGTTTTATAATTTCAAATTTTTTTCAATTTATTTATTATCAGTTATTGATTATAAATTCAAAGAATCATAAGTGTTATGAATTTATGAGTTACATGGCAAACTTTATGAGTTAGGATTTTTAAGCTTTTATAAGTTACTGGTTATTTAGTTATAAGTTCATGAGTCATGTGCGAAACTTTATGAGTTATAAATTTATAAAGTTTTATGAGTTACTGCTCAATTAGTTATGAGTTTATGAGTAATGAGAAAAACTTTATGAGTTATACATTTATAAGGTTTTATGATTTACTGGTCATAGCGTTATGAGTTCAAAAGCGACATGAGAAACTTTATGAGTTAGGAATTCTTGTGGTTTTATGAGTAACTGGTTATATATTTATGAGTTATATGGTAAACTTTGTGAATATTAATTAAAAGATATTTTATGATTTACTACATTTGTATGCGTTACAAATGTATGTGTTTTTATGAGTAATTGATATTTGAGGTTTTATGAGGTATTAATGTATGTGTTTTATGAGTTATTTTCATTAATTGTATTAGTAATATGAGATTCTTTATAAGTTATTAGTTCGTATGATTTTACAATTTACTGTTTATAAATTTATGAGTTTATGATTTAATAATGCAGGAGAATTTTTGAGTCATTGGTTATTAAATTAAGGGAAATTTTTTGAATTAGATATTTATGAGTTATTTATGCGTTTTCAAGAGTTATTTCTGAGTTTAATGGGTATGTAAGAGTTTTTTATGAGTTTTTAATAGTTTTATGAATTAACAGTTATAAATTTATGATTTTATGAGTTTTTCATTAAAAAAAAATTTCAATTTTGCGTATTTATTTTTAATATTTTCGTGTAGCGAGGAAACTGCTCAGGATTCTTGGCAATTACATCGAGAGACAAAAATTCGCGATGCTCTTGTCACCGCGGCAAAAGCACTTCTTGTCGTGGATCCCGAAAATTTGGATGCAAAATATATTCTCAAAAGTTCAAGCGAACGACAATTAGATCATGGCCTAAGTAAGAAATTAAAATAATTTTTTAAGTTATGAATTTTTCATTTTCTTTTTTTTGTATAATTTTTTGCTTTTACATTAAAGATTTAAGCGAAGACGGCGAGGGAATAGTGACGATAATTCGCACATGGTCAGGTGGTGGTGTTGGTTGTCCACAATTGTCGGAAGCGATAAAATTATTGAAAAACCGCGTTGAATCGTCTTTACCCGATGAAAATGTAATTCGCCTTGAAGCGGAATATAAATCAAATGGTATTGACACTGAATATCCTTCCCATGAGGCTTATCTTGGAAAATTGCGCGATTCAGTTCTAAACCGGATTCAACATCTCGTCAATGTATCCGTGGAAAACGATCCGGAAATTAAGAGTCGGAAGAAAATGGTGCAGGAAGTTTATGCCGAGAGTCTCTCGCATCTGTCACTTCTCAGGGAATCAAGAGCCGTTGACGAAACGGACGAATCGATTCTCAGCATCAAACGACGCTTATTAGCAGGTATTATTTTTTTTTAATTTATAAATTTTTTATTTTTCTTTCTTCATTGATCTCAACGGTCACAATAGTCTCAAGTCTCAATGGTCCCAAAAAATTCAAGTTTTAATTTAAAATTCTTGAAAGCGTTGAGACTTGAGGCTTGAAACAATTGAGACTATTGAGACTTGAGACAGTTAAGACTTAAGACTATTGAGACTTAACACCATCAAGAGTTGAGACTTTTAAGACACTAGACTGTTGAGACTATTGAGACTTAACACCGTTGAGGCATAAAATTTCAGACCATTGAGAATTGAAAAAAAAATTTTAACTAATTTTTTTTTTTTTTGTTTTTCTTCCTATTGTTATAAAATATTCCCCATTCGTTTCAACTTATAGGAATGGAACAGAAGCATGGACCAATTTTAATTCGCGGTCAACGTTGTTCGGGAAAATCGTCAATTCTTGCGCGTATCTATGAAAGTTGTCCCAATTGGTTTGGCGTGCCAACATTGAGAGTTGTCCGTCTTTGTACATCGACACCACGCTCTGCTTATAGTCTTGAATTATTGAGAATACTTTGTGAGCATGTGGGATTTTTATCCGGTAATAATGATGGAAATGTACCGCGCGATGCATCATTTGATCCATTGTATTTGAATAATTGGTTTAATCAAATAATGCGAAGAATAGAGGAACAACCATTGACTGAACAATTGGTGATATTGGTCGACGATTTACATCGATTACATCCACTTGAATGTGATATTGTCGCTGCACTCTCTTGGCTTCCCGTCAATTTACCTCAGGTGAGTTATTTTTCAACGAAATATAGTTATCACAAAATTTATGAGTTATATATTTTTTTTTGAAAAAAATGCAGAAGGAATGAATTATTAAATTTTATGAGTTACTAATTCATTAGATTTTATGAGGTAATATTCAAAAAATTATAAATGAGGAATTATAAGATTTTAAGAGTTTTATGAGTTACTAATTCGTGAGATTTTATGAGGCAATATTCATAAATTTACAAGTTCACGAATTATATTTCAGAAAACTTTATGAGTTAAGCATTATAATATTTATGAGTTTGTAAATCGTGAAATATTATGAATCACCAATTTATGAGTTTATGAGAAAAAAAATTAAATAAATTTTGAATTATTAGAATTTATAAATTTATGAGTTAATTTTATTTATGAGTTATGAAATTTATGTTATATGAGATTTATGAGTATATGAATTAAATGCCATTTATGATCAAAGGGAAAAAATTTATGAGTTTATGTGGTAAATGGCAGTTATTATTAATATAAAACTTTATGAGTTATTTACAACAGTTTACAATTACTGATTTAAAATTTATGATTTCATTAGTTAAATGGAAAAAAATTATGAGTTGTAAATCGTAAGAGTTTATAAGTTGTTAATTTATTTATTCATAAGTTCGTATAAGATTCTGGAATTACATGGATAAAATATTTTGAAGGTTACAAATTTGAGAGTTCTATGAGTTACTCGTTAAAAATTTGAATTGATGAATTACAAAAATTCATGAGTTACGTATAAAAGAAACTTTACCAGTTATGAATATACGAAAAATTATGAGTTACTAGTATAAATTCTTGTCATAAGTAATGACATTTATTAATTACATAAGTAAATTCATAGAATTTATGAGTTACGTAAGTAAAATCATAGAATTTATGAGTTATATAAGCAAAATCATAAAATTTATGAGTTACACGAGTAATATCATAAAAGTTATGACTTAAGTAAATAAACTCATAGAATGTGAGAGTTAAATAAATAAACTCAAAATTTAAGAGTGATGTAAGTAAACTCATGAAATGTATGAGTTACATAAGTAAAAAATCATAGAATTTATGAGTTACATAAGTAAAATCATAAAAGTTACGACTCATGTGAATAAACTCATAGAATCTAAGAATTAAATAAATAAACTCATAAAATTGATGAGTTATTTTCGGAAAAATTGTTGTTTTTAGAATTTTTTTTAAAAACAATTTTTGCCGCATGTGGAAATTTATTTCGTAGATGTTTAATATTTTCGTCACTCTTAATTTATTGATTAGTAATTAAAATTACTAATTAATTTTCAATTTCAAAAAAAAAAAAAAAAAAATTTTAAGGGCGTACACTTTGTGGCAACGACCGCAGTGCCTCCAGAAGCATTACGTCTCACTCCATTGCAAAAAGAACGTTTAAGAAGCAATGAAATATTAATACAACTACCAGAGCCAAAGGATATTGATATACCCGACATTGAAAAAGTATTGGACAATCTTGAACGATTAATAGGTGTAAAAGCCGCAAATCGTTTAGGTTCATTGTTATCGTGCACTGAATATGGTCTATCGGAGACGGAAATTTTAGAATTAATAATGCCAACCGGTGACGATAGTCCACTACAATTAATAGAGGGACAATTTAATTTTGCAACATGGTGCCTAGTGAGACGTACACTTGATTCATTGCTTAGAGTACGTGTTATGAGTGGACGTCTTATGTTTAGTTGGCGTTGGTTGAGTCGTGAATTGGCACGTAAACGTTATTTATCATCACAAGATGTTGCCAAGGCAAATCATGTGGAGCTGTCAAATTTATTCTTCATGGAGGAAAGTGAGGAGAGTGAAGAGAAATCACCAGAAGATCCTGCTGAACAACCAGCAGCAAAGGAAACACCATTTCAAAGTGCACCACAGACACATGATAATATTACCTATACATTGCGTCATGTTGAAGAAGCATGGTTACATTTACTACAATCCGGTGACGTGGATCGTTTGAAAAAACTCGCTGTTTGTGCATTTGATTTTCTTCTAGCCGGATGTCAAATGATATCGGTTAGTTATTTGCGTTGTGTTTTGGAACATGCAAGACGTTATTTACTTGAGAGAGATCTTGAACTTGTCTACTATGCTGTGAGAAAGTCGAGTGATATTTTGACCCGGGATCCACTACAATTGGGAGCACAACTTATTTGTTGGTTGAGAACTGTTGCTGAGGATGACAGTGATCTTGTATCGCGAATGGTAATGGCGGCAATGGCATGGTGTGATGGTTTTACTGCACCTTTACTAGTGCCACTTAATGGTTGGTTACAGCCACCACTTCCTTTGCAAATACGTGCATTAGCCTGTCCACAAGGTGTGAAATTTGTCGAACCAGCACCGTCGGGTCAACATGTTGTTGTTGTTCCACCGCAAGGTGATGCACAACTTTGGCACGTTATGTCCGGTCAATTGGTACACACATTTAAGGGACACTCGAATCCAATTTCGTGTCTTGCTGTTACACAACAGTCGCAGTATTTGTTGACTGGTTCGGAGGATACGACTATTATTGTCTGGGATATGCAACAATTGTCAATGAAAAGAAAAATTTGTGAACACATTGCACCGGTGCTGGCGTTGACACCGGCTTTAAATAATTCGGTGATTGTCAGCGGTGGTGAGGATTCGAGAATTATTGCCACGAGTTTGCTTACGGGTGAGGTGCTGATGAGAGTGGATCATCATCGAGGTCCAGTTACGGCTGTTAGAGTTGATGCGGCTGGTGAGGTTTTGGTTTCTGGATCTGTGGATGGTAGTGTTTGCCTGTGGTCGTTGGAGACATTTACCTTGCTCAACAGTATTCCGCTACCGAGTCCTGTTATTAAATTGGACGTTTCTGAGGATTCGGTGTTTCTACTGGCGGTTTGCGATGATCAGAAGATGTATCTCAGGTGAGTGATGCTTTTTGGGGTGTTTGGTTTGGGCTGAGGGAAAAGATTTGATTCCGGGAAAACTTGTTAGTGAGTTTTCAAGAAGTCTCCGAATCTTGTTTTAAGACTTGGAAACTTACTAAAAGATTCTGAAAGGTTTTTTCGAAGTCTCCGAATCTTGGTCCAAGGGATAAGACTGATAAAAACTTACTGGAAGATTCTAGAAAGCCAGTCACCTCAATATTTATTCTTTAGTAAGCTTTCAAAAAGTCTCCGAATCTTGGCTTAAGGAAAAAAAACTGTCGCAAACTTATTAGAAGAATCTAAAGAACCTACCACCTTAATATTTAGGTTTTAGGAAGCTTTCAAAAAGTCTCCGAATCTTGGTCTAAGGGAAAAGACTATTGAAAGCTTACTGGAAGATTTTGTAACCTTTTACGAAATCTCCGAATCTGGGCTTAAGGGAAAAGACTGTTGAAAACTTATTGAAAGGTTTTGGAATACTTTTTCCTTAGTATTTAGTGATCACTAGGCTTTCAAAAAGTCTCCAAATCGTGGCTTAAGAGTGTGGAACCTTACTAAAAGATTCAGAGATAGAAGTAGTAAGTTTTTACGAAGTCTCCGAATCTTGGCCCTAGAGATTAGTATTTCCTTCAACAAAAACCCCTTTATCGTTTAAAAAAAAACCAAATTTCCAGATCCCTAGCAACCGGAACGGAGATTCACACCCTTCGAGGACATCAAGGACCGGTGAGAAGCATTTGCCTAGCAAAGGACTGCAGAAGAGCAATTGCCGGTGGCGCTGAGGGTCGAATTTCTATATTCGACATGCACAAAGGCAGGCTAATGAAGAATCTACCAGCGAATCCATCTTCAGACATAACTTGCGTTAAGGCAACAGAAAAAGACGATTTCCTCATTACCGCCGGCGGTGGTCGTGTGACTTACTGGAGTTTTCGAAGTGAAGAAGCCAGACCAAAACCAGGTAAAAAGCAGGAATCACTTCAGGCTCATACGGCGCCCATCTCGTGTCTCGATATATCCAGAGATGGTGCTATGGCAGTTACCGGTGGCGTGGATTCATTGGTCAATCTCTGGCAACTCAATACCCATGAATTATTGTCTACATTGGAAGGACACGACGCAAGTGTTACATGCGTTGCATTTTCCGCTAGTGGACTTTTTGCAGCTTCTGGCTCTGAGGACAAAACGGTGAGAGTTTGGGGTTTGACACTTGGATTGGTGGTGGCAACATTTCGTCATCAAGCGCCAGTTACTTCGGTAATTGCAATGTTGGATGGTAGACGTGTTGTCAGCTCTGACCGTGGTGGTTCGATTCGAGTCTGGGCGGCTGACAGTGGAACGTTGATTCAATCGGTTTGCGGTCCTGGAAGATGTTTCTCCGTTACGTCCGATATGAGGTTTGTTTCTGTTACTTTCATTACATTAACTTCTTAATTCCAGTGGATTTAGTCTTTTTGGTGACTTTCATTGGAATGTTAATTTCTGTTTTTAGATACGCAGTTTGTGGGAGTGGCGACAATCAGGTACAAATTATAGGCCTTGGAGCGGGTCCAGAGGAGAAGCATCAAGTCTCCCATTCACAGGATATCACTTGTCTAGTAGTTACCCCAGATTCCCAATCACTGATAACAGGTTCTCGGGATATGAGTCTAAAAGTTTGGCAATTGGCTGGAGGGAAATTGTCACAAGTACTAGTGGGGCACACAGATCACGTGACATGTGTAGCAGTGGCGGTTTTGGATAAATGTATCGTTGTTTCGGGATCAAGGGATGCGAATCTAATTGTTTGGGACATCAATACGGGTGCGGATTTGCATACCCTGACGGGTCATTTGGGTTACGTGACGTGTGTTCGTTTATCCGGTGATGGAACACTGGCAGTTTCGGGCAGCGAGGACAAGAGTCTAATTGTTTGGGATACAAAGAAGGGCACAGCATTGAGTTCAATAATGCTTCATGTACCAATTTTGGGTGTTGAAATGTCCACCGATTGTTCCCGTTTGTCACTGTATCTATTGGAGCACAAGTGTATGCCAATTCTTTGTTTGCACAATACACCGGCGCAGTATGTTAAACTTCCTTCTTATGTTGCTCCAAGGGATTTAAGACCACCGGGACCGAAACGACCGGCTAGGAGATTGTTGAAAAAGGAGGTGTCTCTTGATACTTATACTTGGCAGAAAAAATACGGTCATCTAACATCAGGTAATTTTAGGTTCTTTAAATCTTTACTTTGTGGAAATAGTCTTTTTGGATTTAACCTTTTTGGAATTAATGGAATTGTGTTTCGTTGAAGGAATAATGGTAGCGTCCGTTGAGGAGAGACTTAAGCGAAGATTTAGCGTTAGTGCATCAATGGAGGAAATCAGTAAAGCCGGATTAACAGGCTCCCAATCCGGATTAGGTCCAGAACAAGCGGCACTTGCTCAATCCCAACATTTTGATCAATTGGAAGCAATTTGGAATAAACAATCACCACCACCGAGACCAAGAGGTCTTGCTAGGACACTAACTAAACAGAATTCACTTCATACAACAAGAATTTCTGATTCCGAGGAGGAAGGTAGAAGAACAGTTTCGTGTATCGCCTCCTGATCCCGCTTGCACAATTTATTTCGACAATTTAGTTTAGATTGATCAAAAAAAAAAAATTTTTGCAACTTATTCACACACATAGTGCATTTTGTCTTGCAGAAAACAAAAAAATAAAACACTTTAGGCAAATTGTATTTGTATTTAGCAAAAAAAAGTGCATGTTTGCAAAATTAGTTCCATTTTTGTATGAAGAGTAGTCTTTTCTTTTTAGTATTTAGAAAAGGATCGAGAGTTTCCAGAATTCGCGTAGTGTGAATTGAGCTTAAGGGTGATTGCACACTGTGAACGAACTTTAATGTAACAAATAAGGTTAGGAGAGACAAAGAAGATGGAGCTGCCAACCCTGCAATTTTTGTGCACATTAATTAGATGCATGTTTCGTTATTGTGCAAATAAAGGTAGGTTCACACGCTTCGGCACGTGATTGGTTACCATGGTAACACATTGAAAAGTGAAAAAACCGATGTTTCTATTTCACTCATTCCTATTGGTTACCATGGTAACTGGTATTAGGAAAAAAACTGTAGTTTTTTTAGTATTATTTTAAATTAAAAAAATTTTTTTTCAATGCAAATTACAATTATAGACAGCATGACGAAAAAAAATTATTTCGGCATGCAAAATATTTTTTTTTCCACAATTTTACCCCGTAGTTCAAATCCTCAGATTAAAAAACTAATTTTTTACTTTCTGAAAATATCAAACGGGGAAAAAAATTCTATTACAGATCTTCCAGGCTAGTGAATGATAAAAAAAAGATAAGAAGAGAAAAAAAATTGTAGCAGATCTGCCATTTCATCCTTTTTCTGAAACTAATAATTTTCATGTTTGCTGAAAAAAAGAGAAAAATAAATAAAAAAAAAATTTGTTGTGCATTTAAATGCAAAATAATGATGTCAATAAGTGAGAAAATTATATTTTTTTTTTATTATTTATAATATAAAAAAATATATATATGTATAATAATAATCTACGAAACAAAGAGGTGCTGTAAAACAAAAATTATTTTTTTCCTGTTAAAAAATTATTTATTATGTACTTAATTTTTTTATTTAAAAAAAAATAATAATAATATATGTTCGTAATAAATTATTTATAATTCGTCATGAGGCATTTATTTCAATTAAACTTAATTTTTAAATATTATTTATTTTCTCTAAATAAATGTGTTCATTTCTTTTTATTTCTCAACGGTAAAATTGTGACAAAATATCCCAAGCTTTTGGACACATAAATCCCTCGGGTGGTGTTTCACCGGATTTTGCCAAACCTGAAATAATTTTCAATTTTTGGGTCAATATAATTGAAATATTGAGGTCATTCAATAAAAAATACATTTCCCTTTTTTTAATTAAAAACTAAAAATTATTTAAAATTATTATTATTATTCCTAACTATTAAATTTTATTTTAATATTTTTTCTTCTAAATAGATTTAATTACAGAAGGATAAGTATTCTCCTTACCTCGCATCCGAGTACCGGAAATAAAGTCAAAATCATCTTTTCGATTGGAGTCAAAGTAAGTCATTTTTTTCGATTTTTTATCATAAGCTGCAACTTTAAAGGGTATTATTTCAAGTTTATCAAGTCCTGGCGCCATTGAAAGAACTTTAGCACCATGAGTGGGATCATAAAGATTTCCATCGGGTACTGAAGATTTTTCAGGATGTTGCATACCCGCTGGATCACGTCCTACAATGTAAAAATTAACACCCGCATTCATTCTTGCCTTGGCATGCCATTGTACCTGAAAAGCAAAATTTTTTCAAGAAAATTAATTACCTATACAAATTAAAAAGAGATTTCTCAAAAATTAAAGTGCCCATAAAATTTCGTAAAACTACGTAACTTTACATAAAACAACGTAATGTTATGTAATGTTGCGTAATACTACGCAAAGTTACGTAAAATCACGCAACGTTCCGTAAAACTAGGTAATATTAAGTAATTACGCATAGTTTTACGTAAATATACGTATTTACACGTAGAATTACATAAATAGAGATATTTGCAAGTAGTATTACGTAAATATACATATATACACGTAGAATTACATAAATAACAGATAGGGTTGAGTAAATATACGTAATGCTACGTTAATATACGTAAAAATATATAATGTTACGTTAATATACGTAAAAATACGAACCTCTGTTGGTCCAGCATACATCATAGGACATGGAAATATTGCCAACAATGTGTCGGGATGCAAGACACCATCTTCGAGAACTGCGCAATGCTGTTGTATTCTTACATTAAGAGGAACATCATCATCTTTAGTCCAACCACCCAATGGATGTAACAGTAAAATTGGCTTTTTAAATCCTCTCTGCTCCAAAAGATATTTTCTCGTATCCTTTAAAACAAGTTGTAAATTCAGATGTTCATTACATGAACATTTTGCTTCCTCTTTACGATCAGCAAAAAAATTTGCTTCCTCGTGGAGAAAGCAAAATTTCATTGCCAAAATGTGAATTTTTGATTTTTTAACTTTCATTAATTCTTTAAATTTACCTCAAATGTATACTTTATATATATATATCGATCGATTCGCCTTGACGTAAGGAATACGATTTTATTATATATATAACCTTAAATTTTTCTATTTAAATATTTTTTTGATTAAAAAAAAAATTTTGGAAAAAATACGATAAAATTTTTTTTGAGTATTTTTTAAAATCCTTTGGTTAGATTTGAGATATTAATATGATAAATGAGCCTACCAAATTTTGTCTAAATCCATTAAAACCTGTTAAAGTTATCTTCTAAAAAAAGGGATCCACACACACATACACACATACATACATCCGGACAATTGATCAGGATCTCATATAACATGTTTCTAAAAAGAAAAAAATTTGTTTCCGCCACATTGAAAAGTTTTATAAACGAAAGGACTACAAAGCTTCCTCCGCGAGGAAACAAAAAGGTACATTATTACCTTCAGTTACGTATTTTTACCGTAAATTACGTACTTTTACATGAAATAAGTATATGCGTTAGATATGAATTGATGCGTATTTTTACGTAAAGTTACTTAACTTTTATAAATTACGTATGTTACGCAAATTATATATATTTACGTATGTCACATATATTACGTGTCTTACGTAAATTAAGTACATTTGAGTATTTTATAGTAAGTAAGGCATATACGTAAATCACGTACAATATATATGTAAATTACATATTTACGCACAATATGTGTTTACGTATGTTACGTCTAATTTCGTAAGTTACATATAATGACGTATTTTTCTACGTAAAATACAGTATGTATGCTTACGTATTTTACGCAAATATACGTAAGTTACGTATCAATACGTATTTTCCGTAAATGTACGTAAGTTAGTATTTTACGTAAGTTACTTCTATTTACGTAAAATTCAGTTTTTTAGTTATTTTTGGTAAATTACGTAATTTTGTGTAATTTTTTTAAAAATTAATTTCTTTAAATACGTCCACTTTATTACAATAAAACGTAATATTCTTGTCAAACCTGCATGAGAAGTGCGTGTCCATTGTGTATTGGATTTCGTAGTTGAAATGCAAAAACCGCATCTGCCTCAGCTTGTCGACATTTGTCAATAATTTCATTTGGTGTTAATCTATAACGATCCAATCCATCATTCCAAATGATTTTTTCAAAAACTTGTATTTCACCACCAACCAACCAATCACCTGATTCATAAATTAATCTAATATAAGGATGTCGTTTGTCATTTGTTCCAAATTGTCTTGAACATCGTTCCTCTTTACGATGATAATAAAATTCAGGATTTCTCATAATAGCCAATGCTTTCCCTTTATAACGAAGAACAATTGACGAGGAATTTAAAAGACGATTTTTATCATCATTACTCACTGCTAATACAATTGGTATCGATTGATTTATCTCCTTTTCCGTTTCAGTCAAAAAATTAAAATGTAAACTCTGAAAAAATTTCTTAGATTTTAATTTTCCTTTTTTTCAGCTTTTAATTGTTTTTAATAAATTTTTTTTTATTCTTTTTTTGTTTTACCTGGAGATATTGGTCTTCACGCATAAAACCATTGAGTGGATGTGCCCAGCCCTCAGAGAGAATTTGAATCCACTGTACATCAATCTCATTCACTTCAATGGATTCCAATGTCTCGCATTCAATTCTCATAGTTGGCAATTTTTCGGCAGAGACAAAAAGTTCTGTGACACGTGAATTTTCAATTTCATCACAAAACTTGGGTAAAATTCGACGCTTTTCTAAAAGTTCAATCACCATTGAAGTGCACTCAACGAGAGTCAGTTTTTCCGTATTCACTGTGAGATCTGGTCTCACTGGCTTCTCATAGATTTGATCAATTCCCGTAAAACCCTTGATTTTACCTTGTCTCGCTTTTTTATAAAGTCCCTATTGAAGGCAAAACAAAGAAAAAGGAAACTAATTCCAATTCTAAAAAACAATTCCTTAAAAAAAACACAGAAAATTCCAAAAATAGTACAAATTTGTTTTATTATAAAAAAACAAATTTTTTTCATTTAAAAAATGATAAAATTTTATCATTTTTTTTTTTTTTGAAAATATTTTTTGGATTTTTTATACAAAATTTTAATTATTTTTTTTTTCGTTTTACCTTAACGTCACGGGCCTCACAAACATTTAGTGGTGTATCAACAAAAATTTCCAAAAATGGAAGATTAGCCTCATCGTGAATTCGTTTTGCAATTCTTCTATCCTCCTCAAAGGGTGAGACAAAACTACAGAGAGTTATCATTCCAGCATCTGAAAATAATTTTGCAACTTCCGCGACACGACGTATATTTTCCTCTCTGTCGGCTTTACTGAAGCCCAAATTTCGATTTAATCCGGTTCGTATATTGTCTCCGTCCAAGCCATAAGCGGGAATACCCTTAAAAAAAGAGAAAAAAAATTGAATCTTATCGATATTCAGCACAATTTTTATCGATTTATTATCGTTAAAATCGATATATCGAAGTAATAATCAATATACTAATCGATGTATCGTAGTAATAATCGATGTATCAATCAGTATATCGATGTTGTAATCGATATATCGTAGTATTAATCGATATATATCGAACTATCAATCAATGTATCGTAGTAGTAATCGATTATAGATCGTTATATCGAAGAAGAAATCGATTATCCATCGTTATATCAAAGTAGTAATCAATGTATTGAAATACCAATCGATACATCGAAGTACAAATCGATATATCGTAATATTTATCGATGTATCGCAGTAATAATCGATATAAAAATTGATATATCGTAGTGATAATCGATAAATCGAAATACCAATCGGTACATCGAAGTATAAATCGATATATTGTAATATTTATCGATATATCGTAGTAGTAATCGATGTATCGATCGATATATCAAAGTGGTAATCGATTAATCGAAATACCAATCGATACATCGAAGTACAAATCGATATATCGTAATATTTATTGATATATCATAGTAGTAATCGATATATCGATTTATATATCGAAGTGGTAATCGATTAATTCGAAATACGAATCGATATGTTGTAGTATTAATCGATATATCGAAATATAAATCGATGTATCGTAGTAAAAATCGATATATCGTAGTGTTAATCGATATATCGAAATGTCAATCGATGTATCGTACTATTGATCGATATATCATTTCAATAATTTTTTATTTCTATAATAAAATATACTGTTAATTATTTTGAAATATAAAAAAAAAATTTTATCGCAAAATTTTTTTTTCTACAATTTTATTTATTTTATACCACAAGATAGAGATTATAATTAACTTTAAAAATACGAATAATTAAGACTCACTTGAGAAACAAGTTTATCTTCAAGTTGAAAAGCAATTGACGTTTTTCCAGCGCCAGATAGTCCTGTGAACCAAACAGTACAACCTCGAAAGCCATGAACTGAACCGTAGGCTTGACCTCGTTTTACCCTAGACACGTGATGAGCCTGGATTGTCACATTCGTGGCAACGTTCTACAAAAAAAAAAATTGAAATTCCTTTTTACTTTTTATATTTTTATTTTGCAAAAAATTTTAGTTACAAATTATATTTTTTCCACTTCTTTCTTTTTTCATTAATTTTAATTTCTAAACAAAATTCTTGATTTTTATTAAATCGTATATATATAGAATGAAAATAAAATCATTCCACACACGTTATAATGAATAGTGATTCCAATAAAAAAATACCGATTGGAACATAAATCACGTGCTTAATTAAAAGTGAGACGAATTTCTTCTTTTTTTTTTTACTCGCGAGAGAATTTCATTTATTTTATCCAAAAAATGCGTACAAAGAATTAAATAATATATATATGAAAAATAAATCATTAAGAAAAAATTTAATAAACTTCATTTTTGACTTGAAATAATTAAATTTAATTTTTTAATGATATGTTGATTTCAAATTGATTTCAAATTTTTATAAATATTTTTAAAAAATTGTTCTTCAAAAAAAAAAAAAAAAATTTTTTTAAGACTTTAATATTACCTTTGTTTTAGAATTGCCCGGTGCTTCTAAGACATTGGCGCCAGTAATTCCCATAATTGAAAAATAATTTAGAATAAAAAAAAATGAAAAATTATTTCCAACTAACAATATTTAAATATGACATGTATTTACAAAATTAAAAAAAAAAGGCCTTGCTAATTACTCGATGAAACTTTGAAAAGAGAAACGCGTAATTGATTTGAAAATTATTATTATTCGTAACAGAAACAATCAAATTTTATACTAATTACATGAAAATTAGAAACGAGGAAATCATTTATTTTGCCGTTTGAAGGTAAATTTTTTTTTAATTTCAAATTTTTGAAAAACGGATTTAAAAAAATTTTTTTTTTTAATTTTTTAAATAATAAGAATAATGAAAATAACAATAGTTAATAAATAATTAATAATGACAATATCGAAATAATTTAATAATTAATTAATATTAATAAATAAATAAATAATAAATTAATTATAAATTAATAGGTAATAAATTAATAATAAATAAATCATAAATAAATAAATAAAAATAATAAATTAAAAATTGTAAATAATAAATTAATTAATAATTTTAATAATTCATTTTTTTCAATAAAATAACTTTTTTTTCAAAGTTAAAAAAAAACACTTTTTATAATTCAAACACTTTTCTTTTCTTATTTAAAATCAGGAATTTGAAATATTTTTTAAGCGAAAAAATTTCACGAGGAAGTCATCATTCGTGCGGATATTATTGTTCACTGACTGACTGATCATAATATGTGTGAGATTTCAAGACTTGTAATCGAGAAAGTCAAATGAAAGTGGCTTTCGTTGCCTCTCTCGTGTGTCCGTATTATAAAATATATGCACGTTTATTTTCATTTTTACGGGAAATAAAAATTTTTGTATTTCGAATTTAACACAAAATCAATTAAAAAAAAATAAATAAATAAAAATAATAAACGAAATCGCAAAATTATCAGTGAAGAAAAAAATGTTTAAATTTTTCTTTTTAAAATAAAATTTTGTTAGTAAAATTTTAAATTAAAAAAAAAAAAATTTGAAATGAAAAAAATAATTTTATTTTAACTTTATAAAAAAATAGAGTTAATTTTTTTAAATTAATTATTATTTTATTAATTTTATTTATATATTGAGATTTTTTTTATTTGTACTAAAATTAAAATTTTTTTATTTATTTTATAGTAATTTTATTTTCTATTCAATAAATTATTTTATATAAAAATTTTTATTTTTTAATAATTAATAATTAATAATTACATAATTCTATATAGTAAATTGTAAATTAAAACCCAAGAAGAAATATAGGAATGTGGTACGATTTTTTGTTCTATATTATTTCTACTTTAGATCTTAAATATATAGTTCAAGATCGTAACATTCAAAGCTAAAAAGAAATTTAAAAAAACGTAAATAAGTAGAAAATTTTTTACAAATTTTAAAATAGAGTAAAAAAAATTAAACGGAAATAAAAAATTTTTAAACAAATAGTTATTTGTTTAACAGAATTAATAAATTCAATTTTAATTCAAAAAATTAAATAAAATAATAATATTTAAAAAAGGATTTAAATTTAATTTAAAATTTTAATTTCCCTCTTTCAAAAAATTTACAAAATTTATTTTATTATTACATGCAATTTATTTTATATTTCAATTTTTTTTTATTTATTTTATATTTGTTGTATATTTGTATTATTTTTTTTTTTACCTTATTATTGAAACCATTTTCATAGACAAAATTTCCATTCACTTTTGAGCTAGGCATTTTAAAAAAATTATTATTTATTATTAATTTTTTAGGAAAAAATAGAAAACTCTTTGAAAAAACGAAAAGAAACTGAAACTTTTTTGTAGTAAAAATAATTTTCACGTAATAAAAAATTGAAAATTTATTTGCAAAAAAATACTTTATTTTATGAGAAATTATTTTGAACAAAATAAATGCAACAAGTCGCGATTGTAAATACCGATTCATAACTACTGATTTCATTTTATATGGTATATGTTGCAATAGAAATATACACATTATAGTGTCTCTACCCCCACTTTATCATAAGGAAGTAACAACCCTGTGTCTCAAATTGTAATAGAAAATTAAAAATTAAAAAAATCTTCAAAACTGTTTGAAATTTTATTTATTTTAAAAAATTATGCAATTAAAATTATTTGACCATAGTTATTTATATATTTATATAGAAAAATTATAAATAAAATGGTTTTTTTTTTTAGATTTAAAAAAAATTTATCTAAACTTTATTTTAAATTAAATTTCAAGGTAAACACTACTTTTTTTTATTATTGTTTTCCTTTCATTTCACATTTGATATTCTTGTCATAAAAAGAATTCCGAATTCTACACGCTTGATCAATATATCGGTATAGCAGTTATTCAATACAGTAGCAAAAACAAAAACAAACAAAATATACAGATAGAAAATTTTTTTTTAAATTTGATAACAGAAAAGTTATTTAGAAAAAAAATATTTAAAACAACAATTTTTTTTTTGAAAATATAAATAAATAAAAATATTAAAATATTAAATATTTGCAAAAAAAAAATTTAAGTTTAAATATGACAAAAATACAAAATAAAAAAATTATTTTAAAAACAAAATTATAAAAGAAAAATAGCAATATAAATTAAAAAATTATTTTACTATTTCAAAAATAAAGAATTTAAAAATATTTAAAGATTTCAAAATTTTAATTCTAAACTAGCGTCACGAGGACAACAAATTAAATATTTTAAAATAAAAGGAGATATTTGAAAAAAAATTTTTAAATCACGATAACTTTTTAAAAAATGAATATTTTTTTATGACATTTGAAATTGAGACACATTTTACATGTGAATTGCTGAAAAATATTTTTAAAAAAATGTTGCAAAATTTACAAAAAAAAAAATTTTTTTTGCATTAAGTTGCAAAAAATTAAAATAGAATTTTTTTCTAATTCATATTATGTTTAATCTATGTGTAAATTTTAATTTTGAATCATATCTGTGCATAAATAATTTGAAAAACGATGTGAAAAACCAAAATTCTTGACCAAGTGACGTCACGAGGACGACAAATTAAACATTTTAATATAATAAGAGAAAGAGATTATTTATAAATAAATAATCGTCTGATCCTTGGAATTGTAATTCCCTCTTTTGTGTAGCAATTTTTTTTACATCCTACGAAAAACAAAAAAAAAATAATAGAAACTGTTTTTTCTGTTCTTCTAATAGCAAATACATTTCCGGTTTCGTAAACAATTTCTTTTGATTCCCTCCCAAAAAAAAAGTAATACTTTACGTAATAGATTAGTTAGATTAACGAAAATTTACTTGGGATACAGAAATATAACCTTGAAATTGTTTTTTATTATAATTCTGCAAATAATGCTTCTAAGCTTTAAAGAAAAAAAAAAATACATCGACGTTAAAAATTTAGTTTATTAAATAATATAATTTTTTTTCTTTTCATACTCATTGTAATTAGAACTTTATTTTTTGTTCTTAAGATTGATGAAATACTTTATTTTTTTGTTAATATATAGATCTTATATAATAAAATTATTTTATAATTCTAATATAATTGAAATGTATTTGCCCTTTAATGATCTTTTGACAGAACTTAAAACAGCTTTTTTTCGGTAAATTTTAAATATTATATTTTTTTAAATTTTATATTGTTTTTACATTGTGTTAACTTATATTAATTTTAATAAACATTTTAGTTTCTGATGAGGACAGCAGTGCTGTCGAAACGTCAAAAATAATTTCTTATTTTATTGACCGTTTTGACTTGGATGGATTGATAATTTTATTACATTACTATTCATTACACCAAGTGATAAATTCATCATCAAATTAGTTTTTTTTTTGTTACAATTCTAGTCTAGAATATATTTAGCATTCTTATTTGTTTATATTTTATAATAACCGAATATTTAATATAGAGAAAAAAAATTAATTAATCAAAACTTTAAAGTCCGAAAGTTTTATAGGTTAGTTATGATTTAATTGTATTAGTAGAAATTTTTTTTTTTTTATAATTACAAAAGTCCAAAAAAGGTTATTTTAAGGTTATTATTGGTTAAAAGAGTGTAAAATTCAATTCTGATTCCAAATATTATTTCTCTAACGTATGAGTGGTTTTTTTTTGTTCACTTGTGACAAATTTTTTAATATGACGGTTATGATAACTGATTGCTAATTTTTGTATCATTGCATTATTTGGTAAATTGTTTTTTATTTATTTATTTTTAATTATTTTTACACGCGTTTTATTATTAAAAGCCGATAATTATTAAATAAAAATGGAAATAATTTTAAATAACTGTTTTAGGACAACCGTTTGGCTGATAAAATCAATTTAATTCGAAATTGAGTGTTTTTATCAGAGATGGGTTCTTGGATTTTCATTTTTTTTTTCACGTAATTACAGAGTTGGATAGCGGGAAATTCACCTTAATACTGTATTTACAACGTATTTTACTGTAAAAAGAATTTGAAGTCACGAGTGTAACTACCCAACTCTGCTCTGGGCTCATCAACCCTGGGGCGTTACTTCAACTTTCTGAACAAAGCTTCCCAGTTCTGGTAAAAGCCGCTCTTGTCAATTGTGTTGTGAAAATATTATTGAAAATAATATATATAATAAATGTTTTCATTGTATTTCTAATTGATAATTTCAGTTATTTTAATCTTAAAAAGAATTTAAGTTAAAATTATCCAAAAATGCCATACGCTAATCAACCGTCAGTACATATTTCCGAATTAACCGACGAAAATGTCAAATTTCAAGTCGAAGACACAGATTTAAGGTAAGCTAACCTAAAATATCGTTTATTGGTACATTTTTGTTTTTAAAAATTCAATTTTTGCTATAATTCCGTAAATTAAGAAAAAAAAAATAAAAGATTATTTCGAGTCAAAGACAGATTTGAGATTAAATAACCTAAAATTTTTTTTACTTTTTTCGTTTGTATTTTATGTAATATTGTCTATATATTGTGTTTTTTTGCGTTTCATTTTTTTCAATTTTCCTGAATATAAAAACAAAAAAAAAATTCCGATTCAATTTGAAGTTAACTAACCTAAAAAATCTTTTACTTTTTCGTATATATATGATGTATTCCACGCCAAAATGTAAGACCATCTGTAATTGCATCTCCGATTTTTTTTTCTTTTTGTACTAATTGAGACTAACTTCCATGAATTTTTTCAAATTTTTTTTATCAACCCGTTTTCGAGTTATAAAATTTTGAAAATGCGGAGAATTTTCGTGACTTTTATTTTTTAAATGCTCATAACTTCCTTAAAAATGTATCAATTTTAAGTCTTTTTTTTCAAAATGTGTGTTTTTAAACGATATTACTATCAAATTTTTGAGTTTTAATGATAAAAAGTCATTTTTCTCATTTGACGTACTGATCGATTTTTTTCAAAATTTTTTTTAAAAAAACTACTTTTTACGAAACTTTTAAGCTTAATCCGATAATAAGCAAACAATTTTTACAATATTTTAGGAATTTTTCAAAAATTTTTTGTATTTTTTAAAAATATTTTTGGTTTTTTTTATATTACCTACTTTTATGTATTTTGATGCGCTAATTACGAAAATCATAGTGACAATACCCAAAAATTTCACCAATTTATGGTGAAAACCATAAAAAAAAGTCCTAAAATTTATGGTTTTTTTCGTTTATTGGGTAAAATATGCAAAATTAAAAAAAATGTATTTTAATAAGATCTATAACTTTTGTTGGAAAGTTTTTTTTTTAATTTTTTATATTTTACCCAATAAACGAAAAAAACCTTAAATTTTTGAACTTTTTTATGGTTTTCACCATACAAATAAAATTTTTGGTTTTTGTCACTATGATTTTCGTAATCAGCGCATCAAAATACATAAAAGTACGTAATATAAAAAAAAACCAAAAATATTTTTTAAAAATTCAAAATGCAAAAATTTTTGAAAAATTCCGAAAATATTGTAAAAAAATCGTTTACCCTTTATCGGACTAGGCTTAAAAGTTTCGTAAAAAGAAGTAGTTTTTTTAAAAAAAAATTTGAAAATAAACGATTAGTACGTCAAATGAGAAAAATGACTTCTTATCATTAAAATTCAAAAATTTGATAGTAATATCGTTTAAAAAAAAATTTTCGATTTTTTTGTTGAAAAGTACGTTTAAAAACACACATTTTGAAAACAAATACTTTTAAAATTGATGCATTTCTAAGAAAGTTATGAGCATTCAAAAATTAAAAGTCATGAAAATTCCATAACTCGAAAACTGGTTGCTAAAAAAATTTAAAAAAATTCGGTGAAAGCTAGTCTCAATTAGTTCTAAAAGAAAAAAAAATCGTAGATGAAATTGCAGATGGACTTACACTTTGGCGTGGAATACATCATATATATATATATATGTATATTTTATATTTTGTGTAATATTTAGTTTTTTTTTCTTTTACCTTTATGTCTTCCAAAAAAATTGAAAAACTAATTTATATAATATTTATTTATTTAAATATTTAATAATTTATTGTGTCTTTTTTTGCGTTTTATAAAATTTTGCCGAATATAAAAAAAAGATGCAATTAATTTGTGATAATAAATTATAATTTCTCCATAGTGTTGCGAATAGTATGCGACGAATTTTTATCGCCGAAACACCAACAATGGCAATTGATTGGGTACAAATTGAAGTTAATACAACAGTTTTAAGCGATGAATTTTTATCTCATAGAATTGGATTAATTCCAATTATCAGCGACGAAGTAAGTTTTTTATTTTTATTATTTGCTGATAATAAATAATTTTATTTTTTAGAAATGGGTTTACATTTATTATAATAATAATAATAATAATTATTATTATTATTATTATTATTATATTATTTTATTATTTATTATATTATTTTTTTTATTATTTTATATTAATAATAATAATAATAATAATATTAAAATAATGTTATTTCATATTATTTTATTCTAATTCTTTTTGTTTTTAATTCTCATATTTTCGAATTTAAAAAATTATTCAGGTTGTCGATCGAATGCAATATACGAGAGATTGTCAATGTATGGATTTTTGTCCCGATTGTAGTGTTGAATTCACAATGGAAGTAAAACACAATGATGAGAAAACACTTAATGTAACGAGTGCCGATTTTAAAACAAGTGACGGTCGTGTTCGTCCTTTAAATTCAAGACCACGTGACGAAGAAAATGAATATCCAGAACCAGATGGTTCGTAAAAATTAATAAAATATTTTGGAATTTCTTTTTCAAATTAATTATAATTAATAATTAAAAAAAAAATGAATAGAAAAATTTAGAGTAAAGAAATTTTTTCTTTTTCAAAAAGAAAAAAAAATTTAATTTATAAATTGTGTTTATTCTTTTTTTTAAAAAAATAAAGGAAATAATAAATTTTTTTTTTGCAGATATTCTCATTGTTAAATTGCGAAATGGACAAGAATTGAAATTACGTGCATATGCAAAAAAAGGTTTTGGAAAGGAACATGCAAAATGGAATCCAACAGCGGGCGTTAGTTTTGAATATGATCCTGATAATTCAATGAGGCATACTTTATTTCCAAGACCCGAGGAATGGCCAAAATCAGAATACAGCGAATTGGACAAAGATCAGCGTAAACAAATTTTTTTTTTTTCAAAATTTAAAGATTTTTTTTTTGTTAAATTAAAAAAAAAAAATTTCGTTAAGAAAACTAAGTTTCAATCAATTTTAAGTTTTTTATTTTTTCAGTATGAAATTTGTTTACGTAAAAAAAAAAAATCTTAATAGAAATTTTGTAATATAAATAATTTTTAAATACAATTTTCTTTTAATTTAAACAATTTTTTATGTAAAAAAAAAATTAAATACAATTAATATTAATTATTAATTATATTTATTGTTATTATTTTATTTTTCTTTTAATTTACAAAAAAAAATTTTGAATTAAATTTTTCTTTAATACAAAACAAAAAATTTTTTTTAAAATGTAATTTCACTTTTAATGTATAAAGATCTTTTTTTTATATTTTTTCTATTAAATGGAAATATATATATATGTATTTTTTTTTTTTTGGAAAAATGATTTTTAAAAAAAGTATTTTTTTTCTTTTTTTGCAGATGAAGCTGCATTTAATTGGGAGGCAAAACCAAATAAATATTATTTTAATGTCGAATCAAGCGGTGCCTTAAAACCGGAAAATATTGTTATGATGGGAATTGCTGCTTTAAAAAATAAATTATCCAATTTACAAACGCAATTGAGCCACGAAGTAAATAGTGACGCTCTCAGTATTCATCATTAATATAAAAAAAAGAAAAAAAAATCCAAAAAAATTTTTTCCTATTTTTCAAATTTTTTTTAAATAAAATAAAAATAAATTAATTAAACAATTATAAAAATTGGTTATTTTTTCTTAATAATAAATACTTTCCTTTTTTCTCTAATTTAAATTATTATTATTATTATTTTACTATTTATTATTTTATTATCTTGCTATTATTATTATTTTACTATTATTTTAATATATATTATTTTTTTTATTTTAATTTTACACGGGTTTACAAAAAAATGCCTTAAGTAAAAAAAAATATTTTATTACCTTGCGATTATTATTATTTTTTTTTTATTACTTTTTTTTACTTTTATTATTATTATTATTTTTTATTTATACCAAAGAATACAGCCGTTGAAAATTTTGAATTTTTTTTCCTTTGTTTTTTTTTAGTTATATTTTCGCATTAGAAATTATTAATTTTTTAAAAATAAAATCTCTACGTGTTAGAATATAAATTGAATGTATTAAATTAATTTTAAAAGTATTATTATTATTATTATTCCTTTTATTACCACTATTATTATTCATGAGAAAAAAGTAGATCATCCAAAAGAGTATCTCAATAGTAATAAGATAAAAATTTTTTTTTTACAATTTATTAATGTCAATGACAAATTTAAAAGTAAATTTCAATGTCAATAATTAATAAAAATAAACATTTTGAAAAACTGACGCCAAAATTACATTAACCAATGAATGTCAAGTATCAATTTATCCTATTGGTTGGCATTAATTCCAAAATATAAATCTTGTCCACCAATCAAATCTTATTCAATTTTCATCAGATTCTCATGAAAATTGACAAATTTAATTAAATAAAAAAAAAACAAATATAATATCTTTTTTTATATAATATACAATTATGTAAATAAATAAAAAAACTTTCTATTTCTTTTTGTGTAACAAAATCGTATTTATTTGTGGTTTTTTTTTTCTTTTTTTCTAAATAATGTTGGCAACAGTGTTAACTTAACCTGTGCTGTGCGTGTGTCGTCAGTTGTATTGTAACGTTAGGTCTGTCAGAATAGAAAAGAGATGCAGCAGTGTCGACTTTAATTAATTATTCGTTATTTCGCGTAATTATTCCTGTTGCTAGACCAAATATATATATATATATACATATATACATATACATATAAATATTATAAATTATAGCAAAAAAAATATTTGACGAAAAATTCTCGACAGTGTCGTGTGTGTGTGTATATATATACATATAACATAACGCGAAGTGTTTTTTTTTTTTTCTTTTTTCTCTGGTTCTCATCTCTTTCCCATATCACAAAGTGAATTTAACCCGTGGATTTTTGGGGCAAAAGAAGCTGTAGTGTAATGCGGTGGTGAAAGTCTCCCAAACAGATTGAGGGTAAGTAAAAATACACAACATGTAAACTATTATTTTTCCGAAACAAATTTCTTTATATATATATATATACGAAAAATTTTCTTTGCCTTTGAAAATATAATTTTTATCCTAGTGAATTATAATTCGGTTTTAATACTCGCGTGGCGGAGTTTTTACGAGAGGGGTAAAAAAGGGGGGGTAGTAAAAAGTGATGCAAAATTTTCCTTTTTTTTTTTGTGAAAATTGGTTTTTTTTTGGTGAAACAAAAAAGAAATTGAAATCAACGCTCATTTTTGCATGGGATTTGGATTCGTATAACGGTATATCGAAACGAGAGTGATTTCGTCTCCTTTGTGTATGTATATTATATATATCTATATATATATTATGAATATATATATATATATATATATATATTCGTATATATAGATATATACGTATATGTATGCCTATAACTATATCTATATAGGTTTTCCCCGAAAACAATTTTTTCCATATCGACAATAAGAATTTATTGTCGTGTCTGCTATACAGCAAAATAAAGACGAAAAAAAAAAGTCGCGTTATTTGAAACGTGAGTCGAAAAATGATGGTCTTTGTCCTTTGTTCAGTAATTTGTGAGTGACAATTTTTTCGCTTTCTCTCTCTCTCTCTCTCTCACACACACACACAATTTGTTTTGTCTCTTAAATGCTTTCCATAAAAGTACTTCTTTATTCCTTATGTACGTAAATGTGTGTGTGTGTGTTATACATGTTTGGCCCTAACCTCGAAAAAAATTCAATTCCTTATATATTTTTCAAAATTTTTTTCTAGGTTATATTTAAGTAATTAACGATATATTATTTGATTTGACGTTATTACGTTATTTAATTATGATATTGATATATATTGTTCGCGAAATGTTATGAATTTATGTGTTAATTTAATTTTCTATGTATATATATATATATATATACCTATATAAGCGAACATTTATATAACCCTTTTGATTTTCCGTTTAGAAAATAGTTTAGTTTTTTTTTAAATATAGAGGGGGAATTTTTATTAATATTTTTATCGGGAATAAAAAAAATGTATGATTCATATTGATAAAAGTTGTTTTGAAAAAAAAATTTGTGGTAAATATTCGTTTTAATTAGAAGAAAATTACACGATTAATTAAAATGTTTATTTAAATTTTAAATATTTAACACAAAATTATCGGATAAAATGTAATTGATTAAAAAAAACGAACAGAATTATTATTATTTTTTAATTACTTTAGAAATTGAAAAATAGTCAAAATATTATTTGAAAAGAAAAAATAATAATAAAACGAAAATGGAGAAAAAAAATAACTAAATTTAAAGAAAAAAAATTAAAATAATAAAAAGAAAACAAGAAAATAGTAAATAAATAATAATAATCAATAAATAAACAAATGAAATAATAAAAAATTAATAGTAAAATAAAATTAATAAAATAATAATAAAAAATAAAATTAAAAATAATTACTAATAATAGTAATAATAATTAATAATGTAATAATAATAATAATCAATAAATAATAAATAAACAAATAAAATTATCAAAAAATTAATAAAATTAAATAATTAGTAAAAGAAAATAATTATAAATAAACGAAAATAGTATAATAAAATTTTTAAAACTAAAAAAATTTATGAAAACAAATTTGGAGTTACAAAAATTAAAAATGAGTATTTTGAATATTTTTTTTTTTAAAACGAGATATTAAAATAAAAACAAAATGAATAATTTTTTGTAATTTTGTTTAGTGGAATCCCAAGTGGAAATTGGATTCATTATTTACCCCAGGGGGTTTTTTTGAAAAAAAGGATTCTGAGGAAGAGAATTAAAAAAATAATAAAAAAAAAAAAAAATGTCGAATCACAGAGGTGGTGGAGGAGGAACTGGTAGTCATCAAGGTGGTCCACCTGGTTTAAAACAAATTGACTTGGATCAAATATGGGGCGATTTACGCGAAGGCATTGAACAAGTTTACAATAGACAATGCATGTCAAAACCACGTTACATTGAACTCTATACTCATGTTTATAATTATTGCACGAGTGTACATCAACAAATATCAAGAACATGTACGAAAAATAAAAAAAATCCAATGTCTGGTGGCGCTCAACTTGTTGGTCTTGAATTATACAAAAGATTACGTGAATTTCTTCGTAATTATCTTATTAATTTACTTAAGGTGAGTTTTGGTTTTTTTTTGTAGCTCTATTTTTTTTTAGAAGAATTTTATTTTTCATTATCATTTTCTACTTCTTTTGTCAGGCCTTGGATTATATTCTTTTTTTTTTAAATATACAAATTTTTTCGACTTTTTTTAATAAAATGCTGCGACTATTTCGATTTATTTTGTTTTTTACAAAATTTTTAAACAAAATACTTTTTTTTCAAGTATAGAATAAATAATTAATTAAATTGATTAATTAATAATAATTTTTTTACTATACAAATCTTGTTTATTTCAAATTATTTAACAAATTTTTAACTAAAATTCTACACTAAATTAATTATTTTTAAAAATATTTAATGAAATTCAATTTACAGATTTAATTATTTTAAAACTATTTTTCAAATTAAAATTTTTATGATATTTAATAATTGTTTATAATTAAAAAAAAACACGAAAAAAACAAATTAGCAAATAAAATTAATGAAAAAATGTATAAATTCAAAATTATGTAAAGGTTGAAATTTAATTATTTTTGAAAAAATTTCAATTATTTTTTTTATAATATTCTTTGCAAAATTCAATTATCTGAACAGGCATTTTTCAAATTTAAAAATAATTTTGAAATTAAATTTTTTTTTTATATGATTTCTAATAAATTTTTCATCAAACGGAAATCATGAAAAATCAATTAAGAATTCAAGTATTTTCAAAACTTTCGATTCAAAATCAATTAAAAATACATTATTTTCAACATTTTCTATTTAAAATCAATTAAAATTCAATTATTTTCAAAATTTTCAATTTAAAATCAATTAAAATTTAATTATTTTTAAAAATCTTACTTGAAATTTAATTATTTTCAAAAATTTTAATTCACAGGGTGTCTAACGGTCAGGGAAAGTCAGGGAATTTCAGAAAATTTCATTCAAAGTCAGGGAAATTTCTGTAAATTTCTACAAAAATTAAAATTTTTTGTGAATTTAAAAATTTTTTAATCTAAAAAAACTTGAATGGTTTTTATCACCATTTGTTACTACTATTAGAAATTAATTTATTGTTAAATACGTCAGTAACCATATTTTTGTCCAAAGAAAGCAGAAATAAGGTTATTAAAAAGTCAGGGAAAAATAAATAAATGTCAGGGAGGAGTCATGGAAAAGTCAGGGAATTTTTTTCTCAATCCTTGTTAGACACCCTGATTCAGAATCAACCAAAATTCAATTATTGTTCAAAAATTTTAATTCAAAATTAACTAAATTTCAATTATTTTTAAAAATTTCAATTTAAAATCAATTAAAATTCAATTATTTTCAAAAAAAGATTATCGAAAATTATTTAATGAATTATTTGAAATTCTGTTTAATTTAATTATTATCTAAAATTTAACTATCTGAAACCATTTTTTGCTTAAAAAGTTTTCAAATTATTGTATTTTTCTCTTCAATTTCTAATAAATTTTTTTCATCAAAAAATTTTATTTAAAAATCACTTAAAGTTCAATTAATTTTAAAAATCAAAATTATAAATCTTTAAAAATTCAATTACTTTAAAAAAAAAAGTTATCTAAAATTATTATTTGATAAATTCTTTTTAGTTCTGTAAAATTTAATTATTGTCTTGAAAATTAATAAAAATCTTTTGAAATTCAATAATTTCTAAAAAAAATTTCTCTTCTAAAATTATTATTTAAAAAAAAAAATTTTTTATTTAAAAATCTGTAAAATTTATGTGAAATTTGTCTTTTAGATCGATTATGAAATAGAAATAAATTTTCTTGTTAATATTCATTATAGAATTAATAAAAATGAATTTAATGTCTAATAAAATTACAGTTATTTAAAGTAAAATATTTATTAATCAATTAAATTTTATTAAAATCAAAAAAAATTGCCTTTTGGAATATAAATTGACTTTTTTTTTGGTGCTTTAAATTCAATCCGAGGCCTGTTTTTTATTTCAATTTTCATTTTAAATACAGAAAACAGCTTTTTTCAAAAAAAAAAAAAAAAAAAAATAGAAAGAAAAGAAATCTCTCGAATAATTTTTAGAACCACGGATTAGAATTGGCGAGAATTAAGGGGGGAACATTTGCTTCCTGTTTCCTGCTAGCGCCTCCTTTGGCATCTATACTACTTCCTTCTGTAGGTTTTTGAGAAATGGGGTGGGGAAAAACAAAATTTTTCATTTTCCACCCCCCTCCTTAATGAAAATGGAGGTTTATTTTTTTTTGTTTTTGTTTAATTGTCAATATCAGTCCCGTCTACTAAAAAAAAAAGAAGAAAAACTAGTAATATTATTAGAAAAAGAAATTTATTTAGAAAATTTTTTTTTTTATTGTATTTTCTGTTAATGTAGATAAATTTAATAATAGAATAACTATTTTTCGTCTGTCTGATTTTTCAGTGAAACGTTTCTTTTTGTTTTTTGTTTGCTATTTTTTTTTTTTTTTTTAAATAACTAATAAATATATATATATATATATATTTTTTTTAATTTAGCATGGTGTTGATCTAATGGACGAAGATGTATTGCAATTTTACACGAGACAATGGGAAGAATATCAATTTAGTAGTAAAGTTCTCAATGGCGTTTGTGCGTATTTAAATCGACATTGGGTGAGACGAGAATGTGAAGAAGGACGTAAAGGAATTTATGAAATTTATCAACTTGCACTTGTCACGTGGCGTGATAATCTCTTTAAACATCTTAATCGACAGGTACTTTTTTTCAAATTAAAAAGAAATTTTTTCCCTAAAAAATTAATTTCTAATTTATTTATTTGGATTACTTTTTTTTTGCAGGTGACAAATGCAGTTTTAAAATTAATAGAACGCGAAAGAAATGGTGAGACAATAAATACACGTTTAGTAAGTGGTGTTATTAATTGTTACGTCGAATTGGGATTAAATGAAGAGGATCCAGGTGCAAAGGGACAAAATTTATCAGTTTATAAAGAATCATTTGAAAATCTCTTTCTTGAGGACACTGAACGTTTTTATACACGTGAAAGTTCAGAATTTGTTCGTCAAAATCCAGTAACTGAATATATGAAAAAAGGCGAACAACGTTTACTTGAAGAAGAAAAACGTGTACAAGTTTATTTACATCAAACAACACAGGATCGTTTAGCAAAAACATGTGAACGTGTATTAATTGAAAAACATTTGGATATATTTCATTCGGAATTTCAAAATTTACTTGATTCAGAAAAAAATAATGATCTAGGAAGAATGTATCAACTTGTCGCAAGAATACCAAATGGTTTGGGTGAATTGAGAAATTTACTTGAAAGTCATATTGCTAATATGGGATTGGCTGCTATTGATAAATGCGGTGACACTGCCCTTAATGTGAGTATTTTTTTTTTTTATTTATAAATTTCAAAAATTTTCTGTATTTTTCTTTTTTTCTGTTTTAATTAATTAGAAAATACAATTTTTTCCGGAAAGAAAAGAAATAGAAATTAAAAAAATTGTATTTTTATTTTAATTTTTAGAAAATATGACTTTTTTTGTCTTATTTTAGAAAAATGTGACAATTTCGACTTTTTTTTTTACATTATTTAAAAAAAAAAATTTTAATAAATAAGTTTTTTTTTTAGTATACAATGCAGATCTACAAATCCTGTTTATTTCAATTATTTAACAAAATTTTTAACTAAAATTCTTCACTAAATTAAAAATTTTTAATAATTTTAATGAAATTCAATTATCCGAAACTATTTTTGAAAATTAAAATTTTTATGAAATTTAATAATTGTTTATAATTTAAAAAAGAAAATAATTAGCAAATAAAATAAACAAAAAAATTAATTAATTAAAAATAACTTGAAATTTAATTATTTTTGCAAAAAAATTTCTATTATTTTTTAATGATTTTTGTAATATAGATCTTCGAAAATTCAATTATCTAAATGAAAGCATTTTGCAATTGAAAATAAATATTCAGTTGAATTTTTGGCTATAAATTCTAATAAATTATTCAATTATTTGCGAAAAATTCAATTTCAAATCAATTAATATTCAATTATTTTCAAAAATTTTAATTCAAAATAAAATTTAAAAAAAATGAATTATTTTCCAAAATTTCAATTGAAATTCAATTATTTTCAAAATCTTCAATTCAAAATCAACAAAAATTCAATTATTGTTCAAAATTTCTATTTTCAAAATTTTCAATTAAAAATCAATTTAAAATTCAATTATTTTCAATTTAAAATCAATTAAAATTCAATTATCTTCAAATTTTTCAATTAAAATTCAATTATTTTAAAAATTTCAATTTAAAAGCTTCTAAAATTTAATTATATCTTAAATTTCTATAAATTTAATAATTTCAATTATAACTCTCCTGAAATTCAATTATTTTCAATATTTTTAATTGAAATTCAATTATTTTCGAAAATTTAATTTTAAAATTCAATTATTTCAAAATTTTAAATGAAATGCAAAGCGTGAAAATACAAATTTTTTGAAAAGAAAAGAAATCGAAATTAAAAAATTTGTCTATTTCTTTACTAATTTTTGGGAAAATTCATTTTCAGGATCCAAAAATGTATGTCAATACAATATTAGAGGTACATAAAAAATACAATGCATTAGTGTTGGACGCTTTTAATAATGACATTGGTTTTGTGACTGCACTCGATAAAGCTTGTGGTCGTTTTATTAATATTAATTCAGTGACAAGAACAGCGAATAGTAGTAGCAAATCACCGGAATTATTGGCGAAATACTGTGATTTACTTTTGAAGAAAAGTAGTAAAAATCCCGAGGAGGCTGAACTCGAGGATACTCTTAATCAAGTGGCAAGTTTTTTTTTTTTTTTTAAATATTTCTAATTTCTAAAAGAATTCAAAAATTTAGAATATTTTTCCTTTTTTTCAGTTTTACTAAGTAGGTAAAAAAATAATAATAATATTTACAGTTGGTAAATGATTAAAAAAAAAAAAAAAATTATTGTTTTATCAATTTTTGCAGATGGTAGTTTTTAAATACATAGAGGATAAAGATGTTTTTCAAAAGTTCTACAGTAAAATGTTGGCAAAACGATTGGTGCAACATATGTCAGCGAGTGATGACGCTGAAGCTTCAATGATCTCAAAATTAAAACAAACATGCGGCTTTGAATATACATCAAAATTACAACGTATGTTTCAAGATATTGGCGTGTCTAAAGATTTAAATGAACAATTTCGTAGACATTTGACAAATTCGGCTGAGCCACTCGATATTGATTTCAGTATTCAAGTACTATCATCAGGCTCATGGCCATTTCAACAATCATTCTCATTTTCCTTGCCAACAGAGGTAAAAATTGACTAAAAAATAATTATTATTATAATTGAATAGAATAGAATTTATTTTCCTTTGACAATACAAAATTAAAAACAGTATTTTTTTGGAGAATTTGATTTTTGTTTTGTTTTTTGCAGTTGGAAAGGTCTGTACATAGGTTTACAACATTCTATAGTTCACAGCACAGTGGACGAAAATTAAATTGGCTGTATAATATGTCCAAAGGTGAATTACATACGAATTGTTTTAAAAATAGATATACATTACAAGCCTCTACATTTCAAATGGCGGTATTATTACAATATAATGTATCAACATCATGGACTTTGCAACAATTAATGGAATCCACACAAATTAAAATGGATTTTCTCATTCAGGTAGGAATTTATATTTTTTTTTATCACAATAATTTAAAAAAAAATGTGCTAATATTATGTTATTAAATTAAAATTTTTCTCACAAGTGAAAATAATTGGAAATAAATAATTGTTTTTTTGTTTCCATTAATTTCGTAGGTAATGCAGATACTATTAAAGGCAAAGTTATTGATCTCGTCGACAGATGAGGAGGCGGAACTTTCTCCATCGTCAACTGCTGAACTTTTCACGGGTTATAAAAAGTAATTTTTTTTTTGAAAAATTATATAATTTTTTTAAAAATTTATTTTTTTTACGGCAAAAAAAAAATTTTTTTCTTTACCTATAACAGCGATAAATTTCACTGGAATAACGAAATATTTCTTTAAAATAGCGGTAATTTTTTGCTATTCTAGAGAAATTACTGTTTCAAATAGATTTTTTTTTCCGTGAATTTTTTTTTTTTTAATTTGAAAAATTGTAATGTTTCTTTTTTCTTTTTAGCAAAAAACTCAGGGTAAATATAAATATCCCGATGAAAACGGAACTTAAAGTGGAACAAGAAACGACGCATAAGCATATAGAGGAAGATAGAAAGTTATTAATACAAGCGGCGATAGTGAGAATTATGAAAATGAGAAAAGTCCTTAAGCATCAACAACTCGTTGCTGAGGTTCTCAATCAACTCAATACAAGGTTCAAACCGAGAGTTCATGTTATTAAGGTAAATTTTATTATTTTATAAATAAATTTCAATTTTTTTTTTTTTAAAAATTACTTCAATTTACAGAAAAATTTCTCATTCTGTTTATTTATTTTTTCAAAAACTTTTGTGGTTTTTTTTTTTTTTTTTTTTAATTTTGCCATTTAATTCCCTTTTTTTCCAAAAATTGGAAAAGAAAAAATAAATAAAGAGAAACGAAAATCTATTTACAAAAAAAAAACAAAATAAAGTTTCTTTCTTTCTTTATTTTCAGAAATGTATAGATATTTTAATAGAGAAGGAATATTTAGAACGAACGGAAGGACAGAAAGATACATACAGCTATTTGGCATGATTTGCTTTGATGATGATGATAATAATAATTTATCACATTAAAAAAATACGAAGAAAGAAGATGAAACATAGGTGAAAAAAAAACAAAAAATTTCATTAACTATTACTGGTAATATTTGCGGTTTTCTCCGTGTCTCGATATTTATTTAAAAAAAAAACAGAAACAGAAACAAACAAAAATCAAACAAAAGAAACAAAAAAAAATTCACATTTGACGTCGATTAATATTATTTTTACGTCAAAAAAAAAAAAAATAAATATATATATATATATATATATTTGCGCCAATACTGCGCTCATTGCTCGCAGCCATGTCGCTTTAATTCTGGTCGCATTTAGATTTTAATTTTTACAAAAAAAAACAAACAAACACAAAAACATGAAAATAATAAAAATCATTAATTCATTAATTAGTCAATTCGCTAGGCCTCGACAATTTTATTAATTGTTGAATAATTTTTATTTTTTTCTCTCTTATTTGTGATATAAAAATCAAATGGGGGAAAAAATATTGTGATTTCAATACTAAAAATATTCAATAGTGAAAATTGATCTTTTAGGGAAAATTTTCGTTTTTATTTCCTTTTTTTTTGAGGAGAAAAAAAAATAAAAGAGAAAGAGATTTTTAAAAATCCTTGGATCTAAAATCGATACTCGATTTTTATTTATTTTTTTTTTAAGTTTAAATTTTCAGTAAATTAAATTTAATTTTTAATACAAAAAAAATTTGTTTCTTTTAATAAAAATCGATTCTCGATTAATCATTAATGAAAAAATTGACTCTCGAAAAAAAACATTTTAAATAGAAAAAAACGAAATTCTTCGAATTTTCGTTTTGTGTTACTTTCATAATTATAAAAAATAGATTTTAATTAAAAAAAAAATTGGTTTTTTGTTTTGTTTTGTTTTTTTTTTTTTTTTTCATTAAACGAGATTATGAGAAAAATTTATCGTTAAATATTTGGTTTAAAAAACAATTGTAATTTATCGATAAAAAAAAAAATGAAAGAAAAGGGTGGGGGGAATTTTTTTTTAAATTACAAAAAAAAGGCTGAAAAAATCGAGTGATTGTCACACACAGAAACACATCACGAACAATTTTTGTTTTTCGTGCGAAAAAAAAAGAAATTAGTAAAATTCCTTCTTTTTTTTTAGTCAATGACACGTGAATGCGACTTTTAAATGTAATTTTACCTTTGACGACGTTTAATTAATTAATTAATAAAAAATTAATTAGTGATGCGAATCGGATGTGAAAAAGAAAAAGCCTCAAGAAAAAAATTATTATATTTTTATCAATTATAAAAAATTACACACAGGAGAAAAAAAAATCTTAGAGAGAAAAAAAAAATATATATATATATTCTCAAAAAAGAAATTTAAATATATTACTTTTTTTTTTGTCCGAGGCTTTTTTTTAGTGAAATATTAAAAATAAAATATTATTATTGTTTTCTATCTTTAAAAAAAAAAAAAAAAAAATTATAATTTTTTTTTTTGTAGTTTTTTTTTTTTCTTTCTTTTTTTTTTCTTTTTTTTTTCTTTTAAAGACAAAAAATATCTTCTTCTTGGGGTCTCGAAAGTGTTGACCGAAAATTTTGTACAGTCCAATATAATTACTTGTTAGAATTATTTCTTGCACAAAATAAGACTTCTGTAAATAAATGAAAAAAAAAAATGTCATTTGGAACAAAAAAAAAAGTGATGGGTTTTTTTTATTTTATTTATTTGACAAAAAAGAGAAAACATTTTTTTTTTTTTGCGAAACACTTTTCCTTTTAAAAAAAGAAAAAAAATATTTTAATTTTGATCTGGTTTCCATTCGAGGAATTTTGTAAAATCTTCATTTGTTATTTGTATTTGTCGACTTGCTTCTAAAAAAGTCTGGAAAAAAAATATTTTTTTTTTTAAATATTGGATTTTTTTTAATTATTAAAAAAAATGTTTTATATTTTTTTTAAACTAATTAGTTAGAAAAATGTAAATATTTTTTTAAACTTTAAATTTTAGAGCCTTTTGTCTAAATTTTGAAAAAAAATTTCAAATTTCTAAATTTCGAATGTTTAATTTCAAAAAGTCTATGTAAAATTAATTTTAGTATAATTTTTTTTTTAAAAACCTTTTGCTTTTTCAGATTATCAATAAGGAGCATTTGCTTTTTATAAGCTTGACACAATTCTGAGCGTTGTTTTTCTAGATTTTTTATCGATTGCCTTTTATCTTCAGTGATTTTTCGTATTTGATCACGTAAATCCTGAAATTAGTTTTCTGTTATTAATTTTTTTCCTTTTTTTATTATTTTTTTTTTATACAAAATTTATTTATCTCCAGAAATTAAAAAATTTTACTATAAAAATAGTTTTCAGTTTTCTTTTGTAATAATTTTTGTTACCTTTTCGTCTAATTTACTAAATTTCAAAGAATTGCGAAGTTTTTCATTTTCCTCTAAACTTCTATTTAATCTCACATCATTAGTGTTGCATTGTTGATTAAAATTTTTCACTTCTTTTTTTAATTCCTCAACTTCCTAAAAAAAAGTTATTAAATTACATTTTTTTTAAATTTTTTAAATAATATTAAATTAAATTAAAAAATTTTTTTTTTTAAATAATAAAAATTTTTTTTTTTTGAAAAATTAGATTTAAATTGAAAAAAATGCTGATTTTTTTAAATTGTGATAAAAAAAAATATTATTAATATTTTTTATCACCTTTTTTAACGCAGAAATCTCGCTAGCTTGATCATGAATTTTTAATTGATAATTTCCATTAACAATTTCATTTTTTGCTATTAATTCTTTCGATGAACATAATTGATTTTGTAATTTTTCCTTTATTTCCATTTGATTTTTCTTTTCTATCTCCAATTCTTTATAAAGATTACACTGAATTTATAGAGAATTAAAATGAAAATTTTAATTATTTAATTAAACTATTTTACAAAAATATAATTAAAAACGTAAAATTAAAATATAAATAAAATTATTTAAAAGACAATAGAAGAATTTAATAAGCATAAAAAATTCTACGAAAGTTTTAAAAAAAATGTTGCCTTTTCAAATAATTGTAATAATTTATTAAATAATTAATAATTTATTATTATTTTATTATTGTTTAATAATTTATTATTATTTTCAAAAATATTTTATTCTTAGAATTTTTAATTAAATAAAAATTAAATCAGTGCAATTAGTAAAGAAAAAAAAATTTGCAAGAACCTTTTTTTTATACTCATTTTTAATGGCTTCAATTTCAGTTTGTTGAGATTTTATTTTCGTCTTCAGTAATTGAATTATTGTCTCAGATTTTGAAATTGTTTCACTTTTCGATGGATTAGTAAAATTTTCCATTTCTACATTTCTATTGATATAAAAAGTTTTTTTTTTTTTTTTTTTGTTAATAATAATGAAATAATTAATTTTTTTTTATAATTAATTTTAAAAAAAATTTTTAATTGCCAAAAATTAATATAAAAATTTATTTCAATTCAAAAGAAAATTAATTATTTTTACAAAAAAAAAACAAACTTTTTTTATTCACTGAATAAAAAAAATTTTTCATTTTTATTATAAATTTTTTTTTAAAATTAATTAATAATTAACTAAATTATTATTTAATTATTTATTTATTAATTTATAATAATTATTATTTATTAATACCTAATAATTTAATTTAAAAAATTAATAATATGATTAATATTTTTATTAATTAATTAAATTGGAAAAAAAAATCTTTATCTGAAACAGCGATATATTTCTCTAAAATTTCAAGAAACCTTTGCTGTTTGAGTGAAATATATCGCTGTTTCAATGAAACTTTGATCTATTTTCGGTTAAAAAAAATTTTCCATGATAATATTAATTAAAATTATTCAATAATTTTTTTTTTTAATTAATTAATTTGTTTTAAATAATTAAATTAATTATTAAATTTTACCTGTTTTGTAATTGAAGTGTTTCGTCAGATAATTGTGGTAAAGAAACATTTTTTTTAAAAAGCAAAATATTTGATTGTCTTTCCATTAAAGTTGGAGCATTGAAAATTTTATTATTTATATTATCATTCTGATTTGTAAATGAATAATAATGTTGATTTAATGATGATAATAATTGAAAATTATTTGTCGATTCCATCACTGAATCAAATTCTTTCATTAATTCCCGCGTTTTTTCTTCTAATTCTTTATTTAATCTATGAAATTCTTTTTCTTTTGCCAATAAATCGTCGGACATTGTTTTTTTTTTTTTTTTTTTTTAATTTTATTTGCGATATTTGTTCAATATTCTTGAATTGAAAATTTTTTATTTTAAATCTCAATTTTTTGACGCCATTTTCAAACAAAATTATTAATTACAAAGTTGTTATGTTAACAAAGGTGTATTGAATATTTGGTAGAATGTCCGAAATGTAAAACTTGTTTCTTTCCTCTTATGGAGCTTCTACAATTGGGAACAGTGGTCTAGTAACAATCTAGTAACTTTGACCCATTCTCTCCCTCCATTTTGTTTTTTCTACTCTTTCTAACCTATTAATTGAAGAGAGACAAAGAAAGAAAATGGAGGGAGAGAATGGGTCCCCACCAGATGGCGTATTGCAGTTTAGCCGATCCCAATAGGTCCGAAAGGCTCGGACTTTGTTGCGCGCGCATCGTGTTGACTTTTATTTTTGTAAGATATTTGATAATAAATAGTAATTAATTATTAAATTATGAGTAATTAATTAATAAATTATGAGTAATTAATTAATAATTTAACAATTAATTAATTAATAATGAGTAATTACCATCAATTATCTTAAAAAAATAAAAATTACACGATGCGCACGAAACAAAGCCATTTTGGTAAAGCAATCGGCGGGATTGAATTTTCGCGGTTGTATCACTGAATTTGATTGGCTCTGACTAATATTCCATTTCCACCGTGAAAATTGAATATTTTTAGAGCCAATCAAATTCAGTGATTCTCCGTGAAAATTCAATCCAGCCGATTGCTTTACCAAAATACTGGAGGTATAAAAGCACCTTTATCAAAATACTGGAGGAATAAAAGCACCTTTAGGTAGCCATTTATTTTGGACAAATTTTTTTTGAAAAATCATAAATTTTATAAGGTTATTCAAGTTGGGTGGGGGAAAGCCAAGATGGATGATGGCTGGTGCACAAACATCCGGCCTATCAGCATTCATTCCCACGAGAAATTTCTCGTGGGAATGAATGCTGATAGGCTGATAGGCCGGATGTTTGTGCACCAGCCATCATCCATCTTGGCTTTCCCCCACCCAACTTGAATAACCTTATTGTCCTTTTCTAACATACGTGTTGCCATGACAACATATAGAAAAGGACAAAAAAACGGCCAAGAGTGTAATTTTATTATCTATAGGGAATTTTGAATTAACACATTGCAAAACAGCCAATTAGGTAAGAGAAAGAGAACATTTGTGACTAACTTCAGTCTTTAATGAAAAAAAAAATAGTCTGCAGCGATTGATTGTAATTAATTGCAATATTTTTATACAAAACAATTAGTGTTTTTGAATGTTTATTGATAAGTAAAATAAAAAGTTTCTATTTTTAATCGTGTGTTAAAATTAAGTGAATCTTTTTTTTTCCTTTTTTTTATAATCATTTGTCATATATACGGTTATTTATTGTTTTTGTTCGTTCGATTTCATGTTACAAATTGTATAACAAGTCATAACACGATTTATTATCAGTTTTAAAATTAAAAAAAAAATAAATAAAATAAAGAAAAATGGGCAAAATGCGAAGATCATTGAGACTTACGATGAAAAATACAAATTATAAAAGTCCATTGAAACGTTTGCAACATGCAAAAGTAGGGTAAGTTTTTTTTTTCTCGACACTTTTTTAATTATTAATTTTATTATTATTATTGCAATTTTGTTTTTTGTGATAATTTTTCTAATTATTGAGAAATATTGTATAAATGTATATATATATACATAGAAAACGACAAATAGAAGAAGATTCGTCTAGGTTAAGGCCAGCGAAAAAATTGAAATTAGTTGGACCAACAACGAAACGACATATATTAAATGTACCGAGTTTAGTATCGAGAAGAAGTAGTGTTATTATTATTAATGATGAAAATGACATTGGGCCAAAAACACCGGGAAAAAAAGGTTCAATTCAAAATGAAGCTGACGATTCGGTTATTATTCTCGACGATTGGCATGAAGGTAAATTGAGGTTATTTAAAAAATTTCAACAAAAAAAAAAATTTTTTTGTTAAAAAAAACCTTTTCTTTTTTAAAAATTAAAAATTACATTTTTCCATATAAAATATTCAATTTTTCGTGTTTTTTTTTTATTTTTTATTAAAATTTATTTTACAAATTATTAGCCTTTTTTAATTAAAAAAAAAAATAAATAAAAATAAAATCAAATTAAAATTTGAAAATTTTTAAAATAAATTTCTTAAAGACAATTTTTTTTTGAAAAACTGAAAATTCCTGGAAATAATAATAATAATGAATTAATTATTATTTTACTAATTTTTGTTTGTTTTCTTCCCCCCAGCATCAGGAGAAAATTCCACTCAATCGAAAGTAAATACAAATCAAACGGAGGACATAACGGTTGTTTGGTCATCGGTTTCTGATACATTAAAAAAAAATAATGACTTTATTCCACTTGAAGTTGAAAAAAAATCTCATTTAAATGAAACAAATTTACAAATGTTAAAAGGTGAATATCCACAAAAATGGTTAGGCGATTGGTTAGCTGAGAGAAAAATAGCGAGAAATAAAAATGCAAGAGAAATTGCAAAAAGAATACGTGAAAAAAAAAGAAATACACAAAAAGCAGAAAAAATTTTTAATGAAAAATTAGTGAAAACAAAGGAAAAATTACCATCAATTGAATATGTTGAAAATTCGGAAATAATGCAAGTATTAAAAATACCAAATTTAAAGGATAGAAATGTGGAAATTGTTCAAACAACAACGACAGCAGCAGCAGCGACAGCGACGACAACAACAACAACAACAAAAATGACAACAGCAGCAACAAGAATGGAAAATGTGGAAATTGAAAAGACGAGAACAAATGGAAAATTGAGGGAAATTATTATCGATGGACCAAACGTTGCAAAAGCGTGAGAATTCATTAATATTTTAGAAATATAAATTGCAAAATCCTTTTTTTTTTCATTTCTTTCTTTTTACATGACGCCGAATTTTTATTTATTCGAATTAGTATTTTTGCAGAATTTTCATTAAAAACAAAATTTTCTATATTACAGAATTTTTAGCTTGTTTAAAAAATTTATCTAATATAGAAAAATTGTTTTAATGAAAAATTCAGCAAAATTGACTAATTCGAAGAAATAAAAAATTTTGATGATTGTTTTAAAAAAAATTATCTAATATAGAAAAATTGTTTTAATGAAAAATTCAGCAAAAATTACTAATTCAAAGAAAGAAAAATTTCGGCTGCAAAAATAATTATGCGTTCTTTTTTTTTTACGTTACAGGTACACGAGGGGAAAATTTTTTTCCGAGACAGGCTTAAAAATTGTTATCGATTTTTTTGTAAATAAAGGTCACAAGGTAGTTGCATTTATTCCTCAACATGTACGAAGTCGTAATCGTAATTTATTGGAGGATCTTAATCGTCAGGGTTACGTTGTTTTTACGCCAAGTCGAAAAGCAGGTTCAAAAGTAATTACACCCTACGATGACAGGTAATTTAATTAATTATGTAATTTCATTTTCAAATTTTTAATTTTTTCCAAAATTAAAAAATTTTCTTTCATATAAAAATTTTTTTTTTATGAAATTAACATTTTTTTTATACGATTTTATAAAATTAAATTTATCAAGCAAAAAAAAAAGGGGGGGGAGGGAAAGAAATGAAAAACTAAATTTAAGAAAATTAAAAATCTTTTTTCAAAAAAAAAAAAAAATTATTTTACACAAAATTTAATAAAATTATATCTATTGGGAAAAATATTTTATAATTTAATTTTTCTTTATTATATTACTTTTTCTATAAATATTTTTTTGTAAATTTTATAATTTATTTTATAAATATTTTAAAAATTGTTTTAAATTTTTCAATTGAAAAAAGAATATTTGTAAGTAGAAAAAAATGTATTTTTCCATTTTTTTTTTTTTTGTCCAGGTATATATTGGAATACGCCACAAAATGTAATGGAATAATAATATCGAACGATCAATTTAAAGATTTATATCAAGAGAAACCCGAATGGCGTGAAACGATTGAAAATCAAATTCTCCCACCGACATTTGTTGGTGATCATTTAATGTTTCCTGACGATCCACTTGGTAGAAATGGTCCAAAACTTGACACATTTCTCAGACATTCAATCTAAAGAAAAAAAAACAAAGAAAAAAGATTTCAAAATTCTTTTTTTTCCTCAAAAAAACAAATGATTTTTTTTTTATTTGAAAAAAAAAACGAAAAACAAAAAAAATTTAATATATTCCATGTGATATTCTAATCATATAAATATATATATATATATATATAATTTATTTATATATAATTTCACAAGGTAAAAAAAAAACAAAAATTCATCTCATTTACGAAAATTGAATTTTTTTCTTAGACTATTTTTTTGAAAAATTCGGATAAAGGAAAAATTCTTCGAAAAGAAAAAACATATTTGTTCTAAATAATAAATATATATATATATTTTTTTTTTTTGTATATAGAAAAAGTACAAAAATGGAGATAAGACGTAAGAAATAAATAATTTTTAAGTTTTGTAATACTGATTTTTGTGGGGGAAAAAAATAATTGCGCTTTTTTTTGCGAATTAATTATTTACAGTTTAAATTTTTTTTTTGTACTTTTTTTCTTCTGTTTCTTCTTTTTTTGTTTCTTTTTCTGTTTTTTTGGAACCAAATTTATTCATTTGATTTCCACGACGGTTTATTGTAATAACGTCGGGAATTGCGTATTTTTTCCATTCCCTCATTTGCAGTTTCAACGGCAGTGCGTTCCAAAAGACTTTTTTCAATTGGCTCGCCACTTGTTCGCGAAATCACAGAATCGTGTTGAAATGCCGAACTCACCACTGAAATGAAAAAAAAAAAATTAAGTAATTTTTCATTTTTTTGTTCACAGGTAACTTTTTTCTTTTTTTTGCACTTGAACCTTGAAAATCGAAAAAACGACGTTTTTGAATTATGCTTTTAAAAAAAAGGTATGAATTCACTTTAATTTTTCTAAACAATGAATTTTATTTTATTTTTTTTTTATCATGATTTTTCCAAAAAATTATCTTTTTTTTATGTAAACTTAATTTAAAATTCAATATAATATAATTTCAAAATTTTTTTTATTAAAAAATTAAATTTCAATTTTTTGCTAAAAATTAGAATTCAATTTTTTAACAAACATTTATAAATGAAACAATTATTTTAAAAAAATTTAAAGTTTTGTTTACAAAATTCAAGATGATTTTAAGGTTTTCATGGTTAATAAATTTATGATTTTAAAGATTTTAAATTATTATATAAAATATTTTCCAAAAATAATAATTTTTTTCTAATTAAAACAATTATAAATTGCAAAAAAAAAAATTGTAAATTTACTCTTAGTTTTATATTTATATTTAGTAGAATTTAGTTTTATTAAAATTATTTAATTTAAAATTAGTTTTATTTTATTGTTCATTTATTTTCAATTTGATAATTAAATAATAATCATAAAACTATTCGTTTTATATTTTTTTACTAAATATTTTGATAATTTTTTATTTTTTTTAATTAATTTTAATTTAATTCAGATAATATATTTAAAATTTTAAAAATTTAATTTTTATAAATTATTCTATATTTGTAAAAATTTGAAAATTATTTTTATAATTTTTAAATTTTTGTCGTATTTACAGAAAAAAATTTTCTTTTTTTTTTTTTTTTTTTTGAAAGAAAAAAAAGAAATTTTTTAATATTTAAAAATAAATTTTGGATAAAAAAAAGTGTATTTGCAAATTTACCAGCTTTGGAGAATAATTTATAGAGAACATAATCATCATCGTCGGTGGCAATTGGCTCTTGATATTCTTTTGAATATCCAAGTCGTCGACCAATTAAACATGGAACTTGTTCACCTTCAAATATTGCTGACACTTGTTTTTTTCTATTATTCAATTTTTTATTCTTTTTCTTTTTTCGTTTCTTTCTTTTTTCTTCGTTTACAATTTTTATTGTCTCTTCTGTTTCACGAATTTCTCCCTCCTCTTCACTTGATAATGCAATTTTTTCTTCAAATTTCTTCTTTTTATTCGATAAATTTTCATTTTTTTCTCTTTCAATTGTGTCATTGACTTTTTTATTTTCTTCATTTTTTGGAGAATTTTCTTTTTTTCCATCACTTTCAGCGATATTATTTTCCTTTCTTTCCACGGAATTTTCCATTTTCTTTTCTTTTTCTTGCGTGAAATTTTCCAATTGTATTTTATTTTCCTTTCTTTGTACAGAATTTTCCGATACTTCCATTTTACATTCGTTTCCATGGATTTTATTTTCTGTATTTTCAATTTTATTTTCTATATTTTCCTTTATTTTCTCCGAATTTTCCAATTTTTCCATTTTATTTTCATTTTCGTTTTTATTTTCGATTTTATTTTCCAAATTTTCATTTTCTTCGTCATTTTTATTGTCATCAATATTTTCAATTTTACTATCAATATTTTCCATTTCATTAAATTTATTCTGTATTTGTTGATTTTGGCAAAAAATTTCAATTTTCAAATTATTCGAATTTTTTCTAATTTTTTCACTTTTTTCAAAATAATTTTTCGATTTTTCCCTATTTTTCAAAATTTCATCATTGCTTTTTCCTTTTTTACCAATTTCCTTACTAAGTTCCGCGGCAAGTTTTCGCATTGCATTCAATTTAGTTGAGGAAAAATTTGTCATTATATTTTTCTTGATCTTTTTTCTTTTCTTCTTTTGTTTCTTCATTGGCGCATCAAGTTTCGAATGTTTAAATAATTCATTTGATTCGGCTTCACCGTCAAAAGTTTCGTTTAAATTAAATAATTCCGTTATATCGGTTGTGTGAAAAAGTCGTCGTTGCCGTGGATCCTCGAGGATTTTATTCGAGAGTAATAATTTGAATACTTGCCGATGATAAATCTTGAAACGAAAATGAAAAGTTTTTTTTTCAAAGTATTTTAAAAAATTATTTCTAATTTTTAATTAAAAATTAACAAATATGAAAAAAATTGCCTTTTTACGAATTTTATAAAAAAAATTCTAATTTTTATTCCAAGTTGTTTTTTTTATAAATTTCTAAAAAAAGCATTATTTCGACAAAATTAAAAAATTATAATAATAAAAACCTTTTCTTCGATTGTTCCAGCGGTTATTAAACGATAAATAGTGACATTTTTATCCTGTCCAATTCGCCATGCTCTCTCTCTTGCTTGTGAATCGATCGCTGGATTCCAATCGGGATCATAAATAATAACTCGATTTGCACCAGTTAAATTCACACCTAAACCACCAACTCTTGTTGTCGATAAAAAGACAAAATACAAAGATTCCTGAAAAAAGTAACAAAAGTAGATTTATTTTTTCTTTTTATTATATTAAATAAATAATTTATTATTACTTAATTATTTAATAAATTATTATTTTTATTTCTTATAGTACAAGAAATATTTTTTTTTTTTGCCATAACTCACTGTATTAAATTTTTCAATTGTTTGCTGCCTTTGACCCATTGGAGTCATGCCATCTAATCGTAAATAAGAATATTTTTCCAATTGTATCAAAGCCTCGAGAATGTGCATCATCTTAAAAAAAACAATTTTTTTCCATTTTATTATCAAATTAATTAAAAATTATAATTTATTTTTTTAATTTTCAATGAAATAATAGTAAATTTTTTTAATTTTTATTAAATTATTTAATTAGAAACTAACTTGTCGACTTTGTGTAAATAGCAAAACTCGATGTCCTTGTTTTTTCCAAATTTTTAACAACGAACGAACTACAATCATTTTTCCAGCACGTTTCCAATGACCAAATGTTTCCATAATTTCCTCTGTTAATTCCATACATTCATCGTCCTCCGAGTCCTTTGAAATAAATATTAATTATTAATTTGAATTATTTAATTTACAATTGACAATTAATTTTTAATAATTTCTCAATTTATTGACAAAAAAAATTAAAACAAAACGCAAAAAATATAAATTTGCACCATATTTCAGCTTTCTTGGTCAAAATGGCTTAGTTTTAATTATGGAATAAAAAAAAAACGGACAAACAGTTAATTTTTTTTAGTAAATATATACAAATTACTTTTTGTCTGTTTTACTTTTTTACAACTAAAACTGAAATTTGTCACAAATTTCGTATTTTTTGCCTAATAAATAATTTACAAGAAAATAAATAAAAAAAATAAAATTAATTAAATTAAATTAATTACCATAATTTGATGATTAAATAAAAATAAATCCGGATGATTACAAAGTTTTCTCAATGCCGTTAATGCAACCAACATTCTTGCACGATAAATTCCATTTCTCGAATTTCTTTCATGTATAACATGTGAAACATCATCGGACAATAAATATTCTCTATAAAATTTTTTTTGCTCATCACTTAAACTACAAAATAAAACTTGTTCATTTTTTTCCGGTAAATTTAAATGATGTTGAACATCAATTTTCGTTCGTCTCAACATATATGGTGTTATTGCATTTCGTAACATTGTTGCCATTTGTAATGCAGTTGCCTCTTGTAATTGTGTTGCATTTGTATAGCCACCGCGTGTTATTGGATTTGCGCAATGTTCAATAAATGCAACAAGTGTTCCCAATTTACCTGGTAGAATAAAATCAAATAACGACCATAATTCTTTAAGTGAATTTTGCATTGGACTACCGGTAAGAAGTAAACGATGTGGTGTTGAAAATTGTTTAACTAATTTTGTTACTTTTGCATCGGGATTACGAATTTTGTGTCCCTCATCGAGTATCACATAATGCCAATCAGTTTTTATTAGCAGATCATTGTTTAATAGAACGCCAGTGTAGGATGTTAATAAAATACCACCGTGTTTTATGCTTTCAATTAAATCGCTAGTTTTGCCTTGAAATGAGCCTGAATGATGAAGAAGTGCAACACGTGTTATTGGACTCCAATTGTGAAAATGTTTTACCTGAATGAAAATAATATTTTTTTTAATTTATTATTTATTTATAGGACTCTCGAGATTCAATGATTTTTCAATTATTTTACAAAAATTTCAAATCAAAATCAATGAAAATTCAATTATATACTGAAATTTCAAATTGAAATTCAATTATTATCAAAAATTTTAATACAAAATAAACTAAAATTCAATTATTTTCAAATATTCCAATTCAAAATCAACAAAATTAAATTACTTTCCAAAATTTTCAATTCAAAAACAACAAAATTAAATTACTTTTCAAAATTTTTAATTCTTGAAATTCAATTAATTTTCAAAATTTTAATTGAAATTTAATTATTTAAAAAAATTTTAATTCAAATATTTAATTCAAAAATTCAATTATTTTTCAAAATTTCAAATTTTCAAAATTTTCAATACAAAATCAATTTAACATTCAAATTATTTTCAATTCAAAGTCAACTAAAATTTAATTATTTTTAAAAATTTCAATTTAAAATGAATAAAATTTTAAAAATTTTAATTAAGAAGTTTCTAAAATTTAATTATTTTAAAAATTTTCCATCTAAAAATTTTTCCAATTTAATAATTTCAATTATAATTCTCCTAAAATTCAATTATTTTTTTAAATTTTAATTCAAAATGAACTGAAATTCAATTGTTTTAAAAAATTTTATTTCAAATTCAACAAAAATTCAATTATTTTCTAAAATGTCAATTGAAATTCAATTATTTTCAAAATTTTAATTGAAATTTAATTATTTAAAAAATGTTTTAATTCAAATTCAACAAATATTCAATTATTTTTCAAAATTTCAAATTTTAAAAATTTTCAATTCAAAATCAATTTAAAATTCAATTATTTTGAATACAAAATCAACTAAAATTTAATTATTTTCAAATATTTCAAAATTTCAATTGAAGTTCAATTTTTTTTAAATTTTCAATTCAAAATCAACTAAAATTCAATTATTTTCCAAAATTTCAATTGAAGTTCAATTTTTTTTTAAATTTTCAATTCAAAATTAACTAAAATTCAATTATTTAAAAAATTTTCAATTTAAAATCAAAAAAATTTATATATTTTAATTAAGAAGTTTCTAAACTTTAATTATTTTAAAAATTTTCCATCTAAAAATTTTTCCAATTTAATAATTTCAATTATAATTCTCCTAAAATTCAATTATTTTTTTAAATTTTAATTCAAAATGAACTAAAATTCAATTTCCTTTATACTTTTTAATTCAAATTCAACTAAAATGCAATTATTTAAAAAATTTTCATTTTAAAATCAATTAAAATTCAATTATTTTCAAAAATTCGAATAATTCAATTTCAATTGATTTTAAATTGAAATTTTTGAAAATAATTGCTTTTCAAATGATTGTGTTAAATTTCAGACAATAATTATAAATAAGAAATTTTTTTAATAATTTCTGTTGATAAAGAATTTATTAGAAATCACATAAAAAAATTCAATTCTAAAACTATTTTTAATTGAAAAATGCTTTCAGATAATTGAATTTTCGAATAATATTATATAAAAAAAATCATTAAAAAATAATGGAAATTTTTTGCAAAAATAGTTAAATTTCAAGTGATTTTGAATGAAAAATTTTTTTGGTAATTTTTTTTTTGATAATTTTTGTTTTTTCTAAATTATAAACAATTATTAAATTTAAAAAAAAATTTAATTTGAAAATTAGTTTCGGATAATTGAATTTGTGAATTGTATTTCATTAAAATTATTAAAAAATAATTAATTTAATGAAGAATTTTAGTTAAAAAATTTGTTCAATAATTGAAATAAAAAAGATTTGTAGATCTGCATTTTATACTTAAAAAAAGACGTATTTTGTTTAAAAATTTATTTTTTTTTAAATGTAAAAAGAAAAAACGTTTAAAAAGTCGCATTTTATTAAAAATAAGTCGAAAAAAATCGTAATTTTTGAAAAAAAAATGTCGTATAATTCAAAGCCTGTCGTTGATAAATTTCCGAGAAAAAAATTTTTTTTTTCTATTATTTATTATTATATTATATATTACTTTTATTATTATATTATTTATTTGTTATTTTTTTATTATTTATTGTTTATTATTATTAAACAGTTATTTTTGAAAATAGTGGAGAAAAATTCAATTTTTTGAGAGAATAATTGGTAAAAATTGAAATAATTTTTTTTTTTTGTAAATTAAATTTCTACCCACCCATTGATCGAGTAGAGTTGCAGGACAAACAATAAGTGTTGGTCCCAATCCACGAAATCGTCCATCATCAAGAAGTAATTCACTTGCTTCAAGACCGGCGAGAAATGCAATTACTTGAACCGTTTTTCCTAAACCCATTTCATCACCCATTAAACCGCCAACATTGCGATTATTTAATTCCCATAGCCATTGAACCGATACACGTTGATAGTGATACAAATTTTTCCATATTTTCTCTGGTACTTTAAATAAATTATCAATATTATGCATTGGTTCTTTTTTTAGTCTTCTTGTACCACGTACACGTTCACGATAAATTTCCTCATCACCATCGTCAATTTCCCGATTGAATTTTAATTTATTTTTTTCTATATTCACTTTTCGTTTTATTAAATAATCATTGTTTGAATTTTCCTCGTCGCTTGGTAGATATTCACTTCCAGAATCAGAATTTTTTATATTTTCCTCTTCTTCTTCTTCTTCTTCTTCTTCTTCTTTTTCTTCGATGGTAATTTTTTTTCCCCTTGTAAAAATTCGATTTGAATTTACCTTTTCGAAAATTTCATTTTCTCCTTCATTTATTGTTTCTTTATGATTATCTTCGATTTTATTTAAATTTTCATTTTGATATTCACAATTATCATTATTTGCAATTGTTTTTGAATTTTTATTTAAATTTTCATATTCACAATTATCGTTATTTGATTTTGTGATTTTGGATTTTTTATTTTTTATTTCATTTAAAGTTGGTGTAGTGTTTTTGCGTTTTTTCAAAAATTTACAAATTTTTGACAATTCAGCTTGATGTTTTAAATAATTTTCAAATTGTGTTAATTGATTTGTTTCATTCGATTTTCTGTGATAAAAATACAAAAAAAAATTACATTTTTTTGTTTTATATATTATAATTATTATTATTACTGATAAATTAGGGAAAAAAAACAAAACAAAAGCAGAAAAAACAACAAATGAAAACCAATAAATAAAAATTACACAAAATTTCACTAATAATAATAATAATAATTTATAAAGAAATAATAATAATAATAATAATAATAATTGTTTAATATTATTTTATATTTTATTATGAAATAAAAATTATTCGTAAATTTTATTATTATTGTTATTATTAGTATTTTTATTATTATATTTTATAAAAAAAATATAAATAGAATATTTATATCGAAAATAAAATAATATTAAATTATTAAATAATAATAATTTTTACCCATTTGATTGTTGAAAATTAATTTTCTCCTCCGCCTGAAACGGTGTAATTTCACCAGTTCTAACCAATTCATTTTGATTGAAATTTTCTTCATTTTTAATTTCACTCTCTAATTGTTTTGTATCTTTATTTGATGATTTATTATTTTTAATAATTTGTGAAATTTTCTCGGAAGCCTCTTGTAAAACACTCGATTCTAATCGTATTGAAATAACCTAAAAAAAAAAAATTAACATTTTTTTAATTCTATAAATTTTTAAAATTAACATTCAGTTTCTAATAAATTTTACCAAAAAAAAATTTACATCATAAGAAAGAAAATTACTAAATTTGAAAAAAGAATTTAAAACAAAAACATTTTTATATAAATATAAAAAAAATATTTTTGGTTTTACCTGTTTTAGAGCACTTTCTTCAATTTCATCATCCATTTTTTGTTTTTTTTTTTTTTTTTTTTTTTTTTCACTTGAAAAGAAAAAATATTTAAACACACACGAAACACAAATATAACAATAACAAAATGTTTTATACACGAAGTTTTATAATAAATTCTTAATTATGAAAATAAACAAAAAACATTAATTAAAATACAATTTTTGTTTCTGAACGTTAATTACAATGACAATTGTGACATTTATAATTATATATGATAATTTATAAACAAAAGAATATTATATGCAATTTGTTTCCGTTTCTTCTTTTGAGGTTAGAAATCACGTCCTTGACATTGCGCGCCTAACTTCACGTTGTCAACATAATTTCTTTTTTTCTTTAAAAAAAGAGCGGTAAAAAATAGTTCCGTAAAAAAATTCAAATTCGTAATAAAGAATTCTTTTAAAAAAATTTATTTTTTAAAAATGCATTTTAATTGTTCGAAATAAATAAATAATTGGATAAAAATATAATTGTGTGAGAAAAAAAAATTATATTTTTTGATTAAAGAGCATATAGGGAGGGGGGGGGGGGTTCCTCTTTGAATAAGTGGAACTATTGATTACCGGAAGGTACTAATTTAATATTGAAAAAATACTCTCGTCTCTCACACATTGGCATATTGGTATTGGTTTGAAATGCATGCAAAAACAAAATAAAATGTGGAGTTACGTATTATTTTCATTAGTGATTTTATCAATTTCATTGATTTGCCATCGTATTTATAATGAACCAATTAGCCTTATCGATAAACCAAATGAGTCCTACGATTATATTATCGGTAAGTTAATAATTAATTATTTTTTTTTTTTTTTTTTTAAATATATTTTTGCAAAAAAAATTAGAAAATTTATCCCGTGATTGCATCAGTTTTTTTTTAATTTTATTTTTTTTTAAAGATTATAATTAAAAATTTAAATAATTATTAATAATAAATAATAATAATAATAATAATAATAATTTTAATTTTTGAAAAAATTTGAAAATTTATCCTGTGATTGCATCAGTTTTTTTTTAAAAAATTTAATTTCTTTTTATTAATTATTTATTTTTATTTATTTAATTTTGTAATATATTATTTTTTTATTCCATAAATAAATAATTAATAAATTATAACATAAAGAACTTGTCCCGTTTATTTTTAAATAAATAAAATAATAATAATAAATATGGTATAAAAATATTATTATTGTTATTATTATTATTACATATTATTAATTTTTATTACTGAAATTTTTTTTATTTTTTATTATTTTATTTATTTACAAAGTATATAATTGTTTTTTGTTATATTATTGTTAATATTTAAATAATTTGTTTTTACTAATTAATTACTAGGTAATAATTTTTTTTTTGTTGGAAATTTTGATTTAAATTTATTTAAAAATTTTTAATTCAAAATTTAATTTTTGATTTTTAATTCAAATTTAATTAAAACATTTTGATTTAAATTTAATTTTTAGTTTTTAATTTTATATTTAATTTTGAGTTTTTAATTGAAATTTAATTTTGAGTTTTTTTTTTTCTTTGAATAAATAAATAAATTAGTTAATTAAATTTAAAGTAGGAGCCGGTACTGCTGGATGTGTTTTAGCATCGAGACTATCGGAAAATGCAAATTCAACGGTTTTATTAGTTGAAGCAGGTGGACAATTTAATTGGTTTTCAACAGTGCCTTTAGCAGCTCCGGTTTTATTTAATTCCCATGTGGATTGGGCTTTTAAAACCGAACCACAATGGTACTCATCGAAAGGACTTCACGATCATGTAAAAAAAAAAATTATTTTTTCTAAATATTTATTTTAATATATAATAATTTTAATTTAATAATATATAGGTAACAATTATAATTAATTATATTAAAAAATATATCTTCTGTTTCGGATTTAAAAAAATATTAATTATTTGTGTTTTTTTTTAAATTAAAAAAATAATAGAATTGAAAATATATATATTTTTAATTTAAAAAATTGAAAAAAATTTTTTATAATTTAAAAAAATTGAAATAATTTTTTTTTTCTAAAATCAAGAGGCAAAAATGGCCACGTGGAAAAGGATTGGGCGGAAGTGGACAATTAAATTTTTTGGCACATTCATTTGGTAAGGCGGAGGATTTTACAAAATGGCCCGGGGGATGGTCATTTTTTGATTTACAACCATATTTTAAAAAAGTTTCCGCAATAATGAATGTGAGAAAAATTTCATCCGACGATGAATTGGCAAATGCTGTTATTGGTGCGGGTGAAAAATTTAAAAAAGAAGGTGCCAATTTTATACCAGCAAGTGATACATTAAACGATGGAAGTCGATGGAGTAGTTTTAATGCATATTTACAGAGAGCATGGAATAGAGAAAATTTACATATTTTGACAAATACACTCGTCACAAAGGTATAATTATTTAGATATCCCTAAAATATCCGGATAACGCGGTTATAGTAGGCGGAGATTTCAACTGCAAAATAGGCTCTTTAAACCAGTTAGATGGGGATGTTTTTCTTGCGAATAATAATATTTTTGAAAAGAGATCTAGTTTGGACTCGAGAATTGATAAAAAGGGTATAGAGGTTGTGGAGCTTTTCGAGCAATCTGGATATTGTGTTTTAAATGGTAGGACTGGGGGGGATTATCCCGCGCAGTTCACTTATTCAGAGAAGGGTAATTCTTCAATAATAGATTTGATCTGGATTAATCATTCCGCGGCGCAGCTGATCAGTGACTTTAAAGTCGATCAAATCCCCTCTCGATCGGACCACTTCCCTTTGTCGATTTGTTTCCATCCTTCTAACTATATTATTCAAAATGTAAATAAACAACCTTATTTTAAATGGAAGGATGAAAACAAAGAAATGTATCAAAATATAATTAAATATCCTACTAACCAAGATAATTTTAAAACAATTGATGACATTTCTAATCAATTTATAATATCAATAAAGGAAGCATCAATAAAGTCTGAAATGTACATAAGTCCAAATATAAGAAGGAAAAGAAAAACTTGTTCCTTTAAGAACTGGTATGATTCAGAATGTAGAGAAAAAAAAAGATTGCTCAAGAAATTACTTAGGATTTGTAAAAGGAAGAAGTTCCATCCCACCCCTCTATTCAAATACGAAAAAAATAAAAAAGAATACAAAGAACTATTAAAAAAGAAAAAATATGATTATAAAAAAAATATCTTGAACGAAATTTCGAGTTCTAAAGACCCAAGTAAATTCTGGAAATTAATTAATCAATTTAAAATTAAAGCACCTAATAAAGAATATATTGAAATAGAGGAGTGGGAGAAATTCTTTGAACCCGACTTGTCTTCTATATCTCGAGCCATTAACATTAGTTTGCAAAATCCCTTACACTTAAATAACCCTTACCTTGAAAAAGAAATAACAATAGAAGAAACTCTCTTGAGTCTCAAAAACTGTAGTAACAACAAATCTCCAGGCCCGGACGGGATAAACTATGAATTTTTAAAAAATTTACCCGGCAATATGATATTATATTTAAATTCTATGTTTAACAAAATTATTGAAAGGGAGGTGGTCCCGTCAGAGTGGGGGAAAATAAATCTCAGAATGATATATAAGAAGGGTAACGTGAAGGATCCCGCGAACTATAGACCCATAGCGCTGGTTAGCTGCGTGGCCAAAACATTCACACAGATTCTTGCTAACAGATTAGTTAGTTGGGCGGAAATGAATAATTTATTTCCGGAGTGGCAGGCTGGATTTAGGAAGGGAAGGAGTACTCTTGATAACACTTTTACACTTAACGCATTAATTCAGAATAGATTAAACCAAACGGGTGGCAAATTATATGTTTTATTCGTTGATTTTAAGGGTGCCTTCCCTTCCTTAAACCATAATATCTTGTGGCAAAAACTGTACAAAATGGGTTGCGGATCCAGGTTTGTTAATATATTGAAAGATTTTTATAGTAAGGCAAATTTTTCCGTGAAAAGTGAGAAGGGCTCCACTAAACCTATTTATATTACTCGAGGGGTTTTACAGGGAGAGGTACTCAGTCCAGCATTGTTTACCTTCTTCTTGGAGGACCTTGAAAAGTTTCTTATCTCGAAGGGATTAAGGGGGGTCTCTTTGGACCATAAGACAGAAATACTGTTGATGGCATACGCGGACGATATCGCTTTATGCGCGGATTCGCCTATTTTAATGTTAAAAATTCTAAAATATCTCCATGAATATTGTCAAATAAACGATCTAGAACTCAATATAAACAAAACTAAAATTGTTATTTTTAATAAGGGCGGTCATCTTCAACCGGGTAGACAGAAAAAAAATTTTACTTATGATAACAATGTTATAGAGGTTGTCAAAGAATATACCTATCTTGGTACGATCTTCACTAACTCGGCGATTTTTAAAAATAATCTGGATTGTCAATTAGCTAAAACTGCTCTAGCAAAAAATTCTACTTTGTCAATAATTTATAAATCTCAGATAGACTCTTGGAATCATATTGTCAAGCTGTTTAAATCTATGGTTACATCGGTTGCATTCTTCTCTGTACAAGTGTGGGGACTAAGATACTTTCATGAACTAGAAAAAATACAGAACAATTTTTATAAACAATTGCTTTGTCTTCCAAAATGTACCCCAGAGTATGCTCTGCGAATTGAAACAGCGACTTCCCATTTATCGGTTAGAATTTTTAAATTAATATTGAATTGGATAGAAAAAATCCTTAAAATGGAGGACAATAGATTTCCAAAAATTGCATATAACAGACTAAGAGCTTTGAATCCTAGGGAAACTAAGAAATTTAAATTTAACTGGGCGTGTAAGTTGGGTTGTATTTTTGGGGAGTTTGGTGAGAGGGAGGCTTGGGAATCTCTGAGTCTTGAAACTTTGCAAAAATCTAAGATACATTGGATAAATTTATATGAAAAGCTTCTTAAACAAGGAGACTTTCAGAGGGCCCAGTCCTCCTCCTCACTAATTCTCTATCCTTATCTCGAAATAAAAGACAGACCGCATCTATTAACAAACAAAAGAATCCCATTAGATGACTATAGATTATTTATCCAACTTAGATTGTTTAATAAATATCAGCCGAGATTTGTATGGAAGAAAAAATTCCAATGTCTAAAAAGAAATGACTATTGTAACCTTTGCATGGACATTTTAATTGAGAAGAATTATATTCTCCATATTTTAATAGAATGTAGGGAACTAAAAGAGGAAAGAAAGAAAATTATAAAAAATACCGATGACCTAAGCGAGATGAGTGAAGAATGGATGAAGATTTTAAATTATCCGGATTTTAACTCGGTCAGAAGAATAGCCAAATTTTTATTAAAAATAATCGAATAAAGAATTTCTTTTTTATTTATCAGTGTGAAGTATATTGTATGAGTGTATAATTTTTAGTATTGTATTTCGAGCTCCTTTGTATGGATTTTTGTAAATCCTAGGACAAATAAATGAATTAATTATTATTAATTATTAATTAATTAATTTCTGTAATTAATAATTAATTCTGTAATTAATTTTCGAATTATATTTTAAACGAAATTTTTTTTTTTTAATTTTGAGATTGTTATGGGAACAAATTCAAAAATTGAGGGAATAGAAATAAAATATGAAAACGGAAGTCGCGGGAAAGTTATTGCAAAAAATGAAGTTATACTTTCCGGTGGAACAATAAATTCTCCACAATTATTAATGGTATCAGGAATTGGACCATCGATGGAGCTCAAAAAACATAACGTAATTTTTTAAAGATTTAAAAAATTTTTGAAATTATTTTTTCAAATTTTTATATTAATAAATTAAAAAATTTTTTAATTATTTGGTTTATTTTCACAAATTTTTTTTTTGTTTTCGTAGATTACGATTGTTAAAGAAATTTTAGGAGTTGGTCAAAATCTTTTTGATCATTTAAATATGCCACTGTACGTTTTTCTCGAGGCACCATTTACAATTACAATTAAAAAAATTCAAAGTATTTCGACATTATTGCAATATTTTATTTTTGGAACTGGTAAATATTAATTTATTAAATTTAAAAAAAAATTCCTATTTTTTTATTTAATAAGGTTGAGTATTATTTATTATAAAAAAAATAAAATAATTATGAAATAATATTTTAAAATATTGAAAAAACTATAAAAATTTTTTAGATAAAAATTTTTTGTAATAATTACTAAAATATAGAAAAAAAATAAAAATTAATTTTTCAGGACTTTTAACAACCAATGGAATAAAAGCAGTTGGTCGTAAAAATAATAGTGGTTTTATGATTTTTGCCGGTGCATCGACAGATGAAAAATTATTAAAAGATATTGGTAATTATCGAACAGAGGTGAGGAAAATTAATTTTTTTTCCGAAATTATAATTATAATATAATATTAATAATAAATATTATTATTATTATTTATATATAGTTTATTTACTCTCCCTGACAAATGCAGGGTTACAAAAATAACTCCTTATCCTAACGCAAATCATACAAACTATCTTAATTACTACGCGTCACCCGACCCTTAACTCCATACATTACTCCTTACATTCTTTTCACTCTTCTCCTTTCATCCATCTTTCACCCTGCCCATTTTCATCCAAAATCCATCTCACTCTAGCATCCACTCCATACCTATCATACACTTCACAATTGAATAAAATTTTTTCCAATACCAAAAAGAAAAATAATATATTTTCGCTAAAATAAAACCTAGGTTTTTAGATCACTTTATCCAACTTATAACAATACATCACAAGAGGGATTATTAATGTTAACGAGTTGCTATCAACCAAAAAGTAGAGGGAACATTACTCTAAAATCGGATAATATTTTAGATCCACCTGCAATTGATCCTTCATATTTGGAACACGATGACGATATTAAATGCTCCCAAGAAGGTTTCTTTCAAATTATTATTATATTCATAAATAAATAAATTATTATTTATTTATTTATTTATAAAAATTATTTTTTAATTATTTGCTGAAAATTAAAAAATTGAAAAAAATTTATATATATATAGGTGTGAAATTAGCGCTGAAAATTGTCGAAAGTGAGGAATTTCGTAAATTAGGAGCTAAACTTCATGTTCCAAATTTGAAAAATTGCCCACCATCGAATAATAATTATTGGGATGACAATTTTTCCGAATGTGTAATTAGAATTGGTGGAATTGCAAGTTATCATCCGGGTGGTACATGTAAAATGGGAACCGGAAGTGATGCAGTCGTTGATACAAAATTACGGTGAAAAAAAAATTAATTAATTACAAAAAAAAAATAAATAATAAAAAAATATAAAAAAATTTGTTAATGAAAATTTTCTTTTATTTTCAGAGTAAAAGGTATTAAAGGTTTGAGAATAGTTGACGGAAGTGTTTTTCCTTCGCCTATTTCCGGACATCCTAACAGTGTTATAATTGCATTGGCGGAAAGAGCAGCGGATTTTATAATTGACAAACGGAATTGAAATTGAGAAAAAAAAAATATTATTTTCATATACAAATATTGTAATATGCGAAAAAAAATTTTTTTTTTTCCTTTTATTTACTTAATCAAAAAATATTGTATAAAATAAAGATAATTATTTTATTACTCTCCTTTACTTCTATAGAAATAATTAGAACCATACAATTTTTTTTTGTATTACTAAAAAAAACTGATTTTTAAAAAAATTATTTTCTTTTTTTTAACGTTAAAAAAAGGGACAATATTTATGCTGTGAAATTGCAGCGAAAAAAAATATTGTGTCAGTGCAAAAAAAATTGCAAAAAAAAAAAAAATAATAAATACTATTAATTCACGTTTAATAATTATAATTATTATAATTTGAAAAATGGATTTTCTTCTTCAACAGCATCAAGCTAAACATATTTTTCGTATTCCTGATGGACTTCGAGAACTTTGCACTGATATTTCAAGAGAGGTTAAAAAAATAGCGAATAATAAATATAAAAATTCTTTTAAAAAATTAATATTTTTTAATAATTATGATTTTTTTTTCTAATTAGGTCCTTCGGGAACAACCAAAAAATATTTATTCTTTCATTGCTGATTATTTAGAGGCACTTCTAATCACAAGAGAAAATGCTAAAGGTTCAAAATAAAAGTATTTTAATTTTAGAAAAAAAATTTCTAAATTTTAGAAAATACAATTTTTTTACAGGTCTTTAATTTTCTAAGATATTAAATTAATTTTTCGCTTTAAAATAAAATTATCTAAAAAAAAATTCTAATCTCTCAAAAAAATTTGGGAAATTTTTTTTTAATTTTTAAAAATTCAATTTTTCAATTAATTTAATAGGAAAAAATTAGTAATAAAAAAAAAAAATTTCAGTTGCATTGACAATAGTTCGAAATATAATGGCTGACAGTGAATCGATAATTGCAGTTTTAAAAAAAACAGGATTATCTTTTGAACAAATAGCATTGGCAGCTCCTCGACTTCAAGCAAGTTTTATTTAATTATTATTTTTTTTTTAATTTCTTTATTATTATTATTTTATTTTTGATTTCTTTCACTAAATAAAGAAAATTAAAAAATATGCAATTTTCTTTTCGTGATAAAAAAAATAAAAAATTTTGTTTTAAAATTAATTAAATTTTATAAAATACAAAATTAATTTTATTTGCTAAAAAATTCAATAAAATTTTTAGAAAAGTTTTCGTGATTATTTGGATGCTTCGGATATAAATGCAAACGAAAAAGAATCAGGTTATTGAAATAAATAATTAAATATTAATGAAATAATTAATTGAGTAATTAATTAAATTTTTATTTAATTTTGTTTATAAAGAATTTCTTTAGAATTATTAATTCAAATTGTTGATTAAAATTTAAAAATAGAAAATTATATAGATGAAAAACCGGAAAAACAGAGTCATATCTCTATAGGAAAAATACTTAAAGAAATTGGAGCAAATTTTGATGATGCAAATAGAGCCGCTACTTTAATTCAAGTAACGATGATCATTTAGGAGAAAATTTTTTTTTTCTTCTAATTTTCTTTTTAATTATTTAAATTAATTAATTTAATTAAATATAATTAATTATAATTATTATATTTTAAATAATAATTATATAATTGATCATTACAAATAATTAGACAGCTTTTCGAGGACATTATAAACGAATGAATGAAAATGAAAAAAATGGAGAAATTCAATGGCAAAGAGCAGTTATGAATACGATGAAAATTTTGAAAAAAGCCGGAATTAGTCAAAATGAAGCAACAAAAACTGCAAATTTAATTAAAGTATTATAATAATATAAAACTTGACAAAAAAAATTACAATAATTATTAATAATTAATAATTAATTTATATTTTAATTTATTATTAATAATTAAAAATAATTTTTCTCCAGTCAGCATATCAAGGATATTATACGAGAAGAAATATTAAATTAAAAATGAGTAGGAAATTTTTTGCTTACAAATTATTTTTATTATTATTATTTTAAAATTAAAAAATAAATAAAAAATGTGAAACCATAAAAAAATATTATTAATTAAAAAAAAATAAAAAAAATATGAAACCAAAAAAATTAAAAAATAAATAAAATATGAACCAAAAAAAAATATTTTTAATTAAAAAAAAAATAAAATTTGAAACCAAAAAAAAAATAATAATAATAGTAATAAAAATAATAATTTGTAGAAGAGAAAGAGAAGAAAAAAAGACAAAGTTTGCCGGAACCTAAAAAAACAATTCAAGCCGTTGCTTGGCTCGATATGATATTCCAAGATTCTGGAATTAAATTCAATCAAGCCAATGAAGCCGCTTTTATAATTCAGGTAAAATATTTCAGATATTCGCATTTTTAAAACTTCGCAATAAAAAAAAATTCTATATTTTAATATTTTTTTTTAAAAATGATTCAATATCGGAAAAATCTATTTTCCCCACTAAAAAATAAGTTTTCAAATTTAATGAGGGGAAAAAAAAAATTCGTAATCAAAAAAGAAATTCGATTTTACGGAGACAAAAAAAATCTGCAAAATAAATTTCTGTAACAAAATTTTCAAAAGAAAAATTAAATTTCTTTTTTTTTAAATAAAATAAAAAAAATATATATATATATAAAAAAAACTTACTTGAAATTATTTTCTGTAATTTTATTACAAATAGAAAGCCTTTCGAAAATATCGTGAGAAAAAAATTATTTCGAAAAATTCAATTTCCATTTCATCAAAATCCTTAATTGTTGGTTCAATTTTAAATTGCTTAAATCAAAGAATTTTCGACAATATTTTAGATCGTAATGAATTATCTGATGAATTTGAAACACGTGATGAATTATCGAAATCATTGGAAAAAATACAAATTGTTCATAAATCAATGTGGAAAAAATCGCAATATTCTGAAGAAAGTAAAAAGAGAAAAATATAATAATTTCAATAATAAAAATTTTTGTTCATATATTTATTAAAAATTGACAAATTAAATTAAATTTTTATTATTTTATTCGTTACTAATAAATAATATTAATTATTATTATTAATAATTAATAAATTAATAATTCAAATTATTATTTATTATTAACAATTAATAAATAAAATTATTAATAATAAATAAAATTTTTAATAATAATTCAAACAGATTTCTACGAAATGGAGGAGAAAGATGAAAATGAGATGAATTTTACAGAGTGAAAAAATTCGAAAACAAATCAAAATATTATCAAAGAAAATAATAATAATAATATTAATTATGCGAAAATGAAAAATGAGACAAATATAAAAGAAAATTAAATGGAAATAATTAATTTAGAAGAGAAAAATGATGAAAACCACAAAATTAAAAAACGAACTTTACTTTTAAATTCATACACTCCTGCTTAATGATATTTTTCCTGATCTTCGATTGATTTTTTTAATTCCATACAATAAAAATTATTCTAATAGAGAGTTGGAATTCTTCATAATAAGTACTTAACTTTAGAGGTGGGTGTTGCAAAAAGTGTTGTATGATACACGTGCGAAAATCTGATTATACGAGTGTGATTTGCATCACACTCACTTTACGCACTTGTATCATAAATTACTATTGTGATATTGAAAATTTAGAAAATATATGGAAATTTTAACACTGTTACAAAAAATTTAATTATTTTACTATCTCTATTCAAATTAGTTAACATTTTAATTAATTTTATTTATTTATTTTTTTGCTACTTTTTTTTGTAAAAATTAATATTTAAATTACACGAAATGTTAAATATCTGAAAAGAGAATTAGAATTTGAAATTGAAATTGAATTACAAATTAATTTATAAAATTTTTCGGTCTAAATTTTATTTGGATTAGATGCAATTTTTTTTTTGCTAAGAATTAATATTTTTTTTATGATATAGAAAATTTTTTTTTTCTCTTTTTTTCATTCGTTTTATTATTCTATATATTTACAATAACAAAGTGTGCAAGATAAAAATACATTATTTTATATATATATATATTTAATAACATTTAATACTTTTTTACAAAAAGCGATGAGGCATTCAACGTAATATATTTATAAACTTTCTCCAAGAAAGTGAAATATTTTTCATATAACAGCATCCACTTTTAAATTAATGTTATTTTTTTATTTATTTATTTATAGTCTAGACTAATAAAAATAAAAAAGTCGACAATAGTGTGAAATCACAAAAATAAGGATTTCGGAAGCAAAGTTTTTTTTTTTTTTAAATAATACGCATAGATAATTAAGAAAAAAAGGGAAAATTAAAAAAATAATTTCCGCGTAAAATTTACTTCTTCTTTTTTAAATCTTCAAAACGTTTCATTAAATCATCAAAATCAATGTCCTCATTGTTTTCCGTTCCTGTTGGCGTATCACTGCCCGTAGGAACTGGAGGCAAATCGGGAAGATTAAAATTGCCCGTTGGCATTTTTGATCTTGGTTGTGGTTTCGGTTTTTGATCCGACTTTAAAAAAAAAAAATTATTTAATATTTAACTTAATTTAAAACTAATTATTTTAAAATTATAAAAATTATTATAATAAAATTACTAATATTAGTATAATGAAATTAAAAATAATAATTATAATAAATATTATTTTTAATTCAAAAAAAAAAAAATAATTCTTTTTTAAAAAAAATTTTTTTTTCTTACTTGTTTATTTAAATCGGGAGGAAATGATCCGTATGGAGGGGGCAAGTCTTCGTCCTATAAAATTAAATTATCAATTTTTCGAAAGTTTAAAAAAAAAGAAAATTATTATTATTATTATTATTTGTAAACAAAAAACGTACAGGTCTATTTGAATTATCATTGTCCAGTGGAATATTATAAGACATTGAAGTTGGACTGAAGGGGGAATTTTTATCCTTTTCGTTGTAATTTGATGGTCCCGGGGGATAAAATCCAATTGGAGCATCGCCAGGCGACTGCAACAAAATTTTTTTTTTTTTAATAGAGAAACTCGAGAAAAAGGATCCCATATGAAATTTCTTGTAACTTAATTAATTTTGGATCTTTTGAAACAAAAAATATAAATGGCGAACCAATTTTTCTTTTTTTTGAAAGATCAAAAACCCAAACCATCAAGTTCCAAGAAATTTCAAATTAAAATTTAATTTAAATAACATAAAATTTCAAATAATAATTAATCTAATAATATTAAATTTCAAATAAAAATTGAATCTAAAAAAAATAGTTTTTTAAAATTTTTTTTTGAAAAAATTAAATAATTACTGTTAATTTAACACCGGGTAAAAGTGGTGCCTGTGGAAAGCCAATAAAACCCACAGGTTGAGGTAATCCACCGCCACCACCAGTTGCTAGGTCTAAATTATTTTGTCCACCACCACCAGCGCCAATATCAATGAGTAAAGCATCTTGTCCTTCGGCCATTACTTGTGGATCGGGTTCATATTCAACGTCATAATTATTGGCAATTTCAATTAAATATTTTTCCACTAAAATCTTTGGCGGTGATTGTACATTTAATTTGTGTTTTAATTTTTCCGATATTGTTTTTATCACTTCCTCGCGACATGCATCTGCATATTGTTTACCATATTTTGTTGTTAAAATATCGGCAATTACTTTCATTTCTTGTATGTCAGTTTGTATTCGTGGCGCTGCCCAAATTATTGTCGATATTGCCTCCGCTAGGCCATCATCTAAATTTCTGTATAAAAAAAAACATTTTTGACGATTTTATTAATAATTTAATTTCTATCTTTATCTTTATTATTTCTCTCCATGTACATCTGTTTGGATTTTTACATATTAATTGCCCTCTTAATTACAAAACTAAAAATTAAAATAGAATAGTAAAATAGTAGAATAATATAATAATTAATACCGTTCTTAAGGCTAATTTAGAATTACAATTTAAAAATCTTAAATAGATTGACTTTGAACTAGTTAGTTAATTCAATTTCTATTAATAATAATAATTTTACTATAGGTAGTTAAAACTTTGAATATATTTCAAAAAAAAAAAAAAATTATGTTCTAAAAATCATAAGTTAGAATTTTTATTTTTTAAAAATTCTTTAAAATGCCTATTATTATGTTAAACGAAAATTCGAATAAACAAAAATTCTGAACAAGTAAAAATTCTGTGCAGTGAATTTTCGGTTTATATAAAAATTCTGTTATATAGAAAATCATTTTGATGAAAATTCTGCAAAATACAAATTTGAAAAAAAATTCAGCTAAAATAATAATTATGACTTAAAATGAAAATTATTACTAATAATTTTTAAAACATAATCATGCGTTCTAAAATTATTTATATATAAATTAATTAGAAACAATTTTTTTAAAAATATTTTACAAATTTTTAACTCAAAAAAAAATTTATACTTTCTTTTAATTAGATTTTAGAATTTTTAAAATTGTATACTTTTAAACTAAATTTTAGTATTAACTTAAAATGTTCTAATTTTTAAAAATTAAATTTTACAAAATTTACAATTTTTTTTTAAATTTTAGAATTAATCTAATAATATATAAATTATTATAAATCGTCAATGTGTTTAAATTCCTAATCGTTAATAATCTTCAGTAGTATAATGATCAGTATCCCCTTCTAGAGGGTTTTTATTAGTACATTTTCAGTAGAACAGTACCTTCTCCCTTTTTTTTTAAATTAAATTTAAAAAGTTAAAAAAAAATGAAAATCTAAATTCTTTTTAACTTTTTAAATAAAATAATTCTAATTAATTTAATCTTCAGTAGAATAGTAATCAGTACCCCCTTTTTTGAGGGTTTTATTTTTAGTTAAATAATTCTTCAGTAGTATAGTAATCAGTATCCCCTTCTAGAGGGTTTTTAAAGTAGATTTTCAGTAGTACAGTACCTTTTCCCTTTTTTTCAAAAATTTAATTTAAAAAGTTAAAAAAAATGAAAATCTAAATTCTTTTTAACTTTTTAAATAAAATAATTCTAATTAATTTAATCTTCAGTAGTATAGTACTCAGAACCTCCTTTTTTGAGGGTTTTATTTTTAGTTAAATAATTCTTCAGTAGTATAGTAATCAGTATCCCCTTCTAGAGGATTTTTTTTAGTAGATTATCAGTAGTACAGTACGCCCTTCCCTTTTTTTCGAAAATTTAATTTAAAAAGTTAAAAAAAAATGATAATCTAAATTCTTTTTAACTTTTTAAATAGAATAATTCTAAGTAATTTAATCTTCAGTAGTATAGTAATCAGTATCCCCAATTTTTTTTTTTTAATTTCCTATGGAATATTGAAATTCACAATTTTCTTTTTATTCTTCAATTATTTTTCTGAAAAAAAAACTTACAAAAAATGAAAATTAGTAAACACTGAAAACAAAGAGAAAAATAGGAGTCATACTTACTTCATTTGTTGAATTAAGCCAAATCTCGCCAACAATAAATCGCAATACATTTCCATTAATTCAAATGCCTCAACAACATAATCTTCACGTATAATATGTTCAACTCGAATTCTTGCTCTCTCAACTTTTCCCGCTGCTATATAATCAGCAATTTCTTTTCTTGCTTTTTGTGCTAATTCAGTTTTTTTCTTTTCAAGTAATTTTAATCTATTAATTGCTAACCTCAAATTTGTCTTTAATTTCGTGTAATTTGGTCCGCTTGCGAACATTTTTTTTGTCTACTTTTCGATGTGTCAAGAAAAACACTTAATAAAATGTGGGGGGGGAGGGGAAAGTATAAAATTCACAATGTAAAAAAAATCACAATTTTAGGGAAAAATTTAGTTATAGAGAGAAGAATGATTCGTATTTGACAGTAATAAAACTGAGTCACATTGTGACGTCATTTTATCTCAATCTACTTTACCGACGGTTGGTAAAGGGTATTAATTCCCCCATCATCGAACTTAAATTCCGAAAACGCGCATGTGCAATAGTTGTCAGGATTTAATAACAAAGGTTTGCTTTTTGTGACGTTTGTTATTGGCCTTTAAGACAATATTTTCTTTATTAAAATTTTTAAAATTTATTTTTATCGATAAATTGTTAGAAAAAATGAGTGAATCAGTGACTAGTGGTAGTAGTGGAAAAACTTTGGAGGAAAGAAGAGCTGAACGAATGAAAAAATTGCACGAACTTCATTTAAAACGAGTAAGAAATTTTTATAACCTCAAAGAAAAAAAAATTATTTTCATACCTTTTTTGGCTAATAATTAATAATAAATAAAGATTTATTTTATTTTTTTTTAATTTTCGAAGGATTTTTATTTAAAAGAATGTTTAATTATTAAATTTTCAAAAAAATTTTAATGGTTTCGTTCTCACGAAATTTTTAAAATTTTCCTACAAAATTGACAATTATTTCAATTTGTTTAAATTAATTTTTGATACAATTTCCTTTTCTTAAAAAAGATCCTTTTCTTAAAAAAGACTGCATGCAAAGTACGCATGAAAATTTATCGAAATATCTAGATAGTCGAAAAAATGTAAGAAAAAATAAACTTTGCTTTCCAGAGAGCATCTAAATCAATATTCATTTTATAAAAATCACCTTAAATTATTGTTTCACTTATATATTTTGCATAATTTACTTAATTGCAATAAATATACACTTGCAAAGTATTTATTTGTTGTAAATATTTGCAGCTGTTATAAATCAGATACGAACATAACCTACATTTAGTTCTCAAATCACTTCATTGGCCCAAGACAAAATAGCGCGCGTTTTTTTAAAATAATGAATTGTATTAAATACATTGTATTGTATATAAATTGTATTAAATGAAATTGTAATAAATTAAATTATTATGAAAATAATATTACCTTGAATAAAAAAAAGTGTTTTTAGTTTAAAAAAAAAAATTATTCAACAATTATTATTATTATTTTTAGACAAATTTTACAAATATAATAGATTATTATTTTTCTCTTTGAAACTTTCTCTATAATTACATGCCTTTTTGCATTTTATTAACAATATTATTAAATATTTAATAAAATAATTGTAACAAATTATGAAACATAAATTGAAAATTAAATTGAATGGAAAAAAAAACCAAAATCTAGGTTGTCCGCTTCGGATGAAATGACCCCATGTAGAGAAAAAGAATTTAATTGAAATTTTATTTTTAAGAATGAAGCAAGAACACAAAATCACAAGGCAGTTGTTGAGGAAGACAAAAGGCAGAATTTACCAAAAAATTGGGAATCACGTAAACGTCAAGCAGATTGGATACTGCAAGATGAAGCTGCACGAAAAGATGCCGAAGAAAAAGTAAAAACAAAATTTATTTATTTTTGTAAAAAATAAATAAATTAATAATAAATAAATAAAATAAATTGTAATTAAATTTTATTTATTTATTATTAATTTATGTAAAAATAAAATTTATTTATTTTTACATAAATAGAATAAATTAATTTAATTTTTTTTTTTATAAAATTAAATGAAAATTTAATTTTTAGGGCTTGGATTACGATCGTGTGAAATTATTAAATACAGAAGCAGTTGAAGCTGAACGATTATTGCGTAAGCAAAAGAAAAAAAATCCCGATCCTGGATTCTCTGATTATGAGCAGGCAACATTTCGACAATATAATCGCAATATTAAGGGTATTAAACCAAATATGGAATCATACGATGAGGCAAAAGAAAAACTTGGTTCAGCATTTTATGGCGATAGAAATACAATATTACATGGTTTACATGTAGATAAAAAAGATGCTGTCGATAAAATGGTTGACGATTTGGAAAAACAGTGAGTTATTCTCTAATTTGAATTCATTTAATACTGTATTTTATTATTATTTATTTTTTATTAATTTATGGTTTTTTGTTTTTTTAATTTTTAGAATTGCAAAGAGAAATAAATACAGCCGACGTCGAACTCACAATGATGATGCAGATATTGATTATATTAATGAGAGAAATGCAAAATTCAATCAAAAATTGGAACGTTTTTATGGCGAGCACACGAGGGAAACAAAACTCAATTTGGAAAGAGGAACAGCGATATAATTTTATTTTTTTTTTAGACGAAAAAAGAAAAAAAAGGAGAGGATAAATCGAATAAATAAATTTATTTATTCGATAGATTTGTTTTTTTTTTTTATTAATTATAATTTAAATATTTTTCGAATTTTACTTACCAGATAATGGTAAAAATATGAGCGAAAGGATTAGAAAAAATAAATTACAATTTAATTAAGTAACAAACAAAAAAAAGTTTATTTCAACAAAGATTATTTTTTTCATTCTCAACAAAAAAAAAAGGAAAAAAAAACAATTATAATACAATTTTCTATTTCTTTTTTTTTTTTTTTTTAATCGCAGAAACAAATTATTTTTTTTCTTTCTAATAAACAATTTTCTTTTGGAATCAATATTTTGTGAATAAAATTCAGCAAATTTTTTTTTTCTCTTTACAAAGTAAACAAATAATTTTCCAATAATAGTAATAATTTATTGTTGAAAAGTTATTTTTAAAAGGAGAAACATTGAATTATTTTTACTTTAGAAAAAAAAAAAAAAAAAATTATTTCTTTTAGTTACAAAAAAGAAATTGAATTTCCTTCAGTTACGAAAAGGAAAAAATGTCGAATAATTTTTTATTAGAAAGAAAAAATCTTTCCATAAAAGTGAAAATTATTTTTAAATTTATTAATATGGAAACTAAATTAATAATAATAATTAATTTCTTATAAAACAAAAAAAATTGTCAACTTATTTTTCTCTAGAGAATTTTTTTTTTTTTCCAACAATTGAAATATTTTTGATTATTTAAAAAAGGAAATTAAGTTACAATAATGTAATCTAAGGTCAATAGAAAATTAAATAATTATACAATATTCACAATATGTCAGTCATCTTAATTTAAAAAATGTCAAAAGTTTTCTTTTTTTTTCTCATTTCATGGGAATAAATATTGTTTCTTTTCTTTCTTTTCTCTTTTTTTTTTTAATTAATTAATTAATTAATTATTTACAGTTTCTTTCTCTCCAGATATTTGTGCTAATTCTGTTCACGTCAAACGACCCAACTGTGAACGGTTCCTGTAATGTTTTTTTTTTTTTTTTTTTAGAGAAATTAATATTAAAATTCTTTGTGTAAATTTTTATATTTTAAATTAAAAATTTTTAAAAATAAAAAGTTACTTACGAGGTGAAAAGTTGTGATGATGCGTCACTCTTATGTGAATATCTTGCGTCTCGCCTATAAAAGAAAATGAAAAGAAAGAAGGAAAAAGAAAATATTTTTTGAAAAATTTTATACTATTTTAAAAATAGAAAAATGCGAAATTGGATTAATTTTACTGCTTTCTTTTTTTTATAAGTTAGCTTAGAAAATGAATTAAAAAGCTTTTTTAAAATTTCATATAGAAGGAACAGAAAAAGGAATTAAAAAGGGAAATAATAATTAAATTCTTATTTAGAATTAAATACAAAAAAATTTCGGTATTAGTATTTTTTTTTTTAATTTAATTTTTTAATTATAGCGAAACGAGTTAGATTCATAAATTAAATTAAAAAAATAAAAAAAAAACTTTCGTACCTTGTATATTATTTTTAAAAAAATTAAGTATAACATTTACATTCAATTTAAAATCATTGCAATTAACAAATAAATCGTAAAAATACACACACATATCTAGGCACTTGAGTTTTTATTAATATATATTTGGTATATTAATCGCTTTATGATATCGTCATTTGGTCAATATTAAGTAAAAATTATTATTATTATTACAAAAATCACTTCCATGCTATTAAATATTATAATTATTTTCACGATGCGTAATTATTTCGTCAACTATTAATTCATAAAGAAAGAATCGAACAATCGTCGAAGAAAAAAATTAATCACGCATTTTTATATTAATTAAGGCGCATGATTATTACATAAAAATCATTAGAATTTTTATTTCAAAGAATTTTTATTAGTTATAATTATTTTTTAAACGAATTTTCAATTTTTCAAATTAGAATTTGACAGAATTTCTCTTTAAACGAATTTTTTTCGATACAAAATTGTTAAAACGACAAATTTTTATTTGTCCGAAATTTCAAATCACCGAATGAACAGACGACGGTAAGATTTTGGCGCGTTTTTTTAAAATTGACCATTCACAATTTTTCTGAATAATTTCTGATTGGTCAATTTTGAAAAAAGTCGTCAAAAGAAATCCTTTCTGTCGTTTGTTTTTTCGGCCATTTGCAATATCGAAAAATAAAAATTCAGCGTTTTAACAATTCTGTATCAAAAAAAAATTCGTTTAAAATGTGTCAAATTCCAATTTCGAAAAATAAAAATTCGCCTCAAAATTCCATTGTCCAATTCTTTCTTCATTGCATGCGATCGAAAGCAAAAAAAAAAAAAAAAAAGAAAACCTAATGAACACACAAATTTTTTCCTCGAGTTTTACAACCTCCGATATTAAGAGATATTTACAAAAATGAGGCGCATGATTTTTTCCAAAAATTAAAAAGTTGGAAATTTTAATTGATCGAATTACTTTAAGTCGATATTTTATTTGGTCGAAATTCTAAATGATCGACATTTAAAGTGGTCGAAATTTTATTAGTTCGATATTCTAAATGATCCAAATTTAAAGTGGTCGATATTTTAAATGATAGAAATTTAGAAGCATCGAATTTTATATCCATCGAAATTTAATTTGGTCGATATACGATTTTCCTCTCTATGTTGTTATTATTATTTACATCAATAATTTCAAATTTCCCGCAAAATTTCAATGTACTTTACCGACAAACTACATAGAAAAGTAACTCGTATAGCTAAAAAAAGTGTTGAGCTTTTAAAAATATCGACCAAATTAAATTTCGATGGATATAAAATTCGATGCTTCTAAATTTCTATCATTTAGAATATCGAACAAATAAAATATCGACTTAATGTAATTCGATCAATTAAATTTTCAACCTTTTTAAGTTTTGGGAAAAATCATGCGCCTCCTCGAGTTTCACAACCTCCGATATTAAGAGATATTTACAAAAAATTTGTTTCTTGAAAATAATTTTTTTTAAAAAAATATTATTTACGAGAGATATCTTTAGACTCGGTGGTCGATCTCGATAGGAGAAATGGATTATTGTCATTTCGAATGTCAGACGGACAATTTGTAAATTTCCTACCTGACGTTAAATTTGATGGTGGTATTATTCGCAATAAATCGCATTGTTCACATCTTTTCATAAGTGGATGATTTTTAAATGTACACATTCGACAAACCCACGAGGGTCCATCTCTCTCCTCCGGATGATGATGATGATGATGATTGCCTGCTCTGTTAATTGGTACTTGCCATGCTGGCGGTTCCGTTGGCAATGGTGGTGGAATTAACACTGGACGTGGACCAAATGGTTGTCCAGTGTAAATACCACGATAGAATTCCTCATTTGATTCATTAACTGCAACTAAAATTAGTAATTTGGTAAAAAAGATTCGAAAAGAAATGAAGAAAAAGAATTTTATTCACCTCCTGGTTCTGAATTCTGATCGATTTCATTCGCCATTTTATTGCATTCGACCTGTAGTTGAAATATTTCCCTCTGCAATTGTTGTTTATATGCCTGGAAAAAGGTCGAATTGGTATTAAAATCGTTGCTTTGTTTTGAAATTTGGCGCGCAATCTACATTACCGATAGAGTTCTTTTTTTTTTTTTTACCTCAGGTGACATTGTTGAATCGAACGGACGTAACAGTAATTCAATTTCCTTTTTCATTGATTCGAGTCGTCCTTTCTCGGCCTCAACTTCACGAGCCAATCGATTCTTCCTCTCCAATTGTTCGGCAATAAGCTGTCGTTGATTTTCACTAATCAGTGATAAATCCTGATTCGTTGCAATTAGACGATCATCATTTGAAGTTGAAGCCATCGATTCGTTCGATTGTGATCCAATTGGCGTTGTCGGTAGACTCGTCGCTGATGAATGTAAATTAACACCCGATGGACCCACTAAAGGCGTTGTTGGTGCACTCATTGTCATCGTAGGTCGTGACAATTGACTCGGTGGTCCTGTAGGTAGTCCAGCGGTTCTACGTACCGAACTATATTGTCCCGAGGGTAGAAGACTACTGGGTCGTGTGGGACCCATTGGAGGTCGAATTCGTGCTGCGGCAACAGTTCCAACGTTTCCTGGACCAATGCTAATTTGTACCCGGCTTTGAAAACCCCGTGGATTAGACGATGATGTCGAATAAGTGAGACTGGAACGTTGTGATCGAATGTCAATTGGTGCCTGTGGCTCTGATGAGGGTGGCCTTAGTGTTAAGCTCACGGACGTGAAACTCCGATTCTGCTCGGTTGGTAGATTAACAATGTAGGGTTCACAGTAGTTTGAATGAGGTTCTAATCGAGGAAAAGACAAATTTTCATAGAACGCACCAACTTGACCTTGTCAATTTTGTTGGGGAGCAAAAAAAAATACCTCGGGTTTTGTATTAGTAGTACTGTATCGAAGTATAATGTCCCACTGTAAAAGAAGATTTCATAAAAATTGATTTTTTCGATTTTTTTCAGGAAAAAATCGATTTTTGGGAAATCTTCTTTTACAGTGGGTCATTATACTCCGGTACAGTGCTACTAATACAAAACCCGAGGTATTTTTTTGTTCCCCAACAAAATTGGCGAAGTCAAGTTGGTGCGGTTGGAACTCACCTGTATTTTTCACTGGCTTACAGGCAACATTAACATTAACTTCAAATCCACTTGGTTCAGTGGCATTAGCAAAAACTTCCTGATACGCTCCAGAATTTGCATCGATTTGTGTGTAATTAATAGGTGGAACTCTGGTACAATTAATAAGGCGACGATTTGAGCCAATATCAAGTGTACCAGGTCTATTGGGTTGTGTTTGTGTCGCTGGTAATATAATTGCGACTTGTTCCTGATTCATAGTGACACCACGTAATTGTTCCTGGTTTGGTCCAGGCGGTGGAAACGCTCCCGGTGAAGGACGACGTTCTTGTGTTTCTCGTAGACTTCTTGCACATGTCTCTTTATTGTGTCCTTCCTATTTAGATGATGGAAATGCCAGTCGAAATTTTTTTTTTTTATTAAACCAATTTGTTAGCGACAATTTTTTGGACAAAACGCACAATTTAGCATGCTTTTCATGCCTAACAGAAAATAAGGAATGGAAACTTAAAGGAAACTTAACGAATATAATAATATTAATTTGAAAATGACGCACATGTATATCACGCTCATGCAGGAAGCGTTTTTTTTAAATCAGGAATTGTCGGATTGGATCTCGTTGTTTGGAGGAAAAATTTGTTATCATCGAACGTTGAGAATAGTTGTTATCGTTGGAGATGGACATCTAGGCACTATCTACCTGGGCGATACATTCGGCAACAATGTGATCGGATAATGTTGGAAATTGCTGCTTCAGCTCATGGAACAGCTGCATGATGGCAATTTTAGAGCATGTGCACTCCCCCATCTCCGGCCTCCATTATCCTCTTTCAAACTATCTATCAAAAAAAATTTTTTTTGAATTCTTATTTAAAATATTTCCAAAACTATTGGAATACTTTGGGTTTTGGAAAAAGTTATATTTTGATGACCCATTTCTTTTTTTTTTTTTTTTTTTTTGAAGGCAAAATTCTTTGCTTGTTCCCTCATCATCATTGTTGGACACCTGTGCCGCGTGCCTTTCAACACACGGATATATGAGAAAAGCATACATTGAGATGTGTAAGTGCCGCACATAATTAGCCGGCCAAAAACAAGTGCCACGCGCCTCTTCACATTCGCACGTGTTCACCTCCCCCTAATTTTAACATTCTCCATTGCACGTGCAATTGTCCATATGATTTTAGATTTTAGATCATAGGATATTGGATATGGTAAATAATTTCTAATTGCTCATTAGAAAAAATTCTATATCCATAATGCTGTGTAGAATCTATATTCCAATTTTCTAATTACAAATTTTTGGGTCATTTTTGGATAATATTGAATTTTTTTTTATATTGTAGTTTTTTGGAATTTTTATGAAAATAAGAGTGATGATGTGTTAAGCAATTGGAGGTGCTAACATAATAAGAGTGAAATTCAAGTCCTCGAGAGATTTGGCATGAGCTGGACCGAATTAAGAAGTCGAAAAAAAAAGAAAATGCAAAAGGAATCCGGATTTGGCAAGTGGCCACCGCGTATTTAAACTGAAACCACCAAATTAATTTCTCAACCACGCGAAATACTTTCTACTATTTGCACCTGGGTGAATATTTTTTTTGTTCATAAATTTTTTTTCAAAAAATACCTAGGATTAATTTCTATTTCCCCCATAACGATTTCATGTTTATAACCTCAAAAATTGAACTAGTTTTTCAAAAAAAAAAAAATGTCTCTCAAATTCTATAGTAGCCCACATAGCACGACTTCTTGCTGCGAGGTTACTGTTAGGATATCTGTAGGGTTTGTAAGGTTACCGTGTAAGCCTACAGTAAACTTGAGGTTATCTTAAAACTTCCGCCATTACAGTAAGCTTACACGCAGTAAAGCTAAGGTAAGCTTACACAGTAAGGTCGTGGTAAGTTTACATGGTAAGGTTGTGGTAAGCTTACACGGTAAGGTTGCTATAAACATAGAATGTTATTAATAAATAAATTTTTTTTAATATTTATGCGCAGTAGATTTCTATGGCACATACGGCTGAGCAGTAAATTTTATTTAACAAAACCCTATTGGGGTTTATGAAGTACTTTACCAAATATATAATTAAAAAAAAAAATTTTATAATATAATATATATTATAATATAATTATTTTTAATATATTTTCATATTACTCTATGTTTATAGTAACCTTACAGTAACCTCACAGCAACATTACAGTAACCTTACGGGAAGCTTACCTTACCGTGTAAGCTTACCACAACCTTACCATGTAAACTTACCACGACCTTACTGTGTAAGCTTACCTTAGCTTTACTGCGTGTAAGCTTACTGTAATGGCGGAAATTTTAAGATGACCTCAAGTTTACTGTAGGCTTACACGGTAACCTTACAAACCCTACAGATATCCTAACAGTAACCTCACAGCAAGAAGTCGTGCTATGTGGGAGACAAAAAAAAACCCGCAAAAAATCTTTTTTACACCGGAAAAAAATAATTTTAACTGTATAAATTAAAAGAAATATTATTTTTAGAAAAAAAAATTTACTTTTTGAATATGCGACTCTCAAATATTGTATATCGTGAATGTTAATTGTCGAATTTGATGCCATGCCAACTTGTGTGAAAATAACGTTCCATCACTGTCTGTCATTTTACATTAGACAAAACAGTATATAACCTATACACACATTTGTAATTTATCTCTTTTTAATTATTCCACGAAAAAAGAATGCCAATTTTTTTTTTCACTCCCCAATTCGAGATTTACGACAACGAATTTTTCTTCTCTTTTGCAAATTATTTGTATTTCAGATAATAATTACGTTAAATACGTGTGAACATTTAGGATGAAATTCTCAATATTTGACGTTGAAAAAGAAGATTGTAAATAAATTTTTAAATTAGAAGTGAACCTAACCTCAAAAAAAAAAAAAAATTAAATCATCACCGGAACTAATTTTGCGAATTTGGCTTTTTTTACACGGGTAAAATATATGAAACATTTTGTTGGATCAAGTGTGCCAAAAAATTTGTGTCTCTAATGTTATTATTGTGCACCCCCAACTCTTCGCATTCCATTGCACAAGTTTCGTGTTCCTTTGCAATGAAAATTAGAAATTAGAGAGAAAATTTTGATTTTCAGGAAAAAAAAAATTTATACAAAAATAGTTATCAAGGGGAAGTGGAAAAAAAAATTCTTTGAAACTCACCGAACGGCAACCATTAAGGTCGGAAAAATCACGTAAAGTTGGCACTCAATTCACGATTGAAAAATTCCTGGAAATCTTTTTAACTTTTCTTTTTTTTGTCATTAATTGCCAGTAAAGGAAAAATTAGAAAATTTCTTTTATGTCGAAGAAGGAAAATGTCTTTTTTTTCTCACTATTTTCTCTGTCTCTCTTTTTCTGTCTTAAGGCACTGGAAAAGTGTTTTGTTTTTTTTTTGTCTATTTTAAAAAAAAGCAAATAATAACGCAAGAGACAATCCGTCGTGTCGAGCAATCAGCTGTCCACTGCGTATTTAACTGACAAAGTCAAATTAACGAAGTGAATTTTTTTTTTTGAAAATTTTTTTTTTAATAAAAGTTAGGGAAATAGTAAAATTTCTATTTTAGCAATTTTTTTTTTAATTTTTCTCATAGGGGGAAAAAATTGATATTTTTTGAATTGAATAAAAATTGAGTGTTTAAAAAATCTAAAGCAAAAGTTGCTCATTTGACTAGTGTTGGAATTTAAAATGGCGACGATTAAAAATTGTTCTATTTTATACATTACAAATCGAACGAAATCGCCCACGAATACCTATTTCAAAATTTCTATTTTAAAATTAAAAAGAAGAAAAATTGCATTTTTTTGTATTTATTTTCATTTGATAAAAATTATATTTATTTAAGATGCGAAAAGAAAATTTCTACTTTATCTACATTGAGCAGTTTTATATTTAAAGAAATTAATTTTTTTTTAAAATAATTTTAACAAAAAGTAATTATATAAACTGTAAATTAAAAATATAATTTTGAATTTCGCGCCAAAATTGACAGCAAATTCAAAAATTAAAGAATAGGAAGGGAAAATTATCAACAAATACTGTAAACACTGGTATATTGCTTTCTATGAGTACAAACCAAAGTTGCAGTAATACAATAATATAATTAATAATAATAATAATATATATTTTTTATTTATTTATAATAATAATTAATAATACGATAGCGAACAAATTTCTCCACTCCTCGCATGGAAAAAGCGACATTTATAAATACATTCTCTTGTTTTCAAAATAATTTTTTTTCTTCCCTAAAGAAAAAAAAAAAAAAAAAAAAAACAATTACTAGAAAATGAAAATCCGGTTTTTCACAAGCCTTGGCTAATTTAAATCGAATGAAAACTATTTTTATTGACTTGGAAACATTTTGTAAAAAACGAAAATAAATGCAAAATTAATTTTTTTATGCATATAAATAAATACATGTATTTTTAATTTTCTCCATAAACAAAAAAAAAAAAAACATTTGGCACAATCTTGCGAAAATGAAACACATCGCGAAATGAACAAAAAAAAAAATCGAGTACAAAGTGAAAAAAACAATTCTTTTTGTGAAAAATAAATATTTTACTTTTAAATGAAATAATTAAATGGTAAATTTGAATTTCCCGCCATAAAAAAATTGTATATTCTCGGCGGGAAATTTAAATTTCGTTTAATTACGGAGATTGTTTTTTCAAAATAAAAAAACCCCCCACATTTCTTGTGTATGTTACAAAATAAATTCTAAAATTTTCGAGAATATTCTCTATTTAGAAATATATAAATATGTACATTTTTTTTTAGTAGTACAAATTTTTTTTTCTCGCTCTCGTCATACAAAGATCGTTGCTTTCAATAATAATAATAATAATAAAGAAGCGTCGAAATTGAAAAAAATAAAAAATTTTAAATTGTGAAATAAAACCGGTCACATTTTCAAAAAAAAGAGAAATTTTTTTACTCTCTTTAAATTGCCATGGAATTAAATTCCCATCGGACGGATACGCGTCTTTGTGATAATATTGATAGAAAAATATTTTGTCGATTCGAAATCTTAGACGATATTTTGTTGTTATTTCTTTTTAAGAAAATTACGTACAGAAGTGATACGTAAAAAGTCGAGTTTTATTGAAAATTTAACAAAAAAAAATTTCTACTCGATTAAATTAGACGATTATATTAAATTTTTTTGTAGCAAAAATTTAAGTTATATATAAAAAGCTAGTAAAGATTGGACCGCGTTTTACTTTGAAAATGATGAAAAAAAAATAAAATAAAACAGAAATTATACATTAGATCCAACAACAATGACGACGTGACATTTTCGATCCTGCGCTTTTTTTTTGTCAATGATTGTTGTTGATCTTTGATTCGTGTTTGTGTTTATTTGAAGACTCGAGTAAAATTAATTTTTTCTTTTAATCGTCATTCACTTCAATCGGAATGCTGGTTGTAAACGTTGGTGTCTCGAGTTCCTCATGTTTTTTCAGCTTCATGCTCTAAAATAATATTATTTTATAAATTAAATATATTAAAATATTTTTTATATTAATCTGTTTAGGGGTGTGGTTTTTTTGTTACTTAATTACAAAGGAGAGAAAAAATAGCAAAATTTTGGGAAATTTACATTTTTGAGAAAAATTTTTTGATAGGATTATTATTTTCCGACCTAATAGACCAATTACGAAATTTTAGAGACTTTTATTTTTAGTTAAATAAATCTTCAGTAGTATAATGATCAGTACCCCATTTTTAAGGATTTTTTTTATCTAAATAAGTCTTCAGTAGTTTAGTAACCAGTACCCCATTTTTTAAGTATTATTTTTAATTAAATAATTCTTCAGTAGTATAGTAATCAGTACCTCCCGTTTTGATGGTTTTAATTAATCTTCAGTAGTATAGTGATTAGTACCCCCCCCCCTTTTTATAAGGGTTCAATTTTTAGTTAAATAAGTCTCAGTAGTATAATGATCAGTACCCCTTTTTCGGAGGCTTCTAATTTATAAAATCTTCAGTAGTATAGTAATCAGTACCCCCTTTTTTGAGGGGTTTATTTTTAGTTTAAAATAAATCTTCAGTAGTATAGTAATCAGTACCTCATTTTTTAGGGTTTTTTTTTTAGGAAAATAAGTCTTCAGTAGTTTAGTAACCAGTACCCCCTTTTTTGAGTTTTATTTTTAATTAAATAATTCTTCAGTAGTATAGTAATCAGTACCCCCCTTTTTGGTAGTTTTAATTGATCTTCAGTAGTATAGTGATTAGTACCCCCCCCCCTCTTTTTGAAGGTTCAATTTTTAGTTAAATAAGTCTTCAGTAGTATAATGATCAGTACCCCTTTTTCGGAGACTTCTAATTTATAAAATCTTCAGTAGTATAGTAATCAGTACCTCCATTTAAAAAAAAAAAATACCTACTCAATTTTGAAGCCGAATGAAAAAAGAGACGAGTGATTTTGATTGGATTCTCAATTAGTGAAAATTGCAGCGGACTTTTCAAAGTCAGTTATCTCTTTTTTGATTTGGTTTTATAATGTAAATTTAGCTTTACCACTTGAAAAAAGGTCGAATGAAACATAATTGATTTTGTCCCCTCATTCAGCGGACGAATACGCAGCATTAGGGAACTTCAAAAATCAATTATTATTTTTTTTTTTTGATTCGATCTTTTAAAATTTCAACCCTTTTTCTATTATCTCAAAATTTTACCTGTTGTAGCTTGTAATGATTAATAATATCCTGATCAGCAGGACAACTTTGTAGAAAAGCATCGAGCCTATACATATGATGCATATATCGCCAAAGGTGTATCAATGTCTCGGGTATTTCAAAATTAACAAAATATTTTCCAGCGACCCTTATGTGCTGTAAACGTGGCATCAATTCACAATCAAAACAACACATTGTGTCGCCTGTTAAAAATCTTGTTCCCTTTCGTCCAAGGTGCTCGTCAATTTTACGTAAATGTGTCATCAACGATGAATTCATTGGATCAACATCCTTGTCTTTTGAAATTAACAACAATTTCAACTTCTACAAAAAAACAAAAAGAATAATAGATTAAAAATAAAAATGTTAAAATTTTGTTAAAAAATTACAAAAAAAAAACTTACGCTAAAAATTGTTTCCACTAAAGTGGCAACCTCCTTGTCTTGAACAAATAGATTATGACCACCTGGAATAACTTTCATGATGTGTCGTTCAATTTTTTCATTTTCAAGTATCGCATCGCCACGATCAATTAAAATTGGTGGTGGTGTGGCTTGAAAATTGGTGCGAAAGTCAGGCGGTGGTTTTTGCATGTCTACAGTAGTGACCTTGAGTGAAATTGTCTTTAATTCAGCGAGTAGATAAAGATCCATGAAGTATTCCTGACAGAAAAGACAAGCGCCTTTCCGGCGACCGTCTATCGTTGATGCCTGCGACAATAATTTACATTTTTATTTAATTTATGACCAATTTTTTTCCCCCTCATTATTTCACTCACGTATTTTTTTTTTATATTCCATACCAAAAGTCGGTTTTTTTCGATACGATATTTTATTTTTAAATATTATTATCGATATCGATTAAGAATTGATAAAAATCGACAGTAAAAATATGGGATAAAAATTAACTAAGGCAATTAATGGATTTTGGAATTATATAAAGTCGAAGTGGTATCAGTTCTGATAATAATATTCAAGGCTAAAAAATGCGTTTAACGGAACTAATACTATTTATAACCTGTTAATTTATGATAATGTATCTTACTTCTAGTAAAAAACTTTATTTTGAGCCAAAAAAAAGACTGAAAATTGAAAATCGTTTTTGATTTTTAAAAAAATAAGGAAAATACAAAGTAGTTATGTTTTTAAACGAAACATTTTAAATTTTAAATGAAAATTTTTTTTTATTCTACGGGGGTTTTTTTTTTAAATGACGCTCGACGTTTAGGAACTAGTGATTCAATTACGCAACCTGAGAAAGTCAAGGTCCGCAAAACAGTTTTGTCGTACGCGCGCGATAGTCATTTCTTCAAGTCAAGGTTCGATTCTCGTGTGAATTTCTTTTTGGTCAAGGTGCGATTACGCCCATCAATTTTTTTTTTTTTTTGCTCTCACTTTGCGTCTGGTCAGTTACCGGAATAAAAATAAACCTCGAGAAAAAGGATTTTTTTTTAAATTTAAAAAGGAATTTTAAAAAAATAAAACTAAAAAATATTTTTCTTTTAAAATTATCTCCCGTAAATTTTAGATGTAAGGGATTAAATTCAGCTCAAGTTTCTGTCTATATATATATATATATATATATATATATATATATATATATATCGGGAGGTTAATGATTTTTTTTGTCGAACGTTCAGGGAGGGGATTTTAATAAAATGCACGTGGCACCGAACGTGTCTAAGAAGAATTATACGAGGAAGGAATTGTTAATAGCTTTCGATTTGCTCTTGAGCTTGAAAAAGCTGCGGGCTTTAAAACTAATTTCCTCGTGTAGAGAGAGAATTAGAGAAGAGTTAAATTTGTTTCCTAACCTCAAAAAAATAAGTTAGAAACGTTTTTTAGAACTAGAATTGAATTCTAAATTTTTCCTAACCTCAAAAAAAAAAATTGAAAATCTCTTTTTAGAACTAGAATTGAATTCTAAATGTTTCCTAACCTCAAAAAAATATTGAAAATCTCTTTTTAGAACTAGAATTGAATTCTAAATGTTTTCTAACCTCAAAAAAATATTGAAAAATGTTTCTTTTTCCACTTCGAAATAAGCTGAAGTGATTTGAAAATTCTGTTTTTAGATCTAATTAAGAATTTCGTTTAGATTAGGTTTTATTAAATATAAATTTATATAGTTGAGAATAATTTAAAGTCTAAACAATAGGTCTGCACAGTTATGGAGGTATTAAATTTCATAAAAGGTGAGTCACGCACTGCAGCGACTGGTGAAAATTACAAATGATATTTGTCGCCCCTCGGGGAGAGAAGGTGACTCTAAACTTTAAAATTTTAAATGTCAAGCTGAAGATTCATGCCAGGGAGTCTAACATATTTTATTACCTACTTTTCGATCATTTCCCTATTACGAAACTGAAAAATACTAATGGCATCCTTGTCTACTTTAGTTTAAAGTAAATTTAAACTCTTTTTTTAGGTATTTTTGTACCCTTTCTTTAAGGCTTTATCAATCTTCAGTATAGTTTAGTGATCAGTACTTCCATTTTTCTTCAATACTATTTAATTCGAACGCTACGATTTTTTTCTATAAGGATTAATTTCTAAAGATTTTCTTCGTAAATTTCGGAGAATCAATTATAGGATCATATATTACTCTTTGATATCTCAATGCCTTGGTTATAAATTGCAACATCGCGAACGTTTCTCGTTTGAAAATTCCACGTCCCCCGCCGCAGATATTTCTGGCATTGGTTCCGCGTGTTCTCTCTCTATGTCCTTCGAAATTCAACTCCGCTGTCTTTGCAATTTTCTCTTAAACTATATCGTGTTCAACGTCGCTCATATTTTTTTTTCTTCAATTGAAATTGTTATTATATAATAAAAATTCAAAAAAAAAATGTATTTCATAAGCAAAAAAAATAGCTTTTTTCTACAATGAACTACAACAATTGTCTTTTTTTCTTGATCAAACAATAATAATTAGAGAGAGATTATCACAGAGAAGAGTCGGAATAGAAAGTACAAATGAGTTTCGAGAATATTGCGCGAGTCAGGACAAAACGCCGCGTTTAGAAAGGAATTTGCTTTCATACAAAACAAGAATGCTTTTAGAAAACCAGACTTGTTAGTTGTTATACCAGTGTATGACACTTTGTTTCCCTTTTTGAAAAAAGGGGAAAAAACAGGGGGGAGTAAATTGATAGTGAAAATAAGAAAAAAAAATTTTGCTTAAGGAACTTGAATTGCTCCACATGGACTCCAGACTTGTGCGAATTTAATTAAAATCTCGATTTATATATAGGGTCCATTGACCGAGTGATAAACTGAGACGTAAAATGAAATAGTCACCCATGAAACCATTTATGGTTATACCCCCTTTCGAATGAGATCATTCTAGAAACTTTTGCTTCAATTTAAATTATTATTATTAATTCATAAATCATTGTCTTAGTTCCGTTACTAGATTCGATAAACTTTCATGAAAATTAATATATAATTTAAAAAAAAAACTGTTAGAATAATTTTTATAAAGAAATTAGTAAATCTGTTAAATTTATTTTTTCAAATACAAATTCAATAATGATAAAAAAAACGAAATTAATGGATAAATTGAGTAATTGGGAAATTTATTTAAAAAAAGATTGTCTTTTTCTCTCTAATTTAAAAATTGACCTCATGAATCTTGTGATTCATATTCTAAACCTTGTAATTCCATAAGTAAAAAAAAAGTGAAAAAAGATTTAATAATAATAAAAAGAAATATCTTCCGATGACCATAACTCTGACCTGTACATAATTTTCAAGGACAACTGCACACATGTGTCTTTCTCGCGATGTAATAAAATTTTAATTCCTCCCGGATATTTTTAATATTCTATATATTTGATATTATATAAATTTTCTTTTTATATTAGAAAGGAAAACAATTTTTAAATTTCGAGACTTTGAAAATTTTAATTTTTTAAAATGAAAATTTATTTTAGATTTGTCGATGATAATGATGATGACAACAGTTCCCGCCGGCGTTGTGTAAAGATACGCGCTCTAGTGTTAAACACGTGATCGTTTAGACTTAATTTATATTTATCAATGACGCTCACATATATTAATTTGTAGCTTTTTGTAAACAATTTTCCAAAATGCAAATTTTCTATACAAATCAAAGAAACTCAAATGTTTGTTTTGAATCTATTCCTTTCACTTTCAATATTGGCAGCGATTCAAAATAAAAAAAAATACTACCGGAAAGACAATGACGTACGAACGAAAAGGGTTTTGAAATTTTTTTTTTTAATTTCAATATTTGTTTTAAAGCAAGCAAATTTTTTACCTAATTTTTTTGATTTTATTTACTCAACACTTGTGAGAATATGTTAAAAGCAAAAAAGAAATTTTTTGTTATTTAACCACGTGAGTCATAAAGGAAGTTTTTATTTGCCGGTTAAACGATGGTTTTTTTTTCTACATATGCCCTCAGTTTTGGGGTGGGGAAGAAACCATCCACTACTAACGGTACGAGGAGTATATGGTGATTTTCAAGGAGGATCCGAACGTCCCACATGACATACTTAAAAAAAAACCTGGTTGCAAGGTCAGGTGTTTTATGTTCTAACGGCCCGGAATAATTACATCGTTGCTAAATCATTATCATTAAAAGAAAAACTAATGAAGTCATTTACTGGTAATTTAATAAAGATTAAGTAATTTTTAAATTAAAAAAATTTAACCTTTAATGATCATGTGGGGTTCAATGGACCCTAGTGTAGTAAATATGTAATTCTACAGAAAAGTAACAAGGATTAATATTTATAAAAAATTTTTATATATTAAATTTGTCATATAAACGAAAGAGTATATAATGAGGAGGGTCTTTTAACATCGTAGAAACAATTTAGTCTAGCTGTGATACTATTTTGAATTTATATAAAATTCGCGCGCAAATTATCAGGAAACGCGACCACTGTTATAATTGAGAGAGGAGAAAAATTTAATTTTACTTTTTTCTAGTTCAGAACTATAATTTTTTTTTATATTTAAATTTATTTTCTTATCAAAAACTTTATAATACTTATTTTTCTAATCTAAATATAGCAAAAAGAGGTTCCTTGTGTTTTTTTCGGTGAGGGAGCGTCGAAATAAAAAAAAAATTGATAAAAATGAACATTCATGGGTTCATGAAAGAGCATTTATATATGAGAGAAAAAGGAGACAAGACGAGATTGTATAAACGAGACGAACCCAGATGTACAGTTAAGCAAACGAAATGCGCACACGAGCGGTGACCCAATACGCGTTCGACATTTGTGGCACGTACCAAATGCATAAACTCATATTCAGATTTATTTTTTTTTCATATGTAGCGTTTGTTTGACCTTTGACCTTTTGAAGACAGGGGGATTTCATTAATCGCGAACAAACTATTATTTTTTATTGTAACAAATTTGATATTCAAAATTTCTTTAATATGGAAAAAATCTTCACCTGGAAAAGGGATAAGTTTTACTGAAATAGTGATATATTTCACTAAAACAGGAAAGTTTTTGCTATTTTAGAGAAACATATCGCTGTTCCAGATAAAGATTTTTTTCCGTACAGGATTTTATAATATTATTCCTCAGTAGTATAATGATCAGTACCCCTTTTTTTGAGGGTTTTTGTTTTGACAAAATCTTCAGTAGTATAGTAATCAGTACCCCTTTTTTTTGAGGGTTTTTGTTTTGATAAAATCTTCAGTAGTATAGTAATCAGTACCCCTTTTTTTTGAGGGTTTTTGTTTTGATAAAATCTTCAGTAGTATAGTAATTAGTACCCCCTTTGAGGGTTTCAATTAATCTTCAGTAGTATAGTAACCAGTACCCCCTTTGAGGGCTTTAATTAATCTTCAGTAATATAGTGATAAGTACCCCCTTTTTGGGGGGTTTTAGTTTTTGACAAAATCTTCAGTAGTATAGTAATCAGTACCCCCCCTTTTTGATGGTTTTAATTAATCTTCAGTATAGTGATTAGTACCCACCTCTTTTTGAGGGTTTAATTTTTAATTACATAAATCTTCACTAGTACAATGATCAGTACCCCCTTTTTCGGAGGTTCCTAAATTATAAAATCTTCAGTAGTATAGTAATCAGTACCCCTTTTTGCAAAGGCTCCTGATTTATAAAATATACATTAGCATAGAAATCAGTACCCCCCTTTTGGTGAGTTTTATTTTTAGTTAAACAATTCTTCAGTAGTATAGTAATCAGTACCCCCTTTTTTTAAGGGTTTAAGTTAATATCTTCAGTAGTATAATGGACAGTACCCCTCTCTTAAATAAATAATTCCCACTCATTTTTATTTAAATTTTAAATTGAGGAATTTTTTTTATCATTTCTAATGATAAAAAAGTAAAGAAAAATTAGTCACGAAAATTTATAGTTTTTCTGTTTAACTAGATTGGCGCGGTGGTGACAGGAAGAAAAAGAGATGATGATAATAATAAAATAATAATTGTGCAGAAATTCATGATGAATGAAAAGACAATGACCCCTTTTAGAAACTGGAAACAAGGCAGAATTGGCTCTCGATTTTCTACGTGGTTGTTCACTCCCTTTATTACTTTCTGGGCAAGTCGAGAGAGTAAAAGAAAGGTACGAAACGACTTTTTTTTGTTGTTATCCAAAGAGAGAGAAAGAATCATGTCTTTTAGCGAAATTGCTTTTCTTTCAAATGAGCGCTTCCGAAGAATCGAAACTGTTTGGGATTTATTATTTAAAACAAAATCGTAGCAAACTCTTGTTTTTTAATTATTATTCACCCGATAAAAAATTTTGTTATCGTATACGAAAATACGGTTTTTGTAAATGAGTTTCTCAATTTGATTATGAAAATTTGAAAAAAATTGAAAATTTTGTACCCCCTTTTTTTAGGGTTTTATTTTTAGTTGAATAAATTAGTAAATATTTTTACTTATTCAGACTTAGAGAGTTTTCTTTGAGGTTTTAAGTTGAAAATTTAAAATGAAAATTCCTTTTTATTTCCATATAGAAAATGTTTTAAAGAAACAATAATTTTTCAAAAAGAATAAAAAAAATGTGTTTGACTAAATCTTTAGTAGCATAGTGATTAGTATCCCCCTCCTCTTTTTGAGGGTTTTATTTTTAGTTAAATAAGTCTTCAGTAGTATAGTGATTAGTACCCTCTTTTTCGGAGGCTTTTGATTTATGAATTCTTCAGTAGTATAGTAATCAGTACCCCTCTTTTTTTCACGGTTTTATTTTTAGTTGAATAATTCTTCAGTAGTATAGTAGTCAGTACCCTCTTTTTTTGAGAATTTAAATTGAAAATTTAAAATGAAAATTCCTTTTTATTGCAATATAGAAAATGTTTTAAAAAAATAATAATTTTTCAAAATAAATAAAAAAATTGTGTTTGACTAAATCTTCAGTAGTATAGTAATCAGTACCCCTTTTTTAGAAGGTTTTCTTTTTAGTTGAATAATTCTTCAGTAGTATAGTAGTCAGTACCCTCTTTTTTTGAGGATTTAAATTGAAAATTGCTTTTTATTTCAATATAGAAAATGTTTTAAAGAAACAATAATTTTTTTGAAATGAATAACAAAAAATTTTACTTTAAATTTGCTTTATTACGGAAATCAAGTGCAGATGATAATAATCGGTTAGGAATTTTATCAAAATTTAGATTGCCAAGTTAATGAGCATTTATTATTATTATTTTTTTTTTTTTTAAAGAAAACCAGAGAAGTAGGCCACAAACAAAAGATAAATGAAGAATCAAGATAAATCTTAAAAACAATGTTGGAATAAATGATTGTAAATGAAAAGATATAAATCGAAATTTTTTTTCTTTTTGGTATATTGAAAACTAAATGAAAAATTCTTAAAATCGTATTTATAAATTTAAATTCTAAGTATTTTTTTTCTTTCATATAGAACAATAATTTATCAAAGTATTTAGCCAAAATAATTAAAATTTTTGGGTTGGTTTTTTTCTCACATAAATAAGGAATTAAAATTTTTCAAAAATATTTTCATAATTAATAATAAAAAAAATTATAAATTAATCCTTTAAATTTATAATTCATAATTTAATTAATAATATTTATTAATACTTATAATAATTTTATGAATTATAAATTTACAGGATTTAATTTATAATTTTTTTTAAATAAAATTATTTTAAATTAAAAATAAGAAAATTACTTCGCGAATATTCCGGAAAATTTTTTTCTGCGACAAATTTTGTTAGAAACGATATGTAAAAATAAACCGACAATAATTGAAGAATTATTATTATTTTTTGTCAATATTCAAGAATAACCGTTACTTTTGGCTTGGTAATAAAAACAAAAGACAGCTGAGCAAAGAAAATTGATGTGTTGGACGCTCAATATATATATATATATATACACATATGAAGCTGTTTCGGCAACACTGGACTTGATTTTGAAATGAGAGAAAGAGAGACAGAAAGAAAGCAAGTAGAAAGAGAGAGATAGAGACAATAACGTTTCCAAAGAGAAACGGCTGAGTTCAATTCCTGGAAATTTCCAAGAACTACAAATATATATATACATATATACAGCAAACCATCGACAGTTAAAAAAAAATTGTGTCTTAAGTTTCGGTTATTTTTTAAACGAAAATTTTGAAAGGTGAACATACAGCGGTAAAATAAAATTGTTATATATTAAAAACGAGGCGTTTCCACGCCCATTTCGTTGTTGGAAAGAGAAAGAAAGAGAGAGAGAGAGAGAGAGAGAGAGAGAAAAATACATGAGAAGTTCCTGTATATATACACATACACAGTAAATATTTCTTTCGGCGAGTCTGGAAACTTACCTTGATGATTAATTCGATCTCGGGTACAACATGATTTGACGTTCCATTCTCGTGACCGTCGTCCGCCATTTTTGAAAAAAAAAATGTTATTTATTTTGCTTTTAAAGTTGGAAAATTATTTTTCCCGAAAAAAAGGCACTTTTACAATATTCAAATTGTACAATGTTAGACGTAATGGGAAGTAATAGAATGAGAAGTAAAACAATTGATTCCACCACGTTCGTAACACGATGAAAGCTCATGAAATACTGACGCAGGCATGCGGGGAAGAAACGGTTATGCTACACTAGCGCCGCGTACGGTGAAAAAGTCAACTATTATGAGACTTATACAGAGTTGGGTTGTTCTAGTCGAGAGACTTTCAGCGCTGTAAGTTGAGTGAACGTTGTTTAGGGTTCTATTTTTATTTTCCCCAAATTTTATTTATTTATATATTTAATTTATTTTATAATAATAATAATAATAATAATAATAACTATTATTATTATTATTATTATTATTTTATTATTATACATATTTATATTATATTATTATTTATTATTATAATTTATTATTTTTAATTAATTAATTATTATTTATTAATACAAATATTATAATTTAATATTAATTTAATAAATATTAAATTGTAAATAAATAGTAAAAGTTTCCTGTGGCAGCGAACTATTTGCTGTCACATCAAATTACGTTAGCTAATATAGGGACAGCGAACAAATTTGCTGTGGAGTCAAAAAAAAGTTTGCTGTAACATGAAAATTTAAAAAAATTAAAACTATTATTGTTTATCACAGCAAACTTTTTTTTGTTGTCATAGCAAAAAATTTAGCTGTGGTTACTAATTTTGATAGATCCAATAGCAAACATAAGTTAGCATCTGCAAATTCCTTTTTTTTCGTGAAGGAATATAAATAATTTATTTATTTAATAAATTAATAATAAATAAAAATTAAATAAATTTTAAAAATAAAATTATTATTTTTTCAAATAAATTAGGTTTTTTTTCGAAAAAATTTTTTTTTAATTTTTTTTTTCTAGAAAAATGTTTTTTTTTAATTTAAAAATAAAAGGGGAGGAAAAAGTGGAAAAAATTCACAATTTATATTACATTGTATAAGGTTATTTATTATATCTTATGTACATTCAACATCGTCTTGACAACACCATTAGGAAAAAATGTTTTTTTCGAGTCATTCAAACAAAAAACAAATAAAAAAAAAATTGTGTCGACATTTTCTTCTTTTTCTATATATACCTTACGCTCTTTCTTTTTTCCTTTCTCTTTCTCACTTTTTGTTTTTCTTTTTTTTTTTCTTTATTTGTTTTAATCTCTTTATACAATAATTCATAATAATAATAATAATAATTTTTGTTTATTATTATTATTATTCAAGACACGACCATAATAATTGGAAAAATCATTCTGGCGAAGTATTTGTATATATATATATATGTATAATTATACTAAAAAAAAAAAATTAGAAAAAATACGTTTTAATTTGAAAAAAAACGTATTTTTTATGAAGCGATGTACACCGGACGGTACCTGTTTTTTTTTTCGAAAAAAAATTATAATTTGGTTTTTTTTTTCATCATTCCGAAGCAGGTACTTTGGCAAAAGAGTTTCGCTCTAAAAAATAAAATAAAATAAAAAAGTAGTTAAAAAAAAAAATAATAAATGCGCGCGTACGTGGTTTTAATAAACGCTTAAACTATTTTAATATTATTTTTTATCGACTCGACGATCATGTTCGCTTTTATTTATTTATTTATTTTTTATTTATACAGAGTGGAGTTTTTTTTTTTGAAAAACTCCAAAAAAAAAAAAGAAAAAGGACTTTTTTTGCCTCTTTTTCTCTCTCATCGATAATCCTATTTTTTATAATAATAATAATAATAAAAGAACATTTTTTTTAATTTAGTCAGATCCCTAAATAATAAATACATATTTATATAATTTTTGTTTAATAAATAGTAGTACAAAGGCGATAATTATATATGGAATTAAGTAGAAATTGTTTGTGTGAGGCATCTATCGATTTTCTCCTTCCCTTAGGAAAAAAAAATCAGTTCTCATTTTATTTTTCACGTTTTATAATTAATAATAATAATAATTTTCTACAAGAAATGTTTTGCATTTTTTTTTTTTTTTTTTCTTTAGAGAAAAAATTTTTTTGATTCATTTTTTTTTTACTTTTTTGAAGGAATCAATCGAAATAGAATTTCTAGAAATTGTTACAATTGCAATTAATTAATTATTTTATAAAATATTGCATATTATTAATTTAATTAATTTAATCAGTTTATTAGTAATTTAATTAATTAAATTTATTTATTATGAATTTAATTAATTAAATATTATTGCTAAATTAATCAATTAAATTATTATTATTATTATTATTATTATTATTATTATTTAATTAATAATATAATAATAATAATAGATTTTTTTCAAATTTCAATCATAAATTGGATTGAATTTTTTTGCACAAATTTAAGTTTAAAAAAAAATGCTTACAACGCAGTCTTTTGGATTATTCGTTTTTTTTTTTAGTTTCGTAAATCTTATAGCACAAACACTTAGAAAGAGATAGCGCTATTGATAATTAATTAATTTTCTGAAATTTTCTTTTTTAACATTCTTTATATAAAAAATTTGTATTTGCTCTCTTTGCGGGTATTTTTTTTTTTAAATTCAAAATATGTAGATTTTTTTTGTATTTTGAGTATAATTTAGATACGTATTGATTTTTTTTTTTTTTTAATTGGAAAATAAAATAAAGAAGCAAAAATAAAAAAAAAAAGTGTCGTCAAAATTGAAGAAAACGACAGCGAAAAATGAGGCAATATTTTTTTTTTTTTTCGAAAAAAAATCGTAAAATTTTGCGAAAAATTTTTTTTTCTTTTTTATAAAAAAATGAATTTTTATATTTTTAAAGAATTAGAAAATTTATTTTAATTAATTTATTAATTAATTATTTTTAAAAATTATTTTCATAATTTATTATTGATAATTGTATTTCTTTTTATTTGGTATTTAACAATATTTTAATAATAATAAATAATTCGAAATTTTTTTTTCATGAATTCCCATTCGCGTACTTTTTTTTTTTGTTTTTTTCTCCATCCATAGTTTTTTTTTTTTTACTATCTCGAGATAATTTGATATGTTGTCAACAAAATCTCATCTTTTTTTTTTTAATATATTTATATAATTAATATAAAATGTCGCAGAACGCATCAACGTGATTTAAAATATTATTATGCATAAAGAATGCAAATTGAAATTCAACACACTCTTTATATATTATAATGAGAACAAAGCATAAATTTTATTGTAGGGATTTTGTTTCGATTTTATTTTTAATTATAATTATTGTTATTATTATTATTTTATATTTTCTTTTTTATATATTTTTCCCCAAATTTATATTTTTTTAATTATTTTTAATTAAATTATTTTAAAAATTATTAATTAATAATTAATTAATAATTTAATTTTTAATAATTAATTTAATTTTTCAAAAAGGAACACAAATTTTCAATTACGAGAAAAAAGAAAATATTTTGCAAAAAATTTAGAATTTCTGTTTCTGTTTACTGTCTTTTTTTTAATTATTATTATTATTATTTTTTTTTTGTTTTTTTACGTCTTTGACTTTTTAGTTTCTTTGATCGTTTCGTAAACTTTCATTTACCCGCTTTTTATTTACTTAAAAAAAAAAAAAAAAAATTGCACTTCTATCACTTTTTATAAACAAATTTTCCACTTTTGTGATTATTTCATATTTCTATTTTTCCTTTTTTTTCTCCTATATTTATATATTTTTTTTAAGCATTTTGAGTATCTCGCAGATTTTAGACTCACTTACATTCGAAAAAAAAGAAATTAATTGTATCTCTTGGCACATTTTTTTTGCTTTCGAAATACTATAAACGCAAAAATTTTTTTTTTTTTGCACTTTATTTTTGTTCATTTATTTTGTTTCATAAGAAAAAAAAATTTATTATTTATTTTTTTGTTTTTTAGTTAAGCACTGAGCGTTAGTTATTTACTGCAAAAAGCATTTTTTTTTTGTTAACGAAATTTAATATATATATATATATATATTTTTTTTTTTTAAGAGTATTATTATCACATAAATGGAAGAGAATTTTCCAAAATTATGCGGCTCAAAAATGTAAATTTTTTTCTAATTTATAAACGTCAAAATATGTATTTCAAAATTTATAAGAAGTTAAATTTCAAGTTTTTTTTTTTTTGATAAAAATATAAATACAAAAACTAAAATTTTTGGGAATTTTTTTTTATTCTAATTTTACCTCTTTTTTTTGCTTTTTGTCCCCTATTTTGGAAAATTTCAAAAAAAATTCTCTTCGTAAAAAAATTATTTTTTTTTCTATTTTCTCTTTCTCTCTCTTTTGAATTCTTTTGAAAAAACACGCGAGTCAGAATTCGATGTTTTGCAAAAAAAAAAAAAAATTTGCTTAGGCCCTTTGCGTATAAAAATAAAAAAAAATTTGAAAAAAAAAACGAAAAAACCGGGGTCGCATTTCCATCGTTGCATTAAAGTCTTGTATAATAAAATTCTTTTTTTTTTTTTTTTGTTTCCTTTTTTTCTCTATACATATTAATTAATAAAGTCAAGTTCTCGGCAGTGATAAAAATTCATGTATATTTTTTTTACATTAGACTTTTTTTTTCTCCTCTAAGCCCAGTAAAAAAAAAATTCTTATAAAAGAATTCTTTTTTCGAAAACGAAAAATTTTCTTCTACTATATAATACAATAATAATAATAATAATAATAATAATAATAATAATAATAATAATAATAATTTTTTTCGATAAATAAACTCTCTTCTATTTTTTACTAATACCTTAAAAACGAAGACTAATTTTCATGACTAAAATCCTCTTTTTTTTAAAAAGAAGAATAAAAATAAATTTTTTTTCTTTTACAAAGAATCTTTTTTTTTGCGGGCAAAAGAGGAGGAAAAAAAAATTTGAGGAGGAAAAAGTGACGCGACTCACAAAAAAAAAAAGATATCAAAATCTTTTAAGTATCATTTTTTTCTTTTCGTGTTTTTGTTTGGCGCTTTTTTTTTTAATAAAACGCAGGCAAAAAAAAAAAATTTTTTTCCTTGGAAAAAAGAAAAAAATTATCAAGGTGTCGCGTCCTTTGATAATTCATTATTTTTTTTCGGTTTTTTTTATAATATATATATATATAAATTACGAGATCCTACGAGTTGTTTCGCGCGTAATCGTGTTTTTTTGTATATTTATTTAATTTTTCTTTCTTTCTTTTAATCGACGAGTAATAACAATTAATAGAAATTTTCTACGACTAAATACACTCTATTTACTGGGAAGGATCGCATCGTTTTCAAGTTTCTGCCCAAAAAATTTAGTTCCCTCCAAAATGAGTTTTTTTTTTTTTTTTTTTTGTGAAATAAAAAAAAATGTTTTTTTTTTGACGTGGATTAAGAAATTTTTTTTTTGTCAAATATTAAAGAAAAATGCGCACAAAAATTGGAAAATAAAAAAAAATTTAGTTGAGCGTTTAGAAAAATTTACAATCGCTCAAAATTGTAATATTTGAAAAATTTATCGGAGCTCAAAGTTTAGCGTTAAAGAAAAATTAAACGCTCGATTTTTGAGCGCTGGGAAAAATTTTGAGCACTAGCGCTCAAAATGTAAACATTTTTTGTAACTTATAATCGCTCAAAGTTCAGCGTGAAAAAAAAGAAAAACTCTCGATTTTTGAGCGTTGGGAAAAATTTGAGCACTAGCGCTCAAAATGAAAATTTTTTGTAACTTATAATCGCTCAAAGTTCAGCGTCAAAAATAAATTAAACGCTCGATTTTTGAGCGCTGGGAAAAAATTTTTGAGCACAGACGCTCAAATTGTGAGCTAAAATTTTTTTATAACACTCAAATTGAATGTGCAAAAAAAATTGCAACTCTCAAAATGTAATTTTTTGGTAAAAATTTAAGTGCTCGAATTTGAGAGCTCAAAAAAGAATTTCAGCGCTCAAATTGAATGCGGAAAATTTTTTTAAATACTAGTTAAGTACTATTTAACTACTATTTAAGTAGCAACTAAAAATTAGCGCTCAAAATGTAATTTTACGTATATTAAACACTCAAATTTGAGCGCTGAAATTAATTTATTTTTCAAAAAAAAAAAAATTTTTTTTTTGCAATTAAAAAGAATTTTTGTATTTGTGTAAAATTTAAAAAAAAATTTTGTTTCATTTCTAAAAGAAAGGAAAATTAATTTTCTTTTTTTGGGAAAAAAAAAATTAAACTCACTTTAGGGGAGAGCAGAATTTGAAACGATTAAAATTTTGCATTCGATGCAGAGTTTTTTTTTGTTCTTTCTCGTTTTTTTTTTTTTTTAATCTCCCTTAGGCCTTGTTCTAAGAGACTTTCATTGTTTCTTCAATACTTCCACCCCGTGGAAGATTTTTCTTAATTTTTTTTTTTTATAGTATTTTCTAATCGAGCGGCAAAATGCACTCTTTATATAGATCATCTTATATAGAATTGCGTATTAAGATTTTTTTTTTGTACAAAATGTCATTTGTCTTGCTAAGTATTTTTTTTTATTTCAATTTTCTCCCCTTTTTTCAAAAATCATTTCTTTCGATTTTTTTCGAATTTAAAGACAAAAAGAATTTTTTTTTTGTTTTAATTTTTAAAAAAACTTTTTTTGAAAATTAGAATTCAAAAAAAAAAATTTTTTTTTTTTTGAAAATAATTCAAAAAAAAATTCTTTTCCTTTAAAAATTTGAATTTAAAAAAAAAATTTTTTTTTTCGGAAAATTTGAATGAAAAAAATTTTTTTTTTCCCCGAAAATTTGAATAAAAAATGTTTTTTTTTGAATTTGAATTTTTTGAAGAAGGGAAAAAAAATCGAAAGAAACAACTAAACGAGAAATCCTTGCGATGTGGCGGACATTTGAGCGCGCAATGCAGTGACGCTATTCATTATTTTCTTCTGATGACCAACGAGAGTGATGCCCAATGCCGTTAATTCTTGAACGGTGACTCTGGCCGCTGCCTCGAGTGTCGTCACTCCCGCCCTTTCAAAACTTTCAGCGTAGCGTGACATTTTTATTGATGACAACCATTCATTGACGGATGTCAATTGCGTCAAGTCCACTGCGTCCGGCGCCAGTGGATTTGTACCCCTGTGAAGATGGAAATTCTTTTTTTATTATGTCAGAATTTAAAAAAAAAAGAAAAAAAAACGATTTTTCCTTTTTTTCAAAAGAAATTTTTTTTTCAAGTTAGGATAGTTTATTTTTACAGAAAAGGAATTTTCTAGTCAATAGAAATAAAGGAAACTATTAAAAGGATTTAAAAAAATTTTTTTTGTTTTTTATTTTTCAAAAAACGCTCAATTTTAAAAATTTGTTTTGTTTTTAAATTCCCAAAAAAACGCTCAATTAAAAATTTTTTTTTATGTTTTTTAGTTTGAAAAAAAATTCTAAAACGCTCAAAATTTAGTAAACGTTGTTTTTAATTGACAAAAAACGCTGAATTTTTTAGTTTACTTTTTTAAAGTTTTAAATTTTAAATGTTGGAATTTTAAATGCTCAAAACTTAAACGTTGGAATTTTAAACGCTCAGAATTTAAACGTTCAAATTTTAAGTACTCAACATTTAAATGCTCAAATTTTAAAAGTTTTAATTTTAAACGCTCAAATTTTAAGTGATCAAATTTTAAATGTTCAAAATTTAAACGTTCAAATTTTTAACATTCAAATTTTAAACGCTCAAAATTTTAAACGTTAAACATTTAAATGCAGAAAATTTAAACTCTAAATTTATTTCCGTTAAAAAAAATTAAAATCCTACCAATTTTTAAAAATTCATTTTCAAAAATTTATTTTTGCGAAAAAATTTTTTTTAATTATCCTTTATTATAGTTTCCTGTGTGAGAACTTTTTTTTCTACCTTCCTCATATTTTTTTTCAAAAATCAAAATTTCAAAAATTTTCCTAAACTTTAAAAAAAAATTTGATTTTGAAAAAAAAATTGAGTGTGAAATATTTGTTACCATTTTTTAATGACAAATATTTCAAGGACGTGAATATTCACTCTTATCAGGGACATTCTATCAATTTATAATAATATATTCACTTGCAAAAAGGTTCGATTACGTTTTATTTTCTATTCTATATTTACTGTAATGTGAGAAAAAAATCCTTGACCAACTTTTTTCACGTAATTGATCAATCGCGCGAAAGATTTCGATATAATAAATAAAATTTATATATATATATAAATAAAGGATTTATCATCGATTTGTTGATCAATTATTTTTTCTTGTCTCGTATATAAATATTCTTGTACGAAAATTCTAAGAATTTATAATTTATTATCTTAATTTTATTATTATATTATCCAACTAAATTTATTACTAGATAAATAGAAATTTTTTTTAAAATTAAATTTAAAAAAAATATTTTATTAATTTGTTAAAAAAAATTTTTTTAATATTAAATTTTAAAAATACAAAGAAATTGAATTTTTTATTTATTTTTTTCATTTTATTTATTTTATTTTTTTTATTCTAAATTAATATGCAAAAAAGTGATTTGAATACAAATATAAATCTCTGCGGAACTTTTCTTTGATCTTTAGAAATGAATGAAAAGTATTTGAATGAGAACTCGAGATTTAAATATACTATATTATAGTAAGGAAAAAAAATTAAAAAAAAAAAATTAAATTATACTATATTATGTTTTAAATTATTATTATTATTATTATTATTATTGCATAAAACGTAATCGTATATCTTCAAAGAAACTTTATGTACATTTTGGATTTAAAAAAAAAAATAATAATAATAAATTCTTGTGCCTCGCAATCTCGATGCATGTGAAAAAAACCACTATATATGGGAAATTGTACTTTTTTATATCTAATTTTCTAAGGTTAAAACCACACTAAGAAATTTTTATTATTATTATTATTGATAATATCGAAAAAAACAAAAAAAAGGAAATTTTTTTCTTTTTTTTATACTGAAATAGAAATCAATAAAAATTAAAAAAAGGTTTAAAATTTAAAATTTTTCTTTTTTTTATATAATTATTTGATAAGGGAATTTTTTTTAAAAAAAAGTAGAAGTCAAAAAAAGGTAGCATTCAATATTTAATTTATTAAAAAAAACATTATTTGAGTAAAGCAACAATGTTTGTTTTTTTTGTAAATTATTAAAATTAAAATGAAAAAAAAAATCTTAATCTAAAATCTTACGGATATTAAGATTTTTTTTTTTTAATAATATACACATATTTTATACGTATATATATATATATATAGATAAATATAAATTTTTTTTTATATTTATATATAATAATTATTTTTTTCTATAAATATATACAGAGTTCACACTCAGTGCAAGAAAAAAAAAATCTTAAAAGGACAAAATATTTTACCCAAAAAGGCGTGCGAGCGCATTTTTTTTCTTCTTAGTTAGATTATTATTTTTATTATTATTATTATTATTATTCTTATTATTATTATTATTTCTATTAATAATAATTGTTATTTTGATAAAAATTTTCATAATAATTTTTTTGTTCGTAGAAGAATAATTAACTAATATTTTTATAACTATCGACTCGCTCGCCTTCAATAAGGGATTTTTTTTTTTTTAATGACACGCAATTATTTACACTATTTAGAAAAGAATTAAGAGATAGAAATTTGTGTTTTTCGTGGATTTGTTAATTTTTTTTCAACTACATTTTTTTGGAAAAAATTTTTAAAAGTGCTCAAAATTTAAACGTTCTATTTTAAAAACGCTAAAAATTTTAATACACGAAATTTAAACGTTTGAATTTCAAAACCGTTCAAAATTAATTGCTCAAAATTTAAACGTTCTATTTTAAATACGCTCAAATTTTTATTACTCAATATTTAAACGTTTGAATTTTAAATAGGCTCAAAATTTTAATACTCAAAATTTAAACGTTCGAATTTTAAAAACGTTGAAATTTTAATGTTCAAAATTTGAAACGTTCGAATTTTAAAACCGCTCAAATTTAATTGCTCAAAATTTATACGTTCTATTTTAAATAAACTCAAATTTTTATTACTCAAAATTTAAACTTTCGAATTTTAAAAACGTTGAAATTTTAATGCTCAAAATTTGAAACATTTCAATTTTAAAAGCGCACATATTTTAGAGCTCAAATTCTAAACGTTCGAATTTTAAAACCGCTCAAATTAAATTGCTCAAAATTAAAACGTTCTATTTTAAATACGCTCAAATTTTTATTACTCAAAATTTAAACGTTTGCATTTTAAATAGGCTCAAATTTTTAATGCTCAAAATTTGAAACGTTCGAATTTTCAAACCGCTCAAATTTTAGCGCTTAAATTTTAAACTTTCGAATTTTAAAACCGCTCAAATTTAATTGCTCAAAATTTAAACGTTGAAAAATCACAAAAAGACACAAATTTCAATTCTCAGTAAAAAATCACCCCACAATGGATTTATCGTCCAATAATTATTATATACTATAAATAATTATTGGCATAGTTCGCTGTGGTTGCAAAAAAAAATTTTTAATATTGCAACGCAGCGATCTGGATATTTTTTCTTTCTATAAAATTTTTGTTATCTAGTTTTTTTTGTTTTAATTTCAAAAAAAATTATAACTAGAATAATATTAATTAAAAAAAAATTGACGTACACATTATTTAAATATTACAATAATGTAAAATATTAATTATATGTAGTATAATAAATACGAGTAATATCTATATATAGAGTATTTGTTATTATTTACATAAAAAATGGATGGATACGGTGCATATGAAGCAAGCAGTGCGTTACGAACTAAAAGGGAAACAAGCAGAGCAAAAACAAAACAAAAAAAAACATTGACTACTTTTTTTTAAAAGGGCAGTTTATAGGGGGTGGAGAGAATATCCGTGACAATCTCGGAAAAAAGAGAATCCATTAATTTTTTTTTTTTTTTCAAAGCAAAAAATCCACAGCGAAAAATTTCAAATGTTTGAAAAATTAAACGTTTGAATTTTAAATGCTCAAATTTTATACATTGGAATTTTAAAAGCTCAAATTTTAAACTTTAAAATTTTAAATGCTCAAAATTTAAACGTTGGATTTTAATTTTCTCAAATTTTAAACGTTCAACATTTTGAATGCTCAAAATTTAAACGTTCGAATTTTTAATATTCAAATTTTAAACCCTCAAAATTGCCAAGGATCAAAATATTTAAAAACGTTATAACTAAAAAAATGCTCCAAATTTTAGAAGCGTTAAAACTTTAATCGCTGAAAATTCAAAGCCCTTGATTTTGTTATATATGTAAAATATTAAAATTTTCTAATTCGCTCAATTTTCTAAACCGTTTTAAATTAAAAGCATTAAAATTTTGAACGTTTAAAATTTGAGCACATTTAAAATAGGGATCTTTAAATTTTGAGCATATTAAAAAATTTGAACGTTTGAAATTTAAAAATATTTTTAATTTAAACGTTCAAAACTTTGAGCATTTTTAAAAATTTTTTAAATTGAGTATTTAAAATTTGAGCATTTAAAATTTGAACGTTTAAAATTTGAGCATTTAAAATTCCAAAGTTTAAATTTTGAGTACTTAAAATTTCAACGTTTAAAATTTGAGTATTTAAAATTCCAACATTTAAATTTTTGAGCACTTAAAATTTGAACGTTTATAATTTGAGCATTTAAAATTTAAGTTAAAAAATTGCTCAAAATTTAAGAAGCGTTTAAAAATTTAAACGCTGAAAATTCAAATCTAAAATTTGAACGCTCAAAATTGAGCGTTTAAAAAAAAATTTTTTTTTCAGTTAATTATTTTTTTTTCAAAACAGATTCTCTTTTTTCGTCGATTATTATTTTTTTTGTTCGTTCTACATTTTTACCTTTTTCTCAAATGCACGTTGGAAGCCGACGTAGCGGGTGGGGGTGGGGGTGGGGCACCCCTTTCCCTGATTCTGACAATTGTTAGCATTTTGTTAGTGCATGGAGGCAACATCTGCGCGCATGTGATTCTATCTCTCGTGTTTTTTTCTCTCTCTCACACACACACATTTTTTTCTCTCATTCTTTTTTTATTATTCAAATTTTTTTTTTCTTCTACTTTGTCGGTATTTTTTTTTTTTTTTCAAAGTCAGTGTAAA